TCTATAATGCTGTACATAATAAATAATAAAGCATAGAATAAATTTTAGCTAGTCTGCATCGTGATCATTACAATGATCTCCAATAATTACTAGTATATAAATTCTCTTCGGCTCAGACATCAGAGAAAGTTCATCTCATACCGGAAAATGAACAATTAAAAGCCACCATGGCAAATAAGATCACGTTAAATTCTATGAAAATGATATAGATTATGATGAATAAAAGGAAGGTAGATTTTGTGTTAGATTGTTTTTAAATATTATCAAATAGCAGGTTTCAGTTGTGCATTTCGAGGCAATGCATGATGTGGAAGGGGGGGGGCATATACTGCACGTATATTTAACTCAATTTCTAAGTTTGAGCATCCATTTTAGTGTTATTAGGAAAGAAAAGAATATATTGCTTCCCAAAAAGTAATGAACGCCATAGAAAACAATTCAAAATATGTTTATACATGCAGTACGTTTACATAAAATGTCTTTGATGATGTACATCTACCATCATAGCAAAACTATAGATTAAAATACTGGAATCCATCCTCCCCTCGCTCCTTTCATTGGGGGGTGGGTGTGTGTTGACCCTGTCTATAAATCAGAACAGTTCTCTCAGCTATCGCATTTCCACTGCGGTCAATTTCTCAAATGTGGGCGCGGTTCACGTGCACAAGCGGACTTGCACGTCCATCACCAATGTCCATACTGTCTTACGGTGGTCTTCTGATGTTTTCATAACTTCTAGGCCTAGCATTAGAGTGAAAAAAAATTGATCGTTCTTTTTTCACTATTTTGGGACCTTTGTGGCAAGTGGATTGTTGTGTGAATTCCGACCCGTACATGTCTTATGCAAGGTATTGAATATTGATCTTCGGCTTGCAATGGCGATTGAGGGAATGAATGTACTTATCTTCTGTTAGAAGCAATGAAATATTTTCATAGTATGATTTAAAAACTGACAAATATCCCATCTAGAAGCTGTACAGTCGTCATAAATTTTCTTCGAGAACGACGAAGAACGATGCAGTCTATAAATAGATCGAGATCGTGAGTGTGCGTGAAGAAGCACGCCCTCTGGTTGGAGAATTTGTGCAAGTCTTTTTTCCCAGAATTCCGATTAACGCAAGCGCACTTGCAGTTTCATCCTAACGTAACTAGTCAGCCCGGGGGCTGACTAACTAGTATATGCATGGTCCTTACCCCTCCTATAAATTGTCCTGTAGACACTTCTATTATTTTTTCACTCTCTATCCAGAGTTGTCATTCTCACTTCGCTCCCACATACATGTTGTGAGCGTAGCGGAAGAAACTCTGGATAGAGAATGTTATCTTTTGTCTATTTAACTGCCAATGCCATTGACGTCTCATTTGCATTAAGACGAAACAATAAGCGTATGACTTATCTAATTAAAAAAAAAATGTATCATGCGCATGCGTACTGGAAAAGTGCGAAATTTTAAAAAATGGCGGAGCGTATTCGGTGCCGAAGTCGTCGATCAACCGAAAATCTGTTTGTTATGATAGAAGAAAGTGTGTCAAAATCATTCCAAGACTGTGAAGACATTGACATTAACGAAAAACAAAGAGTTTTTGAGCGTTTTAAAGAGGTATTTAACGAGTTTCTTTTAGTTATTGTTATGGAAAGTTTGTTTTTATACATAATACAGGTGTAGGTTGGAAACTATTCCCCTACAGTGAAATCAACTTGCTAGAATGCGATTATCCCTCTTCAGTGGAAGAATAAACGTTTTATTAAACATGTTTTTTGTTGATTGATAACAAATTTATCATAAATCTGGAACTATATAATAATATGTTTTACGGTGTGACCGTTGGGGCGAGCGCAGTTGTACCATCAAAAACACTCTAAAAATTGATCAGCCACTTCAAATATCAAGCCGCACGAGATATCTCGACTAAGTGTGACGTCACACGACGTCACGGAGCTCGTCGGAGCTTACGGAGACAGCCGAGCGTCTGTTTGAAACTATAGACCTAGTGCAATTTTGGTTGAAAAACATTGTAGAGTTATTTTTTGTTTCTTTGAAAGATTTCTACAAACTGATCTAGCCTTTTATGTTTTACGTTATTATTTTATTTATTTATTTAATTATTTGCGCAAAGGACATTGGGTAGTGCGGGAATTCTGGGAATGTTGCACAGAGAAATTTGGCTGACGTATGTACAGATTTCAATCCGAATTTCCTCTGTTCTTACACGTTAGTCCATTGAGCTCGCTGAGCTCGCTATTAGTATACAAGAATTTAAAATGTGTTGGCATTGAAAAGTGAATATCCTACAAAAAATTGACAACAATAATTTCAGACAATCAATTCTGCATGTGAGAACTGAAAGCTGAAATCAAATATTAGCCATAGATTTGTATTGAAAATGTTATAAAAATTACAGTAGTATATATGTTTTTGAATCATAGTTTCACTTGACATTAATCAAAGGGGCATTTGCTCTGTTCTCAAGTCCCCATATAAAAATACACACGGGAAAAATCGAAAGTAGCACAGAATTTTTAAACAAAGATAAAAAAAAACAACTACTTGACTCTTGAGAAAAGTTACACAAACCCTTAAATGCAATAGCGCAAATTAATACTTATCCAGGCTAAAATGTTCCAATCCAAAATAAATAGCTTTAATCCAACTAAAACCCCATGCAGCTTTTCTGCACAGTGGGGAGCTTTTCTCTCGAAGGTGTGTTCTATGGACATTTTTCTACATTTCTTTTTTTATTGACTTACTTTTCATCTTTTTTTTTCTAGATATACTTTGGCAGTCTCAAGAGTAACATTGTTATTGATGGAGTAGGATGGGAAGAAACAAATTGTGATGAAACAGCAGGTAAAAACTTATGGAGTATTTGTAGCTAAATATATCAAATTATAAAGAAAAAGATGCTTATATCAATATCTTGTGATAGCAAGGAAATTTGAAATATAATATTTTACAATCTACTTATCATGGAGTTTCTAATTGATTGAAAATCGTGAATAAAATGAATTGATTACTTTTCAGAATTCAAACCCATTGATATGGAGAAAAAGAAATACGTTGACACCACACTGGTGGAGTTGGTGGATGATTCAACTGTCAGAGTAAGCAGTCGACGAAAGAAGTATCCCTCAAAGCTTACCATAAACTGTCGGAAGATGTTGGAAGCTCAAACAGTTCAGTGTGTGAGTAAAACTTATTAGTAAATTCACATTCTCTAACTATAATAAATGCACGCATAAATATTTTGAGCTCTTGAATTTAAACCAAAGATTCTCTATGTGAAGAGTCACATTCTTTCTCTATTTGGGGCCAAAAATAAGGGGTCAATAATTCAAATTAAAAAAAAGATAGGTACACAAAAAAATCTATTTCATTAGAATAAATAGGGCTGGGATGATACAACTTTTTGTATATCGATACGTATCACGATATGTTTAATTGCTTATAAAATCTTTTTTGCATTGAAATAAACAAATTATTTCTTTGCAAACTAGATACGATCTCGTTGCGAGCAACGAGAGGTCTTCCGTCCGATTCAGGGAAAAAAAAAACCCTTGTGAAATCGAGCTGAAAAGTTATTCAAAATTTTGTTCACAAGGAGGATTGAATCCAGGTCGCCAACGTGAATGCGCCTTTTTTCTCTTTTCTCCCCAACGCGCAAATCATTTAGCTATTGGGAATACTGCTTTAAATATACTTGTGTATAGAGTCTACTTTTGCAACAGTACACCTGTTTAAGAATCATAAAAGGCGGCTCACTATTCATAATTTCGTGTCAAAAGCCACGCGTAAATATTCGCGCCTTTTCTTTGTATTGATCTATTGAATAGGTGCAATAGCTTCAATGAAATTAATTAAATAAAACGTTCTTATCATATTTGTTTTATTTCGACGTTAGGAAAGTATATTAAACACATTGTACACATTACATATCGTATCTAGCCCAGTAACACTAAAGCAGTGAAACGGAAATTAAGTTTTAGGATTGACACTAAATTGCAACGTACTACTACGTGAGAGTCCAAGTAGTTTTTTTACATTTCATGTACCTTATGTCAGAATGGTTTAATCAAACGCTCAGCTGCCTCCATAAGCCCCTACTCGCGAAATGGCGGAGTTGACAGAGACAGCTGCCATCTTGGGCCCGCTTCAGATTTTCAAATATTAATATCTAGAGTTCAGATTAACCAATATCAAAACAACTTATATAGTAAGCATTAATAGAAGGGTCTCTATTAAATTTCCAAAAATAAATGAAAAGTATTGAAAAACAAAGAAAGTTGAAAAATTGGACTTTTTGAATTGGCTTCCGGTAGCGACAGGAAGTACTGACGACGAACGAAAAGTCGCGTCCTGGAAAGTATTGATCATCATCTATAAACTCTGAAAGTTTCACATTGATATCTTTTACCATTTTTGAGTTTAATCGTGGACAAAATGCCGTTTTAAAATCAGGAAAATGGTCCAAAACTTGGCACCAGAGAGGAATTTCCAAAAACTGTCTTAGAACTTTCAAGAGTATCTTACAACACATCTTTCCTGAAAATTTCATGTAATTCTATCCAGTAGTTGTCGAGAAATCGTGTCAGAAAAATAATAATAACTAGATACGATCTCGTTGCGAGCAACGAGAGGTCTTCCGTCCGTTTTAGGAAAAGAAACCCACGTAAAATTGAGCTGAAAAGAGATTCAAAATTTTGGTCACAAGGAGGATTGAAACCATGTCGCCAACGTGAATGCGCTTTTTTTTTTTACTTTTATATCCCCAACGCGTTAACCATTAAGCTATTGGGAGTACTACTCTAAATATACTTGTGTATACCACGGTACTTTTGCAACAGTCTGTCTAAGAATTATAAAAAGCATTCATAATTTCACGCCAAACGCCACGAGTAAATATTCGCACCTTTTCTTTGGACTGATCTATTAGATAGGTATGATAGCATCAATTAAATTTTAAAAATAAAACATTCTGAGCGCCTTTATTTTATTTCGACATTAAGAAAGTATATGTAACACATTATACACATTACATATCGTATCTAGCCCAGTTACACTAAAGCAGTGAAACGGAAATTAAGTTTTAAGATTGACACTCAATTGCAACGTACTACTGTAACGTGTCGGATCTGAGCGGTCAGTAGGTCCGTGCTCGGATTACCGAGTTTTACTAGGGATACGATTGAATGCAATATATACAGATAATAATATGACACCTGCCTGGTGTCTTTAAATCAAATGACCTAAGTGCTTTGTATAATTATATATCTTCAGTTAATACCGGCACCTGCCTTGTGCCATCTGATAATTGCCTCACTATACTCGTAAAACTGACTATATAAGTCAACATCTATCTGCCTGGTGCCTCTTGATTTAGCCTTTAACACCTGCCTGGTGTATTACTGCTTACCAAGTTGCCTATATAACTCTAGCCAAATGGCTACAATATACTTACACAGTATGATTTAACTTTGTAAGAGCTTCTCTATCCTAATGACAAACCTATAGCTAATGTCACGCAACTATATTTTAACTATTCACTAACTACAGCAACTTTACACAATCCGATTTGATCGTTACACCGATTGGATTCTGTACCAAAGTGAAGACACAAACCAGTTGGCTGCACTGCCCCCTTGTACCTCAACTTAATGATCATAAGTTATCAGATATCATATTGATAAAATACAACAGACTGCCTTTCTTTTGGCAACACTATTATTATTTTCTAACAGAACATCATTTATCAATAATACTTGTATAATTCTTTTGTCAATTGACCAATTAATTACAATATTTTTATTGATTAGCTATTATAATATAAACAAGTAATGGGACGTAACTCCTCGAACCATTTCACTACTACGCGAGAGTCGAAGTAGTTTTTTACATTTCATGTATCCTTATGTCAGAATCGTTTAATCAAACGCTCAGCTGCCTCCATAAACCCCTACTCGCAAAATGGCGGAGTTGACAGAGGCAGCCGCCATCTTGGGCCCGCTTCAGATTTTCAAATATTAATATCTAGAGTTCAGATTAACCAATAATCAAACAACTTATATAGTAAGCATCAATAGAAAGGTCTCTATTAATATTCCAAAAATAAATAAAAAATATTGGAAAACAAAAAAGTTAGAAAATACGCTTTTTTCAATTCGCATCTCCTAACGACAGGAAGTATTGACGACGAACGAAAGGTCGCGTCCTGGATAGTATCTATCACGATCTATAATCCCTGAAAGTTTCACATTGATATCTTTTACCGTTCTTGAGATTAACCACAGACAAAATGTCATTTTAAAATCAGGAAATGTCCCGTAACTTGGCACCAGATAAGAATTTTCAAAAAATCGCTCAGATAGATCAAGTTCATGTTACGATACATCGTTTCTGAAAATTTCATGTAATTCCATCCAGTAGTCTTCGAGAAATCGCGTGCACAAAATTTTGGAAAAAAAATTATAAAAAGAATAATAACTAGGAGACTTATTGTTCACAGAACAATAAGAGGTCTTTCCACCTTTTTAAATTTCTTATAGCTTTATATATTACTCTCTAATTTAATTTTAAGGGGGATGGCTTACAAAAGGAAATGAAAATTAAAAATAAAAAATTTGAAATGACCATGACCTTTGACCTTGATCAGATCTTCAAGGTCAAAGGTCATGGGTCACAATGCAAGTGACCCCATGCTTCTACGACTTTTAGTTCTATAGTTATAAGTTTAAATATTAAGGGCAAAGAAGTTAAAGGGCAATAACTCATATAAGGGGTCATTAAATCCTTTAGTACTTATACAATGAAGGTGTGCCTAAAGACCCTTAAGACATTAGTGAAGGTTTCATGCCTCTACGATCTACGGTTTTGAAGTAGTAGTGATAACAATGTTTTTCGCATAAGGGGCTAAAACTTTTGATAGGGTCAATCTTGGGGAACAAGAATGAAATCTTTGAAATAATTTTAAGAGTACATATTAATGATGTAAAGAATGATTGCATATGTTAAAAGACAAAAGAGATATAAAAAGAGCTTAATTTCTTATTTTTGAAATGACCTTAACCTTTGACCTTGACAAAATATTCAAGGTCAAAGGTCAAGGGTCACAATGCAATTGACCAGATGCTTCTACCATTTATAGTTTTCAAGATATAAGGTTTAATATTAAGTATAAAGAAGTTAAAGGGCAATAACTCGTATAAGGGGTCATAAGATTCTTTTGCACTTATACAGTGAAGTTAGGACTAAAGACCCTTAAGACATTAGTGAAGGTTTGGTGTCTTTAGGGTCTACGGTTTCGGAGGAGTAGCGATAACAAGGTTTTTCGCACAAGGGGCAATAACTTTTAAAAGGTTTAATCTTAGGGGACAAGAATGAAATCTTTGAAATAGGTTTAAGAGTACATATTAATGATGCATAGACATTAAGTATATGTTGAAAGACAAAAGAGTTACACAAAGAGCTAATTTTCTCATTTTTGGAATGACCTTGACCTTTGACCTTTATATGAATTTTAAGGCCAAAAGTCACTGAATCTTATGCAGTTGGTCCCATGTCTCTATGACTTCTTGTTTTGAAAATTTTTAATTATTTGTAAAATTCAAAATCTTCCAGGGGCAATAACTCATTGATGGGGTCAACGAATTCTTTCGCAATGAATCAATGAAGTGTCTACTAAATTAGTCAAAGACATTAGTGAAGGTTTCATTTCTCTACGGTTTATGGTTTTGGAGGAGTAGCGATAACAAGCTTTTTTGCGAAAGGGGTAATAACTCCGAAAGGGGTCATAGTTCATACACGCAGGGTCAACTGCGAAAATCTTTTACGGAGTACATTCATATGAACTTAAAATCTTTTCGATAAATCTTGAAATTCAAAATCACACGGCGGAAAAATAATAAAAAATAAAAAAAAAAACAGAAGAAAATCAATAGGTCTTTCCACAGAAAGGTGGAAAGACCTAATAATAAACAGTAGAATAACTATAAGGTCTTCCGTGAAGACGGAAGACCTTAATAATAATAATAATAAGAAACAGTACAATAACTATAAGGTCTTCCGTTAAGACCGAAGACCTTAATTAGAATGATTTATTCAAAATAGTTGTTTATATGTTGTAAAATAGAAATATTTTACTCAAATGTTGTTAATTATTATTTATTTCATATCTATATTGATATTTAATTTATTAATTTTATATATTAAACCCCAAATGTTAAATAGACAAAGAAAAATAGAAGTCGGATTTTTTTGGCAAATTATTATTTAGATATTTCTTCATATGTATCGATATGCGTATCATCCACACAGATATCACGATATATCGATATCTCGATATATTGTCCCAGCCCTAAGAATAAAGTCTGTAAAATTAAGAAGTCCTTCAAAATAAGGGAGTGAGACTTTTAAACTGCAAATACTATCATTTCTCCAATAAGCCTTATCCATTTGAATGTTACATGCATAATAAAACTATTCAGCTTATTCTGTTCATTTTTACAAAAATCAACACAACCTTAAGAATTTATCAGCTTTAATTTACATTGTATATCTTCTAGTTAAACGAGCAAAAATACAGCAGAACCTCATGTCATAATAATAAGAATTTTTATGCTGTGAATTTTTTTCATTCAGAAATTATAAGTTTTGAATATAGGATATAATTTATTTTATAGATATTATGAATTGTGAATGCAAGATATAATTTATTCCTCTTTTCATTTAAAGGTCAAAAGAAAGTTTCAGCTTCCTACTATGAAAGTATGCAACCATACAGTAGCAGAGAAGGTAGTCGACCCTTTAAGAATGGAGAATATAGCAGAATCCTGCAAAGATTTGGCAACACAAATTAAGGTATTGCTTTGTCCAATAAATATAATGTTTTATGAAAAAGAAATTTATAGATTGATTGACTGTGTATATTAATTAAATTTCTTAATTAGGGCCCCGCAAGGATTTGCAGGTGCCCTATAGTAATCACTCTGTCTGTCCGTCTGTCATTCTTCTGTCCACAAATTTTCTGTTTTTTCCTAATAACTTTTTTTATGGTAGCCCAATTAATTTCAAATTTGGTATGGTAGTTCAGTAGGCAGAAAGACATATTTTGATGCCAAGTTTGTTTTTCTGTGTCCTCTGGTTTGAGCTGGGTTGGTGGGGTAGATTCCTTAACTTTATATAAGAATGAATTGGCATAGAGAGATAACTTCTGAAAATGTTCCCATTGTAAACTGAATACTGCAATGAATGAGTCCCTTGGGATTAATTAGCTCTCCTCCTGAAGGAAATCCAAAGCATTATCTTTATCTGTCACATTGAGATTAATTACCACCTCTGTCTGCAGATGAAGTTTGTTTTGAAGTTAAGTCAATTTTGAATGCTATGAACACTCTGAAATTTGGATTTAAGTATAAATGTTTATACTTTATATTTGTTGAAATACCCTACACAATGTGTTCTGATTTCATTGAATTATAAAAACAAGAAATAGATTAAAGTAGATATATTTTTTTATTTTTTATTTATTTATTTTTTTATGTTAATTCAAGAATATTATTAATTTTCAAAGTAGTAGGATAAAAACCTCATTCTATCATTACTGAAAAAGTTCTTATTGTAAATTTAGAAGAAAATGATGAGAGAGAATAATAATCCCTTGGGATTAATTATCTAACCTGCTGCAGAAAATTTATAAGGCTTATCTTTATCTGTCACTTTAAGATTAATGAAAACCTTTGTCTGCAACTGCTGTTTGTTTTTAAGTTAAGGTCAAGCCTTCATGATATGTATTTGCATTCATTGAAGGCTGGCATATTTTATATAACACAAGCTTCATTATTGTTTAAATATACATTCAATGCTGAGTTGTTCTTTACTGCCTTATGTAAATACAAGAATATTATTCATGTTATTTACAGGTTTTTGCATATTCAGGAATTATCTTGAAATTTTAAGAATACAGTTGATGTTTCTTATTCTTCATATATTTTTGAATAATTTTATAAACTGCACCCTTATAATTCTACCCAGTGGCGGGGCCCTTGCTGACTGGTCAGTTTTCTAGTTGGAATTATAATTTTATATAAAGTAAATATTTTGATAACTGGTTAAAAATGATATGTAGGAGAAAATAATTTGTTTCTCCAACTGCAAATTTTAAATGAACTTTTGTATAGAAATGTTATAAACAGATTGTAAACAAAGTTTTTTTCTAATATATATAATATATCAGTTGGAACCATCATGCAATGCATTGGGCATTGCATCAGATGAGGTCAATGTTAACAGAATTTTTTACTAGATAAAAGCCTTGTCCTTTTTGTTATACAAGCAGCTTGCACATGCATTGATCACTCATGCATACATGTCCAAGAACAAATTTGATGTCGATATCGACAATATTATGTCGATATCGTATCGATCGTGATCAGCACTATTATTTAGAAATACCTGGTGCCACATTTGAGACTCTATATAACGTCTATATGACGATATCGCATCGATATCGATCCTGTTTGCACAATTTATTTTCACATTGAGGTATAACTTAATTTTACAAAGTCGCAAGGGAAGTCAAAATTGATTCATTATTGATGAATATGTAAATAAATTATAATTAAAACAATTTAAGGGTTATTATTGTTTAAGTTTAGATTTAGAGTAAGATGTTGGGCTACGGTGAATTTTTTCTTAAATTTGTAAAAACAATCATGATTCGATATCGACGATATCGACAGTAAGGTAAACTTTTTAAACACAGAAGTGATGTAAATATACAGTTTTTGTATTAAGTTGAAGATTGGTAAAGTAATATGCTTTTAACAATCGTGAATCGATATCGATACGATATCGTCGATATCGACGATATCGATGGCAGGTAAAATCTTCGTAAAAGTAAAGTAATTAAACATAAACACATTCAAAGTAACAGGGAAGGTATTTACCAAGGGCTGAGCAAACATGATTCGATATCGAAGCGATGTCGTCGATATCGACGATATCGACACTTCAGGGAGAGATTTATAAAGAAATTTTTAAGCAACAGTTGTGAAAAACACCATATTAAGGATGGAAACCACAATTCTTCGAACAACCATGATTCGATATCTTCACGATATGAGGATATTGACAGTGAAATTGTCTTAAAACAGGATGTATTGTAATAAACACACGTGAATAGAGAAATACTATAGAAAACTATTAAAAAAAGTAATGTGTCGATATCGTAACTACATCGTGTCTTGGACATAACTCCACTCATGAGGAATAGTTTCCTACCTATATGGCATCCTTATTCATATTTATTTCTTCTAATATTTCAGACTATTCCTGATGCCCTCATCAAAACAGACAGACTGAAGAAATCAACGGAAATGTTCGAGAACCACAAAATGACTCTGCCCAATGGCGTCTTGTTTAATGACAGTGTAGTGATTCCTCCCGAGGAACCCTCCCTTCAGAGCCGGCTTCTGGTACAGCTACAGTAGGGGGATAGTCAAGCTACTGCTGGTGTTACCCATAGGTCCCATGTTGAAAAGTCTGTTATTTACTGGTTTTGTTTTAACATTGTTTTCTCTTTTTTACCAGTATTTTAAAGACACTAGTGCATTACAATGAAAAAGAAATTATTTACTGTATTTATTTACTGTAAGATTTTTAAATGTACATATATGTAAATATGTAGTGGTATATAAGAGTTGCTGATATTATTTTGTTTTGTATAAAATCTGTCTTTTTGTACTCAAATGAAGTATAGTATAAAGTGTGTAAAGTTATACAGATAATTAGTTACATTATAAGCATGACTTGTCTGTAGAATTGTTATTGCTTGTTTGAGATGCCTCTAATGCTGCATTATTAGGCTACTCTGGTCAGTATTTCTTTTATGTTTAAAAAAATTTTTTTCTTTATCTTACTTTCATCAGAAAAGTTTTTTTCTTTATCTTACTTTCATCAGAAAAGTTTTTCCCACTTTTGTTTTTCATTATTGCTTAATAGCAGTAGAACCTTCTTCCATTTCCCATTTACACACAAGAAAATGTAAAGCTGATTTCATCATTTCATTTCAACAGTATATTTTATATGAAGAATTCACATGTGCATTTTTCCAAAGGAAAATTTTTCTTATTTTATCTAGGCTAAGTAAATTGGAACATCATGCTTTGTCACAGTTGGATTGTCCATTCCTTTGTAACAGTGTTTAAGCATCAGAATTGCTTTAAAAGATATAATATACATGAATGTAAACCCTGATACTTGTACAAAATGTACTACACTTTTTTTTCATTTCTTTACTGATTCTACCTTATATTTTATGAATGTATATATGAAAAAGTCTATAAAACATTTGGTTGATGAAAATGGTAATAAGAAAATGTGAATGTTTTGCATGTAGTATTGCACGATTAATATCATAATAACAAATGTCAAAAAACAAATGTCTATGTACATTATCACAGTATAGCTATAAACACACTTCCAGTCATCATGGCTTTGTTTTACTGTTTCCAAGAAGGAGACTTGCAGAGGAAAGTTATCACAGTCTGAGTGATTTTTCCCCAAAAGGGAGACAACTCTACCAACATCTCTTGAAGAAGTGCTTGGTCTGACCGATTCCATTTGTAAATCAATTACAGATTCAGTGTAAATTTAGCTACAGAAGCAGTTTTCTTTTTTGACAGACTTCCTGTTAATGTTGATGTTAATAGTTGGTGTATCGTCTCGTATAGGAGTTCTTCCATTGTCACTCAGATCTTTGAGGTGAGATGCCATGGATTCAAACAGTTGTTCTACATTGTTGGATGTTTTAGCACTTGTTTCTATCACAGGAATATTATGCTGGTCTGCAAAGTTCTGAAAGAATGAAATATAACTAATTTTAAATTGTTTGGGTGCTTAAATATGAATGCTTGAAATTTTTCCCCAGAGTGGATATTTTTTGAGTACCACTGAATAAATGAGTAAAGCAATGAATGAAAATTTTCCAAAGGATTGGTATTTTCTGAGTACCACTAAATAACTTGGTAAAGCAAACATTAAGTAATACCTTTGCCTCTGTATAATTGACCACTCTTTTGGGCTGTAAGTCGGCCTTGTTCCCTACCAGCACCTTGTAAACTCTCTTGTTGGAATAATTCTCTACATCTTCTAGCCATTTAGACACATTTTGAAAAGATTCCTTAAACAGAAAAATGGAAATAGAGGTACATATTTCAACTACCGGGTATATTGTTCACTCTGTTAATTGAGGATCAAGATTATGTTTGAATACAACAGACCAGGAAGTTTTAAATTTTTTATTTAAAAATTTACATTGAAAGAGTGTGTTTTCCCAAAGTTAAGCTTAAAGTTGAATATTAAAAAGGAATAATGTTAAAGAATGTCATTCCATTTGGAAATACTACCTTGTCCGTGATGTCATAAACCACTAAAATCCCGTCGGCATTCCTGTAGTAAGCTGTGGTGATGGTCTTAAAACGTTCCTGTCCCGCTGTATCCCACTGAAATAATAAAGTGATGGATACTGTCTAATAAAACGAAATGATGTCCACTTCTACTTATAAACTTAAACTCTTTAGGCAAAGAGTTCTCTATTTTTCTGAAAGTTAGCGGGGGGGGGGGGGGGGGGGGCTGTATCAATATATCGATACGTATCGATATTCAAGACTAATATCATATCGAAAAATAACTTCCAATACGTTTCAGACAAACATTTTTTCTTCTAATTCTGTTTATAAGAAAAGAATTTCAATCACCAAAGATTATATTTCCCTTTTTTGGAATTAAAACTGTTCTATAATTATACAATTTGTAATTAAATAACACAGTTTTTATAATAATTACAAAATACAAAGAGAAATTTATTTCAACATGTTGATTTTACTGTCATCAAAAGTTTTAATCTGAAGTGTTATATAATTATAACGACAATGAGACAAGAACTATAAAATGGGTAATAAAACACTTAATTGTTATGAAAGAAAGTGGGCGCTTTAGATGGCGATTCGGCAGGAATAGTGGCTCATAAAAAGAATAAAAAATTATCATTGTTTACATAGGCGTAGTCACAGGGGGGGGGGGGGGGCAGCGGGGGCACTAGCCCCCCCACTTTCAGATCTGGGGGGGCAAGAGTATGTCTGTGCCCCCCACTTTTTAATGAAGAACAAAATCACAGCTATTTTTCCCCAACATTACCTTTACTATAGGAAAGTATAGTTATATTGAAGAATTGTGGGAAAGAATTGGAATCGAAAGTAACTTGCCTTTGAAAAAGTTGCCCCCCCCCCCCACGAAAATAGGATTTTCGAGTTTGGGGAACTTTCAATTTCTCTTTTTTTTTTTTTTTTTTTTTTTTGCTTGTCAAAGAATTTCTGGAGTTGAGCCCCCCACCCCACTTTTAAGTTGTTTTTTTTTTTTTTGCTTGTCAAAGAATTTCTGGAGTTGAGCCCCCCCCCCCCCACCACTTTTAAGTTTGTGACTACGCCTCTGGTTTTATACATTTTTTTCAAAACCTAGCCAGTGACTGTGTCGTATAGGTGAATTTAAAATAGGCAAAATTTCAGTTAGATATGTTTGGTTTTATTTGAATATGCACCTGAATATAGCCCTACGAGTCAAACGATGCAAAAATTGACTCTTTTATAACCGTTTTCCATTAATTTTGTTGTTTTGGGGTCTTCTCTCCATAAATTTTAAATGCTTTATCGGTGTATTTTTAACCGTAAAATTTATTCCAGTTGTTTAAAAAATGGAGAGACGACCCAGAAATACCAAAATCTAAACTTTTTCTATTTATTTTCTGGTAGAAAATTGACTAAGTCCAATTATATAGGGCTTTGGCTTTAAATAATGATTTAAATACTAGCGTTGGATAGTGTCCCGCGGTAGCTACATTGGTTTGATGCTGGATTCGAACCATATCGACGCAGAATTTTAGGTTCGAATACAGTGATTTTTATTTTATTTTTTTTTTCTTTTTGCTTAAAATTTTGAATTGGTAGTAAAAAAAAATACTCCTTGAATAAAGTTTCAAAATAATGTTTTATAAATTATTGTACACTATAATTGTTTTATATTTCAATGTCATTTTGTCATTTATAGTGCTAGAAATAAACATCGATAACTTGTATCTACAAAGTTACACCTGATGAAAAAAATATTGAATATATTAAAAAAAAATAGCAACTTCGATCGTTCTGTTACATTCATTATTTTCAGTGCATTTGAAAACTGAGCACAAAAATTATTTAGTGTTAGACTTCTATTATATTCTGTTAAATGTATCCAGCATAGATAATTTATCTTTTATGACACCTTTTAATTGAAAAAAATATATTTACAAATAAACAAATATAAGACAGAAATCCATTCCCATGAAGTTTCTAGGTTCATTGTATAAGATATGTATTAAAACTACTTGGTGCTTGGACATTTAAATCTGAATTGTTTCGTGTCAATGATTCCTGCCGACTGCCCATCTAGTGCGCCCACCTTCTTTATGCATTAAAATGATTTAGAAGCCTTTTCTGATGGACTTGTTTTAGAATCCAATATATCGCATATCGCTTTGAAAAATATTGTATCGTATCGAAATTTTTGGCTCAATACACAGCTAGGGGAGGGGGGATGAATTAGAAAGCATTATTATTGTAACCGAAAATTTAAAGTGATGATGTCAATTTTCGTCATATTATGTTTAAGATTTTCAAGATCCACAATATATACACACAAAAAAATTACATGCGTAATTTGTTAAACTATAAGTCATTCACAAAATTATTTACTACTAGAGTATATAATTCTGTAATTATTAAACATTCACGATTTCTTTGGGAATTATTCATGCAGGGAAAATAATGTCACTTCAGTTTGAGACAATTTTTCCGTTTACGTACAAACATTTGATGTCTACAACAAATATAATGAGTACTAGTATTTATCTGGATATAATCTAAATATTGTACTTACTATCTGTAAACGCACTGTTTTCCCGTCAATTTCAAGTGTCCGGATTTTCTACAATAGTTTTATTGTATTCAGATTTGAACTGTATTTTTAAAGGTTCGTGTATTTATTAAAACTGATGAACTAGGAAGGTAATATAAGTAATTAGGTACAGTGTTTGTATATATACTTACAAAGTCTACACCGATTGTGCTGATATAAGTCTCTGTAAACGATTCATCCTGAAAGAAAAAAATGTAGATATTACTAGTACATGTATACCTATAAATGGGGGAAAAACTTTTACAAACTTTAACTAGAAATGATATATAATTTTTTTTTCTTTATAATTGTAATTTAGACTCAACTTAAAAAAAAATTAAAATAGGTAAATGCATGAAACCGAGTCCAAACATTTTTACATTTACTGCATTTCAACCAACTTACCGTGAATTTCAGCATTAAACTAGACTTCCCAACACCGGAATCCCCAATAAGCAAGATTTTGAAAACATAATCACTGAAAAAAAAATCATTCAGCATTAATTTCCAGTCTGACCAGAGATTAAATTTTTTTCTTAATCATTTGTCTTAATTATTTGAGTAGAACAGTCATATAAATGACAACCCACCTGTCCATTTCGGCGGTTTTAAAGTTTATGTTGTTAAATGCCACACGACGGTTTGTTTATATACTATGTACATACAAGAAGACTAAAACACGCTGGAAGTATTGAGCTGTTCTATCACATCTATATTTAGCCAGCAGTGAATCATTGAACGCTGGGATTTTCGTCTAGCATGGATTTTAAATAAATATTAAAATATCATAACCAATAAGAGAGTTAATTGGGTGTGACGTTAACTGTTAATAAGATGGGATTTGACTACAAGCACTTGACTGTAAGGGTGGTTTATCCCCACCCCATCCCTTCCACACACGTGAGAATTTGATAAAAACACAAAACCTGATCGAATATTTTCTAGCATTTGATGCATATATATTCTAATATCATTTCCCAATTATGTTACGGTTTTAAGATTGTCCCTCCACCAATCAATATACCCCCATACTTGATTGACTGAACAATTCAAAAGTACTAATTATCAGCAAATTGTTTTTTTTTTGGGGGGGGGGGGGGTTACACCACCCATGCGTCAAGTGCCCGCGATTTTACAAACGAATGAAATAACCATTTTATTAAAATATCCAAATAATCCAAAACCCAAATAACTTTCGTAGTCGTTTTATAAATAAAAAGAACATTCTTCAGCTGAATTCCAGTGTCAAATACTCCAATTAATATAACTTTTTATAGATTCATAGTAATGCAGTTCATATGGAAACATATCTGTCTTTTTAATGAAAATTTTAAAATAATATTTATGTTCCCGTTAAACAATTTAATAAATAAATCATTTTTAATTACGCTGAAATGTTTTTGCGTATTGTGAGAAAAATTTCACTAAACAATGAGGGAACTCGCCGAAACTTCCTGTCTAGCAAACAGTCATAACTGATAAATGGGATCCCGATTTCAGTCTCTGCTTTGGGGAGAGTGGTTGAAGTCTAACTGGTCGGCTTGTGGTTAATATCTCGTATCCCACAATTTGCCTTCTTTTGGGTATCAAACCTCGATCCAATTCGCCCGTCTTGTACACACTCTCGACGCGCAGTTCGCTTTTTGGGAAATGTCCTCGTGTAAGACAGCGGTTCTTCTCCCATATCTTGGAAACGAGGGTCAGGTCTGGTTTTGAGCTGCTTTCACCATAGAATTCACTTCCGAAGTTGTGATTCACGGCAAGACTTTCGTCCATTCGGCTTAAATTCCTTTCATTCAGTTGGGGGAAGAGTCTGTCTTGTTTCTTGCGGCCTCTCCCTTTCTTTGATCGGCTCTGGGAGGAAAACTTGAAAGGGTTCCCCAAAGTATGGGGTCTTACAATGGTACCATACGGAGCATTCTCAAACACCGGACCCAGTGTTGTTTCGAAGTTTGAAGCCGACGCGTTCGAAAATGGCAGTGATTCGCTTGCACTTTCGTAATTTGAAGCACTGGCTGTTGGAACAGAAGTCAAAGTTGTGGTTGAAGTGGCAAGATTTCTGTTCAGACCCGGAACATTTTCACTTTGAACAGTTTTTCTATTTGCGTACGCGTATTTTTTCATCATTCTCATTGCAATTTTATCCTTTTCCGTTTGCATAAGGTCCAGTTCTCGTCTGGTTTCGATGATTTGCTTTGTCATTTTGTAAAGAATGGCATCGTATTTTTCCTGCAGCCCGTTCAGATACCTCTGTAGCCGAGTATCGGCCATTTTGTTAACTTTAGACACCAGCGAAATATCCAAATCATAAGAATCATTGATAATTTTTTTGGAAAGCGTCATTTTTTCCTCAACACCTGGTAATAATTTCACTGTCTCGTGAACATAACCTAGACTTGCAGATCTTCAATTTCTACAGTGCCATTGTTCTCAAATTACCACCTAACAGCGTATCATTTGTTTATCAGACATTTGAACTTTCAAAAGACAAAAGATGAATTCAAGCACATATTTGATTATAGAGGCGTAAATCGTGGTTCACTGCGGAAGAGTGTATGGTTATATGCGATAAATATTTCAGTTTGTGTAATATAGTACATGAAATAGATTATGACACTCAAAACCCCTTTAATATTTATTAGATTCCAGGCCTTAGCTAACTGGCGAACGAACCTTATTTCAAATTTATTAATTTAGGGCATAGCAAATTATTTAACATTAGATCATATACATGTTCGTACATTTGCATTCCCCAATATATGTAACGGATTAACTACTCGTAACCATGACCAAGCTGAAAAAGGCTCAGCTTCTTTTCACTTCAGTCAAGCTGAGCAAGACTAAACTGCTCCTCATACATCCCAGTCAAGCTGACCAGAGCTCTCAATTTATAGCTGATTGAGGCTCAAAAGCACTACACCTCAGTAAAGCTGACCAAGAATAATGCTTTTCCCTCAGTCAAGCTGACCATGCTCATCAATCCATCACCTCAGTCAAGCTGACCAAGGCTCATATGCGTTTCATTTCAGTCAAGGTGGCCAAAGCTCATCTGTTCCTAACCTCAGCAAAGCTGACTAGACTCAATGCTCCTCACCTCAGTCAATTATACCATGACTCAACTACCTTTCACCTCATTTTAGCTAATCATGATCCTCAAATCATTCACTCTGACCAAGGCTTAACTTTCTATGACCTCAGTAAAGCTTTCTAAGGCTTACCTGCTTCTCAACTCAGTCAAGCTGACTAAGACTCAACAGCTCCTCACCTCAACCCAGCTGACCAAGACTCAACAGCTTCTAACCTCAACCCAGCTGAACAAGGCACAACAGCTCCTAACCTCAGGCAAGCTGACCAAGGCTCAACAGCTCCTAACCTCAGGCAAGCTGAACAAGGCTCAACAGCTCCTAACCTCAGGCAAGCTGACCAAAGCTGAACAGCCCTTCCCCTCAGCCAAGCTGAACAAGACTCAACAGCCCCTAACCTCAGCCAAGCTGACCAAAGCTCAACTGATCCTAACATCAGTCAAGCTGACCAAAGCTCAACTGATCCTAACATCAGTCAAGCTGACCAAGGCTAAAACTTTTTCTGACCTCAGCAAAGCTGACTTAGGCTCAACTGGTTTTCACCTCAGCAAAGCTGACCAAGGTCCCAACTACTCATAACCTCAGTACAGCAACCAAAGTCAAGCTTCTAAAGACTCTGTCAAGCTAACCAATGATTTAACTGCTTCCAACATCATTCAAGGCAACAAAGGCTCAAACTCTGACAAACTAGGCTGACCAAAGCTTAAGACTGAAACTTTTTCATGCAAAATTGAAAATATACAGCTTATACTGGGTATCACTTACATCTGTTGCAGTCAAAATATTTCATGACACACAATGAAATGGGTACAACATGGCTAGGATGTCTTAGAAAACACTTTATTGAAATTTTAGTTTGAAGTTGATTATTTTTACAGCTAAGTGTTAACTGTACACTGTATATGGGGAAATTTTCGCCCCCGTTTTATTTTCGCCCCTTTCGCCCTCTTCCTGACTGGGCGAATTTAAAACGGTGCGAATTCAAATTACACAGCATAATTTCTTAAACAGAACTATGACTGGGCGAATTTAAGATGGGGCAAAATTGTTTGCAAGTGCAAAAGGGCGAAAATAACACGGGGCAAAAATAACCCTGTATACAGTAATTCAAAAGACAAATACATTTCTTTTATACACTGAGTTTTCTAACTACAGGAACTGATTTAAAAAAAAATATATACATTAAAACTTTGCATATGAAAATATCTTGGGTAGATTGAAAATGAATTTCAAACTAGAATTTTAATCCCATGTTTTTCTAAGATATCCGTCAACATTGTAAACTCCCCAATCCCCCTGCTTGTCTATCATCAATATTTTGATTGTAACTGATGGAAACAACGTAAGGTGCATATATCCATGTTTCCTGATCTTAAGGAATTAAAAACTCATTTACATTCATTACCAAAGATAAAATTTAGCAGATGGGATCCTTCCAGCTTATAATAAAATGATGTAAAAAATTATGTAAAAAATGATTTATTTCCATCTGATATCACGTGATATACATGTATGTACACAAATTCATCATATTATGAGATAAATCCCCAGTATTTTACACATTTAAAATTTTTTGTCCTTAATTTAAGGATCCACAACTCTATTCCTTCTGTTATGAGATGTGTGTTGAGTAGAGACAGGAGATGAAGTCACTGTGTGTCTGATCAGACCTCACTACTCCCTTCTCTTTTTACTTTTACTTCCTTCGTAGTCCCTACTCGACCGTGAATCGTCGGCATTCCTTTTATCTCCCCTCTTGGCCTGCTCCAAGAACTGACCCAGACCGAAGGGATCCTCTTCATCTTGTTCAAACTGGACGGGTCCCTCCCTTCTGGCATTCCTGTCTGTTCCTGCAAATCCTCTGTCAGGTACAAACCTACGAAAAAATTATATAAGACATTTAATACTGTGTAATAAAAACATCTTTGGAATGCAAGGACTAAAACAAACAAAAAATTAACTATACATGTATCCCATCAATTTCTATTATATTGGTCGAATGTTTACCAGTAGCAGAAATTGGATTAAAAAAAGAATTGATTACATTGCATTTCAATTATTGGGATTGATATTTAAATGTAACATGCCCTAGTCTGACAGCACTAATTTAAGATTTTAGCAAACACATACATGTAATTTAAAAAATCTTCAATTCATTCAAAACATTACCCCCTATTTTTCTAAGCACAAAAATCAAAACATGGCATCCTAAGAAGATGTCATGCCTACCTGTTAGACTTCATAATAGTGTCCAAATCATCACCATACATCTCCTTGTCTACATTTTTGGAGGGTCGATAGATGCTGTTAGCAATCTGTGAGTGATCCTTTCTCCAGGGCTGGTCATAAACATTGTATGCTTCCTCATCCCCATAACCACTGTCCATACCCTTCATAAAATAAAGCACATCCATGAAACATTCAGATCATAACATTAGAGTCGACTGATCTTCATTATTACAAATCATATAATACTGTAGATCACTTTTTCGCGACACCTTATTTTGGCAAGATAGTTACAGACTCTTTACTGGTGAGACAAAATTTCAAGCACTGTGGTTATTGCTTTATATAATCTTTAGGACTGGTCATATATGCAAGGATGAAATTTTCGCCAGTTTGCTAATGTAATTGCATGAAAATTAAGTCCTCATGAATAAAAAGTGATTTACGGTATTTAGAACCAGCATTTATAGAAGAAGTTAATAGACTCTGCTATCTCTACCTTAGACTGATTAAAGAGACGCTGGTCAAACTGGACATCCCCACTGCCCCCGGCTCGGGAGTCTGGGATGTTCAGGGCAATCTTCTCACTGATGTCCCTGTCTCTTTCCCTCTGAATTCGAGATCTTCTGTCTGGGGCAGCCCGGGCCAAGTTTCTGTCTCGCTGTCTGTCCTTTTGTCTCTCTCTACGGATTTCATCCCTCTCTGTGACTTCTTCATCTGATACATAAAAGCAGTTAATAAGGTTATCATTTGTTTTCAGAGTACGATAATATTAATCATAATTTTCTACCTATTCAGTTACAAATAATTTTACATGTACTGTATTAAGAATGAGAAAAAGGACTGCTTTAAGTCCTTACCGTCATGTTGTTTGATTCCTGCCCTTTCGTCCCTAGCTTTCTGAGCCAGCTGTCTCAGTGTGGCCTCTTTCTTTTCCTTTTCTCTCTGAGCAATCTTCCTGTCTATTTGGGCCCTCATTTCAACTGCTTCTCTTGCCTGAAATCACAAAACAATCAATATTTCAGACTTCTTTTTCTATAAAAAAAATATTTGTCACATTTTGACACCTCCCTCCCCTAAATCAATATCAGTGGTTTGTATTCCCTTTTTCTGCAATATTTGCACCATAGGACATTTTCACATGTGTATCTACAGGTAGCAATCTTTCAGTGAACTGCTGTTTGCTCCATCAGATTTATTGCTTTTTTAACATAATTTATCCTGGATCCTCACCTTTCTGTCAGCTATGTACAAGGCCTCAGCAAGTTTGGCAAAATTTTCATTGATGTGGACACCTTGCAGACCCCTTCCATCTGCTGCAAGTCTCTTGTCAAGAGGAATTGTGTAACCCTGGAAAAAAATAATTTTGAAAATTTTTAAAAATACCCAATAATAAAAAAAAATAAAATTAATGGAAGTTCTAATATTTTCTAATATTATAGATAAACAAGCCTCAAAACACGATTTTAAGTGATTTACAAGTGAACAACCATTATCTCTTTGTTATTTTGGATTTCTTTTTAATTTTATTAAGTTCAATGTGCTTGGGGGAAACTTGAACCTACATGGATGCCCTAAATATTATCAAATCACAATACTACCTTGGCATTTTTCCAGTTTGAAATACAGGGAGGAATCTTCCATTCTTGTTGCTCTTTTACTGTAACCTGAAAAAGAAACACCGTTTAAACATGTCCATTTCTTGCAATAGAAAATGTAAAATTAAATTTTTCTTCATTAAAATGATGCCGTAACAAGAGAATGTAGCACCTTTCTGTTGGGGGAGTGCATCACAGGTGCGGGTGGTGAGGGTGGGCCTCGAGGAATCTTCTTGTTAACCCTGAAGACAAAAGCATTGTGGTAATAAATATCTATTAATGCAATTGAAGGGGAATTTATCATTTTATGAGTTAATATACAATTTTTTAACCCTCGCCCACAAAAAATTATTTAACATTTTAAAGTTTATAACTGTAGGTGGTTTTAATTCCATGGTCTTAAAATTTCATGATATCTCAAAAAGTACCAATTGCGATGGTTTTAATTTCCCGCTGCAAGAAATTAATTCAAATTTTGTATAAGCATCTAAACGTTTCTAAGAACTAGTAATAGAATTCACGATGGGTTTAATTTCGCAGAAAAATGATAAATCGCGAACATAGCGAAATTAAAACCATTGTGATTATTTGCCAATCTACAGTATTTTAGCTAAAAAGAATATTTCTAGGGGAAAGGGTGTGTGTGTATGTGTTAAAAGTAATAAATGTAATAATTTAAACAATACTTACTTAAACTTTGGAGGCTCCATGGGGTCTTTCTGTGCCTCCACCATTCTAATGATTCTCTGTTTTGCACCTGAATTGAATGCCACTCCTTCTTGTGATGGGGTGTACCTAGGGGAAAAAATTAACTGATTAAATATATCACATTTTCAACTTTTGAGAAATCTAAATTTTGCTTGTTTGTAATTAAAGAATTCAAAATACTAAGAAATGATATTAACATAGTCTCATTCAGCCAATGATTTATGGATGTATCATGGATGACTTCAGGACAACAAAAATTGAGAAATTAGTTAAAACATCCAAGCAAATAAAATGACCTCTTTAAAAAGTCTAATTTCCCCTCGTAAATGTCTTTATTACCTGATATACTGTGCTGGGGCCTGTTTCTCGGCAGCTCTGACCGGCAGCGCAGCAGAGATTTTGGTGGACACCAGTTTCTCCAGGGCCTGCCTTGTTTTCTCTGTGGTGTCCATCACAGCTTCCTCGTCAGGTAGCTGCATGTCTGGGTCATCTTCATCTATTTGTTTTGGAACTAGGTCTTGAAATTTTGAGTGAACAACCTGTACAGAAAATAAGTCCACAAAATAAAATATAGCAAAGAAAACATTGATAATCATACAAAATGCATTTTAAATTTATTTTTTATCACCTATCAATTTCTAAACATGGTTTCTATTGTTTTTTATTGCAGTGTGATTGCACCTTTACATGAATACAATATGTGTATCATGAAATTCCACCTCAAATTTACTTCATAGCAACATACATGTAAAATCAAACAACTTAATTTAGAAAGTAGAATAATTATATGAAAGAGCACATCTATTACTTTATTTGGAGTCAATCTGGACTTAACATCTTGAAACAAGTTTCAGATATGTTTCTTGATTAACCAATTTAGAAAGTTCATTATTTGCTTTCCAATTTTATCAATTATTTGGAATAATTCAAATGTCACTGTGCTTATTTTACAATCCCATAGGACTTCTATGATTTGGATTTATACTTGTCTGACAAAAATTACATTGAAAAATTGTCCACTGATCGCTGAATTTATGTACAATAAATGATTTATACTATAAAAATTTCAATTACCTTGTCTTTCCCATGGCCATATCTGGCAATGGCATCATACTTGATTTTCCCACTGCTGTCTAACTGAACTGCCAGTGCATTTGATGTGGACTTCTTTTGCCCCATTCCCAGTGGAAACTGTGCCACTGGAACCTCTGGAAATGCTCCTCCATCTCCAAAGTCCTATTGAAAATGAAATGTACTTCATACTCAGTATACAGGTATAAATCAAGTACATTTACTTTTTAATAATGTAGAGATAGAAATTGGAAATAAAGAAAAGAACTGAGACTTGACATGGCATTTAACTTACTTTAAAATAAAATGTTGTAGACAAAAGTAACATTTAGAAATTGAAATATGAAGGAATGACAGAAAAAGTGAGTGGAATGAGGGATGTAAAGGGTTAGATGAGGGCATAAAAAATACAATAAACAACAACTACAACAAAATGTGTACTTTATAAATGTATCATATAAGGTAAACCACAAAGTTAAATGCCACACCTCCTGTGTTCTTGGAATCCATCCTTTTCTGTGACCATATGGTGGGGCAGTTCTTCTGCTCATAACAGGGAGCAGCTGATTGAGAAAAAAAAGATTAGAAAATAAAATGTGAAATAAAGTTGCATATGTAACAGAACATGTATCTGGATAAATTACAATTTTTGTTCTGCATTAGAAAAGTCATCTAAGAAACCCTAATCTCAGACTTTCGGGGGCTTTCAGTTGGCATAGTTATCCTTACTGCCCAAAAATGATATCAACATGTGAAAAATATACCTGTGTCTGAGCTCTCTGTTGACGTTCATCATCTTCTCTATCAAAGACATGCTGGCTTGGAGATGGCAAAATGCTGGAATAATACAACACAGACATTAAGTTGAGAATTATTGCTGAAATAGGACATTATATCCTAAAATGATTACAAAAATATTAAAATTGGCTTCATGTCTGCTTTGAATACTTTGTTCTACTACTATTTCCTATAGGAATGAACTATAGTACAAAGTATTCGAAGCAGACTATTGCGGAACTCTTCAGCATCAGAGGTTTAAATGAATAGGATATTTCTATGAAAAATCAACAACTTTATATTTTGTTGGATTTAAACAATTTAAAGGTAAGAAAGGAAAGTTTTATAGTGATAGAGACTTAAAGAATGTCCAAAGGGAAAAGTTGAAGCGGACAGCGAATTCATTTTAGCCTGTATTGATTGAAACAAGCGATTGAAGTTTGGGCAAAAAAGCCCGAATCAGGTTATATGGAATTGATCTCAGATATCGAAGTGGACACCAGACCAAAATTTTTAGTCCCTATGACATCTCGCTGTTTATAAAAAATCGTAAACTGTTCCAACCCAGTTTATACCATATAAATTGGTTAGCTATTAAATTCATTGCTTATAATTTAATTTTCATTCATTTGATGTAAGAAAAAAAGATGACTGTTCTAACAAAATTTCAAATTGTACAAAATTTGAATGTAACGTCAGGCGGATTGATACATTTTTGACGCAAGTCTTTGTGATGTAGGCAACCCATTTTATACGATATAAAGTAAATATTTTTATCCAATCAAATACGGCGTTACAACCAGAATTAAATTATTCAGACTTCAAACCTGATCATGTTTGTTTTACACTAATTTTTCAAACATTGAACACATGCTGCTCATTTTGGGGTTAAACAGAGTAATTTTGAAATTGGGCCCATATTCGGCCCTACACAGGGCAGTGGAAAATCCCTGGTAAAATCTGTCAAAAAATGTCATTCAAGATTTTTCTTTCTTACAAATATTGTTTTCAATGTGAATAGAGAAAATATATAATTATCTTCACATTTGGCACACAGCTGTATATATTAAACGATTACTGAAAATCATATAAAGGTAATTTTTATTTTGATTTGATTCTCTTTTGCTTTTGTATAAGAGTTTTTAATGTTTTTGTTTTCTACTCACTCTGATAATTTCATCGCCATCTTGTCGGATGTCTGCTCATTACCTAAATATCAAAACTGAAAACATGTGAAATAAATTATCCCGGATATAATTGATTAGATAAAAAAAGAATTAATCATTAGTTTATCTTAAGTGATATTATAATTAAAGAGTGTAATTTTGTTCGGATAATTAGATTTACTGAAATGTTAACAAATCTAAACTAAAAAAAAAATAGAGCAATAATTTTTTACGAATTAGTTATGGATCAAACTGTCCATTACCCTTGAGCCCCTCAATGACAAGTTACACAACTGTCAGTTGGGTAAGCACCTGAATTTCATTCATCTATTTGTATCTACTACTCTTATTTATTTTGAAAGGGACCTGTTAACTTTTTATTTGTATGTTAACTCAAATTGGGATTGATTGACCGTTTTTTATGGAAACTGAAAGAAATTTACATTATAGAGAGAGTAAATTCGGAACATAATGTGATATGGTGGACAATATGTTGACAACCACTGGGTCGCACTGATGATTATTTGATACTCTCTGCTCTACAGTACGTCTAATTTTAAGGTCTTTGACAATCAATACCATTCATGTTCATATCTCACATGAATGAGTTGCAAAGGTAAATACCAACCAGGGTTGAAGTGGGTGAAAAGACTGGGATGGGGGTTAATATTGTCATATTCTTGACAGAAAGTGAATAAAGTATTACTGTTGTACTGTTGGGTAGACTTTATTTTACCGATCCCCAGATCCGCAAGATCCTCACACTCATTGGACTATGACGTAACAACTACGTCACTCAACTGAAATGGGTTAAATTTGCACACTATTCGACTGATTAGGGTTAGTCTTGCACCCACCTGAGAGATTAGGGTTAGTCCTTGCACTAGTATTCGACTGATTAGGGTTAGTCTCTCATCCATCCGAGAGATTAGGGTTAGTCCTCGCACATCATTCGACTGATTAGGGTTAATTAGTCTAGCATCTGCCCAGGAGATTTCGTCTAAACGTCTTAGTCCTTGCATACCATCCAATGGATTGGGGTTAGTGACTCGTTCTATAAGATAAGATAAGAATTTCAGTTGTTTCTGTATTTTTTCCAAGATCATAATTCAGCTTCAAAGGCATTTTGTTCATTTGTTTACATGAAAGAACGTCTAAGTTTGAAAGAAATGGCACTAAGCATGTGATGAACGCGCTTCGGTCGGAATTATTCTTTGTCACTTTTTTCCATGAATAAACAATATTTATTCATTTTTTTCAGAGAACAGGGTTAAAAACTACGTTTAAAAACAAAGTTTTTAACTAAATTTTTAACTTTAGAATTCAATTTTGGGGTCAAAAGGCCAAAAAACCACATATTTAAAATTTTTTGATCGCTCACACGATCTCTTATATATTGAAGTCGCCTTCGTCAACACTACAATTTTGCACGTTTTTCTGGGGAACGGTATAGTAAAGTCGTTCCGTACTGTTTTCTCTAAAATGTATGTAAATATCACAGTTTGATATTTACATGATTTTAAAATTGATTGGATCAGTCGACAAGTGAGGAAAAACCCTTAAACATGGTAACATATTTCTGTATAGTAAATGTGTACCTGTATTTGTTAAATTGCTTTTGTCATCCTTCAGAAGTTTTGGTCTTATCCTGCCACATTAATGTTTTATTTGCTACCATCACTGTGGGTCACTTGTTAACATTAATGTAACATGAGTAAAGTATTTTTGTATTTGATTCAAATTGATTGTGAGTTTGTCATGTTCGTATTTTAAAAATCATCAAAGTGTGATGGTTTTGCCACGGATATCTGCCTGGTTAGCTCAGATGTTAGAACACCTGACTATAGTGATGTAGGGGTCCCAAGATTGATTTCCAGTCCAGCCATACATTTTCTCCTTTCCTGTTACAGATTTTAGAAAATGTATGACTGGATTTGGAGTCAAACCCTGGAGACCTGCATCACTGGTGAGGTGCTCTAAATCTGAGCTACCTAGACTGATATCCATGGCCTGAACCAGTACAACAATAAACTTTTGTTATTCCCTGAAAAATTACATTTTCAGAGAAATGATCAATGATCACTAACAAAAACAAAAACCAAAAATCTGAAACAGCATGGTCACACTGGAATGAGAAGGTTAATACATGTACATGTATATACAAATTAAATTGAATTCTTTTGCAAATTTTTTTGGTAATAATTTTAAATTTCAGTGATTAATCTCTGATTCAATCTGAAAGAGGATCTAGCACTGCAAAGCAGATCAACTTTCAGTCTCCCAGCAAGGAGCCACTTGGTTAAGAGTCTTATAAAGAATCTTTATTGGTGCATTACAGAATATTGATTATGGAAGAATTTATTTTTCAAATACTTTAATTGCTGCATGTCATTGTGATTTATGAGTCAGTGATGCTATAATTTTCTTGTTAACAGAAAAAATGGTGCTTAGAAAGTTGTGGAGGGTAACAAAATACGGAGCCCTTGGAGGAGCCATAGGAACAACAGGCTACCTACTACAAAAGAATGACTGGGATATATCAACTATTGGAGTGGTCAGATTTGGTCAAGCAGCATGGGCAGTAAGTTTAAATAATGTGTTTGTGAACGGGTCTATAAGTTCTGTTGTAAAATCCTAGCAATGTTAATTAATTTTTTTTCTCATAAATATGCATATTTCAATATTTTCAAAATTTTACTTAATAGGTTAAATATTTTAAACAAGTTCATGTCCAAGCTAACTCTTATTTGCCCTACCTTGACCAAAAATGCATAGTTCATACATCTAATAAATATTTTTTATATATTGTACATTTAAATTGAGTCAGTTGAGATGAGCTTTGGAATTTTTTAATCAGTAAAGAGTCTTTATTTACCAATTGATAAGTATAGGCATTATTAAACTTGTGGATGAAGTGAAATGAAGAATTTCAATTTTTTTGTAAAATTTACTTTTACAGGCAGTGAGACTAGTAGCAGATTATAAGATAAACCTGAGGGGACTTGACTATGATTCTCCAGAATACCAGAAAGTCAAGTCAGAGGTAATGTAAAGCAGAGACACTGGAGTCAAAATTTAAAATCAGAGATACTGTGTCATCTGTGGATACCCATGAGTGATCTTGTCTCTTAATGATGAATAATTGAAAAGAACACCCATGATATCTAATAATAGCACTGGTAGTAAAAGGGTATTAGAGGTCAGAGATAACAGATTAAACTTTTCAATTATGATATATTAAGAATGTCATCAACTAAATACATGTACGATGAATTCTAATTTTTATTTTATTTGATTGATAAAAAACATCCTAAGACATAATTTAAAAAAAATATACATGTATATTTTTTTTTATTTTGTTAAGATTCATCTAAGGTCAGCCTTGCGATTGAGAGATATGTGCTGCACAAACGGGGGAGCTTTCATTAAAGTGGGACAACACGTAGGGTCTCTTGAATACCTCCTACCCAAAGAATATGTAGAGACCATGAAGGTTTTACATGATAAAGCCCCCCAGTCTGACGTGGAAGAATTGAAAAGAGTTTTTGAAGAAGATCTGAAAATGAAGGTAACATTATAACAAATTTCATTTTCCCCATGAATTTTTTGACAGCGTTTAGAGTAAAAATTGTCTACTGTATAAAATACAAATTAGAAATTTCAGTTGTATATCAAGTTTGAAATCTAAGAAGGTATGCTTCTTTTTGTAGGTGGAGGATGTTTTTGAGAGTTTTGAAAAGAATCCATTGGGAGCTGCTTCTTTAGCACAAGTCCATAAAGCAACTCTGAAAGATGGAACAGTACTAGCTGTCAAAATCCAGCATCCTCAAGTCAAGAGTCATTCTTATGTAGACATCAAAACAATGGAGGTAATAAGCTAATTGAATATTTTATAAAGATACAGTGTTTGTACTGTTGTACAATATTGCACCCCAAATGTGATATTTTAAATATTCATAATCCCTAATTTCGTGGAAAAAGTTAATTTGTATTAGATTTTTTAAGGGGTGGGGTGCATAGAGAATTGATTGAGACATCATATAATTCCTATAACTGTTAACTATAACAATAAAAATTTGCCAGTCACATAAATGCTCTGAAGGTAGTCATTAAGAGTGAGTTTGTTTTATTTTCTTTTACAGCTTCTAGTACACTGTATTGCCTGGATTTTCCCTGGCTTTCAGTATATGTGGCTTGCTGAGGAAACCAAAAAGAACCTTCCACTAGAACTGGATTTTGTCCATGAGGGACAAAACTGTGAGAGAGTAGAAAGACTTTTTAAACATTTCCGCTTTCTGAAAGTGCCAAAAATTCACTGGGAGTTGTCATCAGAGAGAGTACTGACAATGGAATTCTGCGAGGGAGGAAAAGTAGATGACAAGGCTTACATGGAGAAACATAAAATCGATGTCAATGAGGTATTTGAAAAGTTTTGTTGTGTGAAGAAAGCAATATAGAACAATTAGGTATATCATTTAACTTTAAAATCTTTTATTATTTTAAGAGATTGGTCACCATTGGCCACCAAGTTATATTTAGTGGTTTATTTGCTTCTGTTTCATTACTTTTTTTTAACCAGTATATGTTAAGTCAGATAAAGGGAGTAAACTCTTATTTTGAAAACTCATTGATGTTTGATCATATACAAAAATATTACTGAAGATTTGTATTACTATCAAAGCCTCACCTTTTCAGGTTAGTAAGAACCTAGGCAAGCTGTACAGTGAGATGATATTCGTCCAAGGTTATGTACATTGTGATCCTCATCCTGGAAACGTCCTGGTGAACAAAACAGAGGACGGAACTCAGATAATCCTTCTTGACCATGGATTGTATCAGGTTCAGAGATGATTTAGATGTATGATTTATTAAATTTCAAAGCTCTCTTTTACTTAGTCAAGTTGTTTGCATACATATCTGCAGTTATATATACCCCGGTAATCAAGTAATTTTCAATTGGTTTGCTTTATACATGCAATACTGTACATGTACATAATTTAGCGTATTCAAAATTTAGCGTAATCACTTGCTATAGAGTTGTTGGTGTCATCATAAATTAGTGCGACACATGTCTGTTCAGTGTATTATATATGTACTGGTAAATGATTTCTTAGCAGTATTCATGAATTAGCGCATTGCTGTTTGTGCCAAAGCCGCTAAAATATGAAGCCCGCTTTTTTAAGTACACATACAGTAATTTTGGTAGGCATTTTCAAATAATTGAGTATTAAAACATGATGAAAAAATCATAGATGTGTTGAAATTTTATATGCATGCTACTTGCTTGTTTCAATTTATAAAGTGGGTTTGCTTGTAAACATATAGACTCTGACTGATCCATTTCGAGTGAGCTACAGTAAGCTCTGGATGTCCCTCATCAATGCTGACTTGGAGGGCATTAAGAAGTACTCAGCAGAACTGAATTGTGGGGACATGTATGGACTGTTTGCCTGCATGTTAACGGCCCGCTCCTGGAAGGCCATCACTAGTGGGATAGATAAATCACAGATTACACAGTCGGAGGTAATGCTAGAAAAATCCAGGAATTTTGTTTGAAACATGTTTTTTTCAATTCAATTCTATACGAATGTAATACCATAAAATGGTTCATTTTTTTTCTTAAAGTATATTTTATTTAGTCTATAAAAATTTTGAATAAAGGACTATACAAAGCAATCAATAGTAAGATTGCAGGTACCTTAAATGTTAAAAAATATTTCCTAGGGAAGTAAACTTTTAATATCAATTAGCAAAAGCAGTTCCAGCTCTGAGGTAATTTTTAAAACTGTGAGACTTTATTTTCTTTTAGAAATTTTAAATTTCCATTCATGTGTCTGACAAAGTCAAAGGTGTTAAAATTGAAATGTTCTTTCCTTTTTCAGAGTGATGAAATAAAAGACAATGCCGCAAACTACCTCATAGAGATCTCAGAAATACTCAACAAGATCCCCAGAGAGATGCTTCTCATTCTAAAGACCAACGACGTTCTACGTGGGATAGAGTATAGTTTGAACATTCGACCTAATGCCACATCTTTCCTGAACATGTCTCGGTGTTGCGTACAGGCCGTGGGAGAAGACGAATACAGACAGTGTCATTCCTGGTCCAGTCGCATGGCAGTACAGTTTTCTACCTCATGGCAACTCTTGAAAATTAGCATTTACGAATTCTTCCTGTGGTTACAGTCAGAATACTGTTGGTTGTTAATGCAAGTGCCAAGTTAATGATAGCCAGTAATAGGTTTTTTAAATGTACTTTATACATTGTCTGATAGGATATATCATCAGTTCTTTGTTTTGTTTTTATAAACTTGTTCATAAATGTCACTGTAAGGGTTTTGAGCAAGTTTTTATATTTAAACTACTGTAAAATCACTTATTTTCATGGAGGTTTAATTTTCATTGTTTTCGAGGCAAGGAGAGACCCACAAATTTATGACCACCATGAAATGTAAACATTATACAATTAATTACTCCTTTTGAGGTCAACATGGTGAAATAAGGACCCTCGACCTGGCCCACGAGGTGACCTGACCTGACCGAGGCCGCGTAGCGGTCGAGGTCAGGGCAGGTCATTGAGTGGGCCAGGTCGAGGGTCCTTATTTCACCATGTAAAACTCACAAGGGGTAATCAATTGTTTTATTATACCGATATATATTGAAAGGTATGAATCTCTAACTGTTATCAATTCTTTCTTTGATCGGGATCAGGATTCGCTACACTTTGTATAGTAAAGTTGTTTACATTGATAGCGACATACATTGTTATAACTAACGATTACTTTTCCTCTACATAGTCAAAACCTAACACAGAATTTAACTCTTGAAAGAGCCGCTTCTACATTCTATTGAACTGAATTGTAAAGATATATTGAAACGATATACAGTGGACCCTCAGTTATCCGGACGCTTTGGTTCCCAATCAATTTGTCCGGATATGTGAAGTGTCCGGATACCTGAATCACGAGTTAAACAAGACACCATTACATTCTAAAATTCCGTTCCAATAAAATGTTGTCCGGATACTGAAGCATCCGGATATCTGGCGTCCGGATATCTGAAGGTCCACTGTATTGTAACGATAAAATTTTACCGTATTCTGTATGGTAATGCAAAACAGACCATGCACAATTTAAAAACATGTTGCTTTTCTCGAATAATTATTGTTTTATGCATTAACTTCACTCAAAAAGGAATTTTTGATTAAGTGGTCATTTTTAGCGGTCATTAATTATAATGACTGGGTCATTATATCCCTTGTGCAATGATTCCTAGGTCACTATTGCTGTAAACAGTACCATTTGGAGTCATTGTTGTCTTTTAAAGTTTTCTTACCAGCCAATCAAATTCGAGTATTATCCATAGAGGTATAATAATACTACTTAAACATTCTCCATCCACGAAATCAAGTCCCCACGAACAAAGATTTTTTCCTCAAAACTCGAAAATTTGACCCCACGAAAATATGTGATTTTACAGTAGTTTATATTTGATTCTCAGGGGAAACTTTGCAGGCAAATCATTTTGCTTCAGGACAATAACTTATTAATTTACTTTTATTAGTACACACCTTTGAAAATATTTTTTTTAATTGTGTTTTAAAATAGGGAGGGGGGGACTGATACATTCACATTTCCAAACTGATTCAATATAAGACTGTGTCAGATTACATTGTGCCCAAAGCCATTTCATTTGGTGGGTGGGATTGGAAGTAATATTTTTCTCCTTCAGTGGTTCAGGTAATAAAGCATGGCATTACGGGAATGCGATGGTAGAAATCGATTAAGAGTATGACAACTTGATTTGCCATTATCTTTCTAGTGAATACATGTACATCTTGAATTTATTTATTTGATGCCATTGTTTTATTGTTGTCGTTCATTTTAAATAAGAAAGAAAAAACAAATCATTTGTTTTCTTTTAATAATTTTTTTAATATATTTCTTGTAATCTCTTGATCATTAACAAGTTCTTGCTGAATCTGGATATCTTGACTTCAGTTCCTCTTTAAAGTCTTGGAAGAGAGCTTTATTTTCTTTATGGTCTTTCTTTTTGTCCGAGTAAAATTTGTCCTTTTTCTTCTGACCTTTGTGAACTAGGAAAGCATTGTTCAATACAAAAAACTTGTATCCAGCAACGTACATCTCACAGATCTGAAAAGAAAGTACCACAAGCCAGTTAGTTAATACTGATACAGAATCCTACTAAAATGAAACAATCTATGCATACATGTGGATCAAATGACCTAATTTTCAATTACCCCTGTAGATTGTTACAAAACAATAAAAAGTAAATTGCCAATTGCTCCATTATATGAATTTTAAAATGAGAAATTTGAACAATGTACATTACTTTCAGCAAATATCAAATATTGGGTCAATGGGAGTATATATGTATACCCCGGTACATATAAGAGAAAGAAGTGGACATATATACTATTAATTTAGTCTAGTTGATAATTAAATACATGCAAGTATGCAGCAATTTTACAAAGGAACAACCATTAGGTTCACATGAATGCAGTATGTGAGGAATACCTTACCTGGCTAACTCTGTTGTAACCATACTGTTTGAATCTTTCCTCGTAGAGTGGTAGTGATGACTTATGTGCAATAAAGAATGGCTCGTATGGGAGTTTCCACTGAACTTCATATGCCACTTCTAGTTTTTCATTGCTCCCGAGGGATTCCCATCTATGATAATCTGTTGCAAATTGACACCAATGGCACACATTTGCATAAAATGGGTGAATATTTTTATTTTGCAAGAGCTTTTGTTTGGTGGAGGGAATATCTTGATTTTCATCTATTTCAAAAATGGGTAAAATATATGCTGTCCTATAATCAACAGTACTGGAGGGCAAAACATCCCTCTGGAATGAATGTAGCAGATTTGCTGAAGGGTATATGTCTATATCAATAGAAAGAACAAATTTGGCTGCCACAGTTTTTATGGCAAGGTTTCTAAGAACATTATGTGGGTATTTTAATTTGTCCTCAAGGACAAAGTTTTGACTGGTTGATTTGACAGAATATTCTTCACTACAGTCCACATCATGGTATGGAATTTTTGTTATTTTGGCATGGCTTGAGACAGGGAAAACTAAATGGAAAAAAACATTGAGCTGAATGTGTCTGTAACACATGTATAAATTCTGAATGAGTTGAAGCGCAAATTCAGCATCATGACTATGTGTGAAGACTGAAACAGAGATAGGTCCCGCCCACCTCTCGCTTAATTGCACAAGGTTATGAAGATGATTGGAAGTGGTGTGGGTCACCAGAGCAAGGTCAAATGAATCCGAGGAATGTTGTTGGCTACCTCCAAGAATATTGGGCACAAGGAAGTAGAATCCACTGCTATCAGTTTTGTAAGCATCTCGAACTTTCTGCATTATATCATCCCACACAGAATTCGAGTAATTCTTTGTATCTTTGAATTCTTCCAGTTGTCCCATTAGGTAGATGTGATAAACTTGAAGCAATATCACTAATACTACCATGAATAGGATCACTTTCTGTATATTTGGTACCCATCTTGCCTTCATTGTACACAAAATCCAATGATTTCATAACTGGGTACCTAAAAGGAGATAAATAAAATAATATTAAAATGACTTGCATGCCATTTAAACACACAATATTATACTGTTTTACAAGATGGTGTAGTTTGATTACAAAGTATTTGAAATTTGATAAAAGAAATCATGATAATCCCTATAGTAAAACCAGTAGGGTACTAAAAAAAAAAAAGATTGCAAAACATATTCCTGTATCATTATCCTTTTGAACCAATCCAGATGTTAAGCTCAATTTCAAGGTAATTTTCTCAAATGTTATTTTCTGGTTCAATATATATGGACAAGATTCATGCAACAGCATCAACATTCTAATTTTTTATCAACCTTTTCTTTAATTCACTTTGACCTCACTTTTCTTATCAATATATTGTGTTCAGCTAAGTTTAAAAGAATTTGTGATTAATATCTTAATTTAACTTTGTGTGTTTATTAAAAATTCTTCAGCACCATGACCTTGTTTTTCTAAAATTTTCTTTACCTAAGTTTCAAAATTTTATAAAATATGCTGATATATTGTGATAAAAACTATTGAATTGCATCAACATTGGATTCCTTGGAACCTTGATGTTCTTTTGTTTATTCATGTCATGCTGATAATAAATTCAACCTATATAGTGTACACAAAATTACAGGGAAAGTGCCTATGACCTTGACTTCACTTTTCCTGAATGTGTGTCAGGTTTACAAAACACACATACCTTTATTAAAACATATACTGATACAATAATTAACATGCCTCAGGCTGTCAGGGTAGAGTGATTTAACTTTTTAAAGAGAAACTGTCATTTGATTGCAAAATTGATTATGCACACTTGAGAAATTTTGGTACACAATAAGCCCAAGACCAAGGATAAATTAACTTGTAAATTGCATTTACTAATTAAAATCAGGATCGTTTTTTAAACAGAAAGTAGAATTTAAAACACATAGTTGAACTTGAAGAAAAAACGGATATTTTATCTGAATAAAATATTTCCTTACAGTGCACCAAAAAACTGAATGTTAATGTTATAAAAAGGCTTAAAAACAACAGAAAATAAGTTAGTTTCTTTAAATTGAACAAATTAGATTTGATAAGCTTTTAATTCTTGCATATTCCATAGGTCAATATTTCTAATTAAAGCCAGATTTTTTTTAAACAAAATATACTGGGAGTAAGACCAGTTTTCAAAGGGCTTTATCCTTTGTTGTGTCAGAATATTTTACCATTACTTATATTTACAATTCAGAATATTTGCCTGATTGTTACTACATGTATTTTTCAAAAACGGCATGTCCACTCCCCCTTTTGACGTCCTGAAAAAAGTCGAACGTTTTAAATTGACTGTACTAGTACACAAATAACACAGTCCAAGCTAGTAGGTTAATAAAGGAAAACATTTGCAAACTTATTAATAAATTTTAGATTTTAGATGTTTCAGCTAAAAATAATACCATTAATTTTTTTATAGTGTAGTTTTGATTTTACCTACTTTTTTGATTTCCTAGAAATTGGATGTAAATGCCTTTTTATAAGAATCCTTTTTTGTTTTTCATAATTGTCCATGTCAGCCCAAAAAGGTGTGCTATACTGTGTACAACATTTTTAAAAAAAATTAGGAATTGAATAAAAATTGCAGATATATGAAATTCTATTTTAAATTTTCTTGTTTAAATAAAGAATTTCAGTAAACCCTGAAAGGATATTAAAAGTAATTAAACATGTTAAATTTAAAGTATGTAAAAATTAATGATTAATATAATCTTTAAGACTTTTAAATACATTTGTTTTAAAAGTGCCCTCAAACTGTGACATTTGACATGCCGTAGCGACACAAAGTGCTCTTTTGATTCCTTGATTACCATGCCCTTTTTAGGGTCTAGATTTAACACTATCAAATGTTATTTTCTGGTTCATGTGGACAAGGTTCATGCAACAGCATCAACATTCTAATTTTTTATCAACCTTTTCTTTAATTCACTTTGACCTCACTTTTCTTATCAATATATTGTGTTCAGCTAAGTTTAAAAGAATTTGTGATTAATATCTTAATTTAACTTTGTGTGTTGATTAAAAATTCTTCGGTGTGGACCTTCACCTTGTTTTTCTAAAATTTTTGTTTACCTAAGTTTCAAGATATTTTATCAAGACTCATATGCTGATATATTGTGATAAAAACTATTGAATTGCATCAACATTGGAACCTTGACTTTTCCACTAACCTTGACCATAGGCGCTCCCCATGCAATTTTGAGCTAGGATGATGAATTGATAGTCTCATAGATCTACCCCTCTATACTATAAATTCAACAAGGTTGACTATATAGACTAAAATTTCGTCATCTACAAAATTACAGGGAAAGTGCCTATGACCTTGACTTCACTTTCCCTGAATGTGTGTCTTGCTCAGGTTTACAAAACTTATATCAACATACCTTTATTAAAACATATACTGATACAATTTGGTAATTGCTATTGAAGTGCATCGATGCTTTTTTGTCTTTTGTTCCTTGACCTTTCATTTGACCTTGAACTCAAATATGCATTTAGCCCCAGTTTGAAAGTGATTTTAACAATATTTTAAAGTAAGCTTTTGTGAGAATAAGTTTACTGTTTTTCTTCAACCTTCTTTTTAACTTCGACCTTCCCAAGCTCTTTAAAATTGAAATTAGGCCTAGTGGAAGGTAAATATAAAATATTTGCACACTTGACCTAAAACATTGTGATAAAAATACATTATATATTTTAAAATATGTGAACGTCTCTCACACTTCATTAAATTTAAAGAAGTATTATTTTAAGCAATATCAACCCTTACTGCATATAATTTTTCATCCCATCTTAAGTAATTAGTAAAAGATCAACTTCTTTTTACCATATGATGTCAAACCGGAAGTAAACAAACTGCTTGACACCTTTGACATGCGTAGCAGCTAACAAACAATGAGAAAGAAGTTCACTGAAGTGAGAACTTCAAGAAGCAGTTGATTGTAAGTAAACCATTGTGATTAAAGATAAAAGCTGATCATCAAAACCTTTTTTAATCAGCTGTTTATGTAATTTTGAGATTAATCTACACTAGAGACCGATGGTTTATTTTGTTTACTAGGTGAATTTGACGTCATACAGTGCACAAAGACTCCAGAGGATGTTATTTTTTGTCCAAGTCTTATCATATTTTTAACACAAACTTCTCGTGCACTGTGCTAGATTATACCACAAGCACACAAAATGTGCTTGGTTACCCCCCCCCCCTTTTCAATAATTAAAAAAACTTATAAAAAGCATTTAATTTCTCAAAAATTATCAAATATGAGCTTTCCCCATCAATGATATGTATATGTCATTCTATGCAAGCAAATTACACTGTGAATTTGACGTCATACAGTGCACTGTTCATTGTGCTGTCAGCCCTAGGTTATACATTGACTTTCACTCCCTTTCTTTAGATCTTTTAAGATAATCAGAGGATGTTATTTTTTGTCCAAGTCTTATCATATTTTTAACACAAACTTCTCGAGCACTGTGCTAGATTATACCACAAGCACACGAAATGTGCATGGTTACCCCCCCTTTCAATAATTAAAAAACATAAAAAGCATTTAATTTCTCAAAAATTATCAAATATGAGCTTTCCCCATCAATGATATCTATATGTCATTCTATGCAAGCAAATTACACTGTTGTCTTACATTTAGAGATTGGCCATTTATGGGGTAACGGGTGTGTTCGCCCTGATTACATGTTTGCGCTGAGTGTATTGCACTGAGTGTAACTACAGGCTTTATTTACATATGTATGTTCTTTTATCAAACTGTGATTTATTTTACATACAGTGGTAATTAGATAATTAAACAATATTTAATATCAAATTAATCCATCATGAAATTTAATGCAACATATTTATTTTTAAAATAGACAAATGGGCCCATATAAATAAATAAATTTAATATTTCCCTATATTTTTTTGAGTTTAATAAAAAAATTACTTACAGATTATTAATGAATACATCAATGGATACAGCTCTACATGTAGCCATTGTAAAAAATCAAGTTTGGTATATCGAATAAAACTTTCGTATAGATAGATGTAAAAAAAACACAAGGGTGGCCTTTCATCTTTAACTTTTATTAAGCTGCTCATCATTAGTCCACTGATCAAACGACCACCCGACAGTAATTATGGGTAAAGTTACCCAATTGGGGCAAATCTGCTCAGCGCGAACAAGTAATAGGGGCGAAACCACTAAGAGCAAACAAGGAATTGGGGGAAAAACCACCCGCATTCCATTTATGGTATAAATACTATAATAAAGTCTGAAGATACACAAGTCTAGATGTAAGAAATAAAATTTATAAAGAAATGTGGGATACCTACATCCAAGATAATAACAGTCAGGCGCATAGCCAGCATTGAAATGAAGTGTACGCAGAAAATGGTCAGTGGGTCCAGGGCAAAGCCCTGGTGGGGGCCAGGGGGCGAAGCCCCCGGAAGCTCCAGGATTTTACGATTTTTTAAAGTTATTTTCCTTTTAAAGAAATCACGCTACATCTCTTTTCTCAAGCAAACACTTAGCTAAGTTATATTTCCATTTACTGGTATTTGATCAAATTAATTAACGAATATATTGATATTGGAAAAAAAGTTTCCAAGTGTGACAAGATAAAACAGAGAAGGAACTTAATAAGTTATCATTGGAGTTAAAAGTATTTCAAAATATAAACGTATAACCTTTATATTCTGAAATAAAATACTTAAATTATAAATTGAAATGTTAAAGAAGATATTCTTAAATGATCTATATTTTTATTTATTTTGTTCAGTAATTTGAATTTTGCCATTTTTTTTATCGATATTTATATGACTTCAACGAAAATTCAGTGTAACCTTTGCCTTTTTCTTTAATCAATTCACAATCGCTTTCCTTCATCTATGTCAGAGATATTTAAAATTTTGGTTCAACAATATTTTCTACTAAGAATCTCTTTAAACTATTTTAAACCCATCATTAATTTGTATATTCTCTCTCTCTTTTAAAATGATGTGTATACATAAAATTTTCTTCACATTGTCAGAGATATGTTCTTCTACTAGTCTCTTTAAACTAAAACCCATCATTGTATATTAAAATAGGATACATAAAATTTTCTCCATTGCCTGCTTGAACAAGGATTTGGAGTTCTCACACCTGTCTCACTTTACCTGATGAGTCAAAGTGATACAGTTTAAATATTTGACCAATCAGTGAGAGGGATGTATGAATTCCAAAACCTATTTCCTCCTGAAGCATGTTAAGCTAGGGCCTACATTTTCTGACTTCTGTGCACTGTTCAAGACTGTGATCTGTTTCCACATTTTCAATTTCAACAAAACTTCAAGCAAAGCATCCTTGAAAGGCTATAGTTGACCACATTAGAGACTAAAAAGTGAATTGTGCTGAAATTGTGGAATTTGAAAAGTTGCTAGTATAATTATAGGTGCATATAATTAGACAATTTTTTTTCTTTTTTTGGGGGGGGGAAGGGGGTCATAAAGTTAAATGACTCTGTTGAGCATAGGACAGCATGGTCCATATGATAATACCCTTAAGGCTTATCAAACAATGAATTAAAAAGATATCGGAATGAGGAACTTTCAAATAGCATGGTTTAAGTGCAGATTTTGAGCAGCAAGTATTTGCTTAAAAAAAAAAGAAAAGAAAAATCTATGCATTTTGCCATCCATTTATACATTTTTTGACCTGCATTGTTTACCTGAGCATAAGGGATATAAAACTATCTTAGAAAATCTTAGTTTGTAGATATTTATTGTTTAATAATAATGATGATTCATTTATTTTAAATAATGGTCATCATGACATTGTTGTTCACGTGTTTATGACATGTGCAGTTGTCAGTAGATAATTTGACTATGAGAAGGTGGGGAAGCATAAAATTATACAAATATCTATTAGCTCCTACTTATCACTATGGATGTTAATATGTTTATAAATACCAATACAAGCTTCTATCTATTTGTGTTTAGATACTAGGATTCAGCATGTTCAGATTTTAAAGTTTGTTCAGAGGCCATGAAAATGAAAGTTTTAGATTTCTTTTGAAAGTTTTAGACCCTCCCCCCCCATGTGTATCAAAGTTTGAACCAAATACTGTAAAGAGATTTTTATATAAAAAGAAATGAAAACCTGTCAAGTTTGGTCTATGATGCCAGATGGAGGTGTAATTCATTAAGGATAATGAGTAAATATATCACAAAATGTATTAAAGTTGCAAGTAAAGCCCTTGTGATTTGATAATATTAGATACTAGGTAGGTAACGTAATATTTAATTATCGATAAAATTTAAATAGATTGATAGACATAAGGCCATTTACCTTTTTTTTTATTTTTCCTTTTTTTACGAGTCGATAAAAAATATTCTGTTTAGGCCATAATAAAAATATTCCTAGATATTTTTTACCCCCGCCTCGATTTTTTTTATTTTTGTTTTTCTTCGTCTTAATTCTGATCGGGATCGGTATTCATCTACCATTCTACTTTCGTTTTAAATCCCGCGAAAGTCGACATGATTTTGACAGCTGAAAAGATGGTAATTGCTGTAATACATGCGTATATATGTTAAACAAGGGTCATTGGTTGAAAAAGATTGATGATGATGTGAAGTAAGAGATAATTGAACCTTTACTATGACTTTTATTCGGGTATTATAGATAAAATTCCACCGATTGACCAGGTCAATAAAAAATCTGCAGAATTGAAAAAATATGAAATATAAAATAAAAGCCGCCCGCCCGCCTCGATTTTTGAAAAAATTCGGATGAGAATCTAGCAATTTATTTATTATGGCCTTAAAAGAAACTTTTTAGATCTATGAAATCTTGGGAAAAATAAGAAATGACTGCCTCTAGGCTGGGGTGTAGTAATTATACAGATTACACATACATGTATTACACTCTGTTGACTTGTAATTGTTTGTTTTTGACTTGTCCATAAACAAGATTTTTTTTTCTCAAAAGTTTAAATTTTTTTTCAGTATAATGAAGAAAAGCTGTGTTAGATTATTTGTGATATATGTGGCATCTCTTTACCATGTGTGTTCAGCAAATCAAGAACAAGTGAAAGGTAAAAGTGAAAGTTATCAAAAATCAATTTTTAAAAAACCCATTATCATGATTGTCTTCACAGAGTAGAATTAACTTATTAGTAAAAGTTTTACATGTACTTATTTCTACATTTAACTAATACGAGAAAGTAAGAAAATTTCCTTTCCTTATAAATAGTCTGATCTATTAAATTGATTTCATATGTCATCTCCCATATTTCCAGAAAACCACTCAGAAAATAATTGTGGAGAATTTCCCAAAATCTCAAATGGACAAATAAAATATACCGGTAAAGGAAAATATGTCGAAGTCAGTTGTAATGAAGGCTTCTATCGGAAGGGGGATGATACATTCAAATGTGACCATCACACAGGATATTGGAGTCCCCATACAACAAATTTTGTCAATGCCTGCCAGTCAAAGGTTAATGTTTTGATTTTCTTTGCTTACCAAGTCTTTATTTTACGCTGCCACATGTAGCTTTACTGAAAATGTGGCCTGCCCTTTAGTTATTTATAAGTAATGTATTAATTGGACTTTGCATCTTTCCAATGCTCTCATTTTAGATAATATTTTCAAAGTTGTGACTTGAATAGTAGTTTTCAATTGAAAATATAATTTTTGTAAATGGAAATGTATACAATATACTACAACATACTTAAGTAATGAAAACTTTTCTGTAGTCTTTAGACATTTTATTATTAGAGAGCTGTTTTCATTATGTCATCTGGAATGATTTCAAAAACCAGGGGTCAGAAAATAATTGTAGTGATGGGTATTATATCAAGCGGAATGAAGAATCGTACGAAAGCGTAATATCTGTGCACTGTTATGATGATACATGGTACTTCAGTGTGTTTCCTTCCATAGAGCCAGTGAGAGATTGTGAAAGAGGTAGTTATCAAAATGGATTTATTACAAATCTATATAGTTAAAGTGTTTGGGATTTCATGATAACAGTAAAAATATAATAGTTGCTGCAGTAAAATTTAATGTTTTTTTAAAAGAAGGGCCTTTTCTTTTAGATTTGTCAATTTCTTTTTTACAACAGTTGAAGAGAGCTAACTTTATTATAATTTTTTATTGATTAAAATTTTTTTTTTCTTAGTTCCCAAGTGCTCGATTTTTAATAAAATATACCCCATTAAAGTTGTGTTGAATCATGATAGTTTTCAATTGAAAATATAATTTTTTTTTTGTAAATGGAAGTGTATACAATATACTTGAGTAATGAAAACTTTTCCTTAGCCTCTAGACATTTTATTTCAGAGAGCTGCAGGCTACCATTGTTAGACCACGGGATGTGTGCAAAATTCAGGTACTCAGCTTTGTCATGCTTCTTCATTGCCTTGTGTTCTGAATTATTTCAATATTTCAACACTTTGTGCATAGATTAGAAACTCTTAAAATTATAAAGATGGATGTATTTTAATAAAGATGGGTGTATTTTAATATTGCGAAGAACTGATAAAACAGTTGAACTTCAGTGTCTCGAAATTATGATATTTTGAATACCATGGATATGTGTAAGTTATTTAGAAGTCCTAGCTTCCAATTCTTTAGGTATTTTATGATTAAATCTCTCATATATGACATCTAAAAATAATTTTTTGGTCTCACCAAGTTGGAATAAAAACTGTACGTCAGTTTTTAGCTCACCTGAGCCAAAGGCTCAAGTGACCTTATCTGATCAGATTTTGTCCTTTCCGTCTGTCTGTCCGTCTGTCCTTCTGTCCTTCTGTAAACTTTTCACATTTTCAACTTCTTCTGAAGAACCACTGGGCCAATTTTGACCAAACTTGGTACAAAGCATCCTTGGGTGAAGGGGAATTTAAATTGTTAAAATAAAGGGCCAAGTCCCCTCACAAGGGGAGATAATTGTGAAAAGACAAAAATTAATGGGGTCTTTAAAAATATTTCTTCTCAAGAATCACTGGGCCAGAAAAGCTGAAACTGACGAGGAAGCATCCTGGGGTGGTGTAGATTCTAAATCTTCAAAATCATGACCCCCAGGAGTAGGGCGTGGCCACAATGGGGAATCAAAGTTTTACATAAAAATATATAGAAAAATCTTTGAAAGTCTTCTTCTGAAGAACCACTGGTCCAGAAAAGCTGAAACTTATGCGGAAACATCCAGGGGTAGTGTAGATTCTAAATTGTTCAAATCATGACCCCCAGGAGTAGTGCGGGGCCACAATGCGGAATCAAAATTTTACATAGAAATATATAGGAAAATCTTTGAAAATCTTCTTCTCAAGAATCCCTGGTCCATAAAAGCTGAAACTTATGTGGAAGCATCCTGGGGTAGTGTAAATTCTAAATTGTTCAAATCATGACCCCCGGGGGTAGGGCGGGGCCACAATGCGGAATCAAAATTTTACATAGAAATATATAGGAAAATCTTCAATAATAAATCTTCTTACTTTTAGAATCCCTGGTCCATAAAAGCTTAAACAGTTATGAAAGGAAGCTATCCTTCATGTATATAATCATGCAAATAATTTTTTTTTCTAATAGTTCCCAAGGATCAGTGCAACAAACCACAAAATATACCCCATGCCAAATGGATTATTGAATCAGATACACTATTTCACCGGCCAACATATATGGATGTCTTTACAAAAGGCACGAAAATCCATTATTATTGTGTGGACGGGTACAGTTTGATTGGAGAATCTACAGTGATGTGTCTCAGTGAATGTGGCCCATGGGCCTCTTGTTATTTAGATATACAGTAATGAATGTGTGGAAAATTCAGGTACTCAGCTTTGTCATGCTTCTGCATTTCCTTGTGTTCTGAATTATTTTAATATTTCAACACTTTGTGCATAGATTAGAAACTCTTTTAAAATTATAAAGATGGATGTATTTTAATATCAGTGGGAGAGAACTGATAAAACAATTGAACTTCAGTGTATATGTAAATTACAGTATTCTTAAATACCATGGATATGTCTAAGTTATTTAGAAGTCCCAGCTTCCAATTCTTTAGGTATTTTACCTTGATATCTCTTATCATAAGACATCTCGGATCATTTTTTGGTCCCACCAAGTTTGAAATAATAACAAGGTCTGACTGTATGTCAGAAAGTTTGTTATTTAGATATAATTCCTTATTAATAACAACTACAAAATTGACAGTTTGTATTACAGGGCCTTCAAAGGTGTGCCAAGTTCCCATTATCCCCAATGGGGAATGTAAATGTTGGACCTCCAGATCAAGCACCTGTTCCCAGGTGTATAATTTAAACAGGGTGGCGTGTACCTGTGACTCAGGGTACCAGTCAGTGGGGGAGGAAGTTCTCACCTGCAAGGACGGCAAATGGGATCACTATACACCATCTTGTATATGTAAGGGATAATACAGTAAAAACTGTCTAATCTGACCTTTGTACAATTGTTTCAATTGTGAATTCAAACTTCTGTTTTCATTCCTACATTACCATATTTTGAGTTCTTTACAATATGACAACCTCTGTTTACTGATATTATTCCCATACAAAATTTTTGTCCCAGTGCTTGTTAAATAAAAAAAACACATTTTGAAAACTGTAATTCGTGTTTTAAAGCTTGTTTTTGGAAACATGAAGAAAGTTGCATTTTAAAAAGCCAATGCAATAATATTCCTGACAAATATTTTCCTTATCATGAATAATTTTTCTTTCTGAGAATTTGTCACTAATTTCCCAATTACAGGTAATTTATTTTAAATTTTTCTTATCTAGCAATATCACCAACTGAGATATCTGTCGGAGATACGACAGAAGACAACAGTCATATGAACACTCTAGCTGTTGTGATAGCTACAGCCTGCAGTGTGCTGGGACTTCTGTTAATGGTCATGGTCATTGTCATACTTCGCCGCAAAAAGCCGTCCCACCATCACCACCAGCGCTTGTATGATCAGGGTACCATGCCACCACCATACGGTCGAGTTTACCCCATAGATGAACACGACCGAGTAGCTTTGATAGGGTACGATTCAGCCAGATTACCAACGTATGAAGAGGCCACAAGAGACACTGCCTCGCAACAAGTGGCCAGTCCAAGATCAGCTCAAGAATTTAGGCCTCTACCAAATATTCCATTCCAGTTACGCAGTCCAGCTCTTCCTAGTATTGACAGCACTAGCAGACATTCCGTTACCACTACTACAACTGGGAATGCTGAGGTGTTTGGTTCAATAGATACAGTTAATTTTAGCATGAGTGATGCTTCTACGGCAGGAACGGTGGACACGATAGACAGTCGAACCAGCCGCCCTTCTCGCGGTTCCCGCACCGCTACAGCTGGTAGTCTGGAATCCTCCAGGGAAAATCTCTCTTCAGATGGTAAATTTCTCAACTTAAAGTTATGTTTTATATCATCCAAAATAACTGCTTTTTAAATTGCATTTTATAATTTAAAAAAAAGGGAATGTAAAATTTGGACAACTTCCATGTTAGTGAAATTTTTAGCAATAATCTTATTTTAGCATAAATAGCTAAAATTGCCAAATTTACAAAAATGAAATGTTTTAATGGTGCATGTTTTTGCACATTCTTTGTAGATGCACCATTATTGGAAAACAACACTTTAGAATTAAACTCAGAGACTCAAGATGAAGTTATAGAAGAGGAAAATAAAGAGTCCTAGGATAGAATTGCTTTGATATTGGCAGAAGTAACATCCTTACACATGTTCACGGAAGCTGGATCTGACGGGGATAGGACATCATAGTACTTCAACTCATAGGCATTTGTTGCTTTTTTTTTTTTATATATATACATGATATTCCCATAGATTTATGTGATAATACATTGTAGTCTCTGTGTGTGTTGTGAAAATGTATGTTATTTAGAAAATGTAAAGGAATGAATTGCTTGTTTTTGTCACCATTGATTTTAAAATTTATTGCAGATTGGTGCTTTTTTTTAATCATAAATTTTTATCATTTATACATGTAATTTTGTTTCTATTTGTGGTGAATGAAACATTGCAAAATGTCTCATTTCACTCACACAAATAGTTAAGCTATTCTTCATAAATTAAGAATGACAAAAATTACCAGGTTGATTACCCAGGTAATACCTACAATTGTAATCACAAAAATGTGAATAAGTTTTTTTTTTTAATGAAATCTCTAAATAGTGTTTTTTTTTTTTGGCATATAAATTTTTCTCGAATATGTAAGTAAAAAAAAGAATTCATATTGCAAATATGAAAGTAGAATTCATACAGAAAATATTCAAAGGTTCAGTAGAATGACAAGTGTATTTTCATTCAATGAAAATTGATGATTAGCTCAACCTGCTAATATTTGATGTCTTACAATGAGTAAAACTTGTAGTAGAAATTGATTTCACTCAAAGTACACTAGGTATACATAAATGATAAACTTGTATATCAGTTGCAAGAAGTTAGGATTAACCATTGGCTGCATAATTTTTTTTTTTTATCCTTTGCCATCCATGTCATGAATTACAGTTGAACTTTGGTATCTCGAACTCCGATATCTCGAATACCATGGATAAGCCGAATTGATTTGGAAGTCCCAACCTCAAATTCTTTAAGTATTTTACCTTCAATATCTTGAATCCTCGGATACCTCAAAGTTTTTTCTTGGTCCCACCAGGTTCGAGATAACGAAGTTTGACTGTATTATGTCTTGTGAAATATCTATACACATAGGGGCAATATATAATCAGGGAAAGATTTTTTCTCAGTTACTTAAATCATTCACATATTCAAATTTAATTTGTACATGTGTACAGTATACTTCTCATATATTATTTACCTGAATTCATAAGATGAAAAAAAAAAATTTTTTTCCATAAAACAAACTTAAAAAAACTTCTATAGAATCTTTTTCAGGACTGTAATCTGACTTTTCCTTATATGAATCTCTTAAATTTTGAATTTTACATGTTTAATTTTAATGGACATATAAATTGCAATTTTTTTTTCACACACCCCTCTCTCTAAATAAAATAAATTGGCATACAAATGCTTATATAATGTACATGTAAGTTGCAATTAAGGAAACCATTCCATGTTACATGTATCTGTTGCTTTCTATGAAGCATCATTAATATCAAGCTATTATTTTGCATGAATTAATGTAAATATTAATTTTATAATTCATTTAAGTGCTGGGTATTTTTCACATACGGAAAAGTGCTTTAAACTGAAATACATTGTACTAGTGATCAGTATAAATTTATTGGAAGACACCACTTTGGAATTTTAACAATTTTAACAGCAAGTTTAAACAAGTTTGTATGTGATGTTTTTGTCTGCCAAAACAATTCAAATAATCTTGATGGGAATTTTGTGTTTACGAACATTATTTATGTATGTAAATCTTTTGTTCAAATGCTTCCAAATCTCAAGTCAGATCTTCAACTTTACCAAAAGAAAAAGAAAAACATACCGAAGATAATCAGAGAGCAAGGATCTGTATGTTTGTTATGATCTCAACTCTAAGTTTTTTGTTTAATGAAAATGTTGAAAATCAGAATACAGTTGCATCATGTTTTGGTCAATAAATGTTTGTACATATACAAGTGCATCTCTTTCTTGTGATTTCCAGTTAATACTGTGTATCACCAAACATTTACAAGATAGGTACTATGGAATCATTTTAATTCATGGGTTGCAATGTTTGTGGGTGAGCAAACGTTAGTTGGTTCATGGGGATGTATTAATTTTGTGGGTGACTTGAAATTCAGCAGATTCAACAAATAAATAAATGAATAAATACTTTGATAAAATAATTGTTCGTGGGGATGTGAATTTGTGGATGAAGATGAGCAATGAAATCCAGGAACATAGGATCTCCATGAACAATGATGATTTCACAGTATTTGATATTTATATGCAAGACAAAGTTTTTTTAATTTTGAATGCTGGTACATCAGCATAGTATATCAATGCTTATAAAAATATATGTGAAAATCTATTTTTTTTATGATCAAAACTACTTGCATAGATACACAAGAAAGGATTTTTGTGAATAAAAAGTGAATTACAGTCCTAGATTTCCTCCCATGGTTTCAGCATCCTAGCTTCAACTTCACAAAGTAGGCCGAATCTTCAGCAATACCAAATGCTCAGCTATAACCTAATTTGCTTACCTAGGTTAATCATTCAAGGGCACAATATGTCTCTTCAATTCTCTCTAATGATCAGTAGATCCAAGACCCTAACACCTGAGCTAGAGCCCCTGACTCAGGGGGCATGAATTTCAAAACTTCAGAACACAGGGACCAGTGCTTATAAATTTGAATTTCTTGGTTTGTTTGCTTAATAACCAAGAGCAAATAAGATTTTAAAAGAATAAATTTATTTTCACTGTATGGTCAATAGAGCCCTGCCCTAATGCCATAACCCCTGTCCCAGACCACAAATTTTGAAATTTATTTAAAAGCACCCTTGCTGAAGATGACAGTGCATTGGTTTATATGCAAATCATACATACAGGGAGAAGCTTTTGAAAAGAATTTACCCAGGTAAGCATTTTCACTTATAGGACCTCCATCTTGAGGTCATTAATTTCACAATTTTGGTCGAAACCTGCTAATATTGAGATTATGCCAAAAGTTTTATGTCCAGAAATAAAGAGGTAGAATTTTGAAGACTGCATAAATTTTGATAGTTTTGGTCCCTCTGAAAATATTTCCTGTCATAGAATACCCATTAAATTTTATTTTCATCTCCAAACCATGTATTATTATAATAACCCAGGAAATTTTTCACAGAACATGATTAAGAGGCATTATTAAGTTTGATAAAAGCTCAATAAAAAATATCTTTTTTAATTCAAACTTCACATAATTTAGAATAAATAATAACTTCACATATGTATAATAACATTTGATAAGGTAATTAGTTTGATTCCTCATTATCCATCTCATTAACATATTTCACAGATTGTCTTGGTGGAGGGAGGTCTTCAATGTCAGATGGAGGGGGAGGAAACTCTTCCTCAACATCTGGGGGAGGTAACTCTTCCACATCATCAAAGGACTCGGTAACAGATAAATCGTCTATACTTCCTACAGGAGGAAGATTCTGTAGACTAGCTAATGTTGTCATAGGAGCAGCTAAAACAGAAGGGTTTCTGATGATTTTTTTCCATGTTAAAATTACATCAAATATAATCATGAATTATGTTTCTTTCCAATTATTTAATACTATACTTGTTCTTTGAATAATCTGATATATGAGTGATAATTAGGAAATCATTATATAATTTTCACTACTCACAAGGTGGTTGATCTGTTTCATCTGGTAACAATTTCTGTTTGTCATCATCCTCTGCTGGAAAAATGAAAATAAGAAAATTAATATAATTCTAATATTCCACAAAAAATGCCCTCAAATACAAGCCTTTTTTTCTTCATGAAAAATGATTATGAATTTTTATGGTTTCAACGACACATCTTGTGCCAGATTGAGACATATAATAAATAACCATATTCAATGACAGTTACAATGACAATTAAGAAATGAATTTTATTTTTGAAGATTCATGAGGTTATGAACTACGACGCTTCACGCCGGCATATTTCATGAAGCGCGTTAGCGCTTCATGATAAATATGCCGGTGTGAAGCGTTGTAGTTCATATATATACCTCATGAATCTTCAAAAAATTAAATTCATTTCTTATATTTACATTATTTTTCTGATGACTTGCCATAAATTTATGCCGTTCAACTGTCATTTTTAAAACAAATCAGTGTGCACTATATTTTTTGACTTTTTGACGTCAAGAGCGGTATTATGACGTAACAATGGAGATATTCATACTTATTCGTGATACATACCTAATGTAGTTCATGAGAAAATATACTGCATTTTATTTTGTAAAGAATCATAAGGGAAAATTATTGGAAATGTAAATATTTTCATATGTGCATTGCCTGTGACAAGACCTTTCTAAATATGCTATGATTTTTTATCCTGTGACCTTGACTTTTAAGTTTGACCTACTTTAAAACATTACTTTTAATGGACCATAGCTTTTGAATGAGAAAAGATCGGGCTTTCATTTTAACCAGTGTATTGCATGTGAAAGACCTTTCTAAATACACTGTGATTTGACCTCGTGATCTTCACCTGAAGTTGGACCTACCTTTCAAAAACTTTAACCTCGGTCATGACTTTTGAATGAGAAGAGATAGGGCTTTCATATTAAACTGGTGTATTGCCTGTGACAAGACTTTTATAAATACATGATTTTTTATCTCATGACCTTGAAGTTTGACCTACTTTTCACAAATGTTAATTTTTCCTTATAACTTTTGATTTGAGAAGAGATAGGGCTTTTTGACATGTGCATTACCTATGACAAGATATTTCTGAGTACGCTGTGATTTCTGATCCCTTGACCTTGACCTCATCAAAAAAAAAAATTTGGTGATAATTTTTGAATGACATATGATAGGGTGTTCACATGTGACACAAAATGCCACAAATTATGACATCTCACCCACAAGTGGGGTACCACAGTTTTTTGAATTAGCTTGTTTTAACCATTAAATTAAAACCTGTTTTCACATTGTTAAATTGTTGTGTGGTTATTTCTTGAAGAAACAAAAATTTCTCTTTAGTTTACCTTTGCCTTGTGCTTGACCACCACCAAATGGAAGAAGAAACCCCTTTGAATCTTCATCATCAACTAAGTTTGCAAGACTTGTCTGTAAGAGTCTTGTTCCTAATCCTATACTCAGCTGTTATAAATTATAAATAAATACAATAGATTTTAATAGAAGTCTTGTCTATTGTTATTTTTCAAAAGTACAAAATTGGCAATTGAGCATATTTCTTTTCCTAAAATATATATTACAAATGTAACTTACTTCTATTTATCTGCAACTTAAATATCCAGTATATATTAAGCTTTAAATCATGATATTAAATTCCAGATGATTCAGAACAATTTTATCTACCTCCAAGAATGCCAGCAAGACAACAATAGCCCCTGCCGACTTTAACATCTTTTTATATCTTGACATCAACGCATCACTACATCCTCTTGTATATACTGTTATGTCTTTGCTGTAGTCATACTTGAAGTGTTTGCCTTGTACTCGAGTGTCTATACAGGGTCTGTGGACTTTGTAGTTACAGCAGCTAAAGGGAACATGGTCGGAAAACTTTCTGCAAAAAAAAAAACAATACATGTATACTTCAATAATTAATATTAATAATTTTTATAAAGTCGAGTCAACTTCATAATATACAATTAAACATTAACATTATATTTACCATTTCAGAAAACCATTTCAGATTTAAACTCACTCTTTATTATAAATCACTCTAATGTAGTGACATTTTCAGGAAATCTTATAATTAAGAAAAGGCCTTGAATAGTCCGAAGTTCTACAATATCATCTCAGACACTTCTTCGAAAGATTCAAATATAGTTCAGGAGGCATTAGACATAATTGAAAGTCATAAATTAATCTGTCTGGATTTCAAAGATATGATTACGATAAACTTACGTGTATGTATGTTGTTCTTCTTTTGTCATATATTCATCAGTAATGTATTTCTTTGATACAAATTTGACTTTGAACCAATCTGTGTATCCTTCTGAACCACAGCACTTATACTGAATCTGTAACTTGTCGATAATACTTTTCTTTGGCATGTCTGTAGCATACTTTTTCATGGAAACATAAATTCCTTTGCTAAATAACTTACGAAGTGAAGCAATGTTTGCAAAACATAGCATCGATGCAACAAAAGTACACACAAATAAAACCAAAGAAAGAACAAAAACTGGAATTAGAAATTTTTTCCAAACAGCTCTCCTCGCCGTGTCATGCACAACCCAGCAAACTCGTGACGCTAAGATATTAATAATCAGTCCAGCAAGGCCCAAAATAATCATAAAGGCGGGCAATGCGTCCCGACTCCCTTCAATAAGACTAACTTTGTCTTGTATTGCAATTTCAATATAAACAGCTACTGTAAGCATAAAGAAATTAAATGGAATGGTGACCAGACACAAAACACTGGCTATTTTGGCAATTAAACATCTTCTTTTTTCCGTGAGATTAATTTCTGGTACACCCATTCTTTCTTTCTTCCAATAACCGGAAGTTATTTATACGTCATTTCCTAACGTCATAATATTGATGACAATATGGCGCTAAACTTCGATTAAATATCACTGATATGTAATGTTTTAGGGCCTATGTGGTTTTACGATTTTAATTTTTAAAGATATATCCCCATTTGATTTTTGTTCACTATTCAAGAGTTCAAAAACGGGCGCCAGTACAAAGTCTACTGAACTCTTTTCTGGTGGAGGTAAAAAACTCAAACGATGACATGGAAGGCAGACTACTACTCGTGTTTACATGTCTTGTTTCGTGTTTATTTGCAAATAATGTATACGATGTAGAAAAATTTCAAGTGGAAAATGAAGATGGGACTACTCAGATATTCGAAGTTAAACGTTTAGAACCTGTAAATGGCGAATCATGCGCCATTTGCTCACAGAACACGGTGAACTCGTCTCCTCGGCTAACCCCTATCCGCTCGAATGTTTTCATTGCAGTTGGGGAGGTGGCAACAGATTGCGGTAAGAGTTTTTGTTTTATAAGTAGGTCATTCATGCTTGATAATTACTGTTGGTGAACTTTGTATTTATCATGAACTACCGCAAAGATGCACTGCAGTGCACCAATTTAAATTTTTATGTACACAATATTTCTACAGGATTTGTACCAGGGGAATTCGAACCCACTGATTTGATATCAAATTCTTTTCCTTTCACTTTCATACACTTTTATCACATAGGCAATATACTGGGAAAATATTTACACGTATAAATGGTATAAAAATCAGTCTGTCCTGTGGATGGGAATTATGATTATTCCAGTATGTCTATTATTATGATTTGTATGAATTAAAAAAAATGTGCTTTTATTTCTTGCAGAGGAGAACTCAGCCAAGCTTCCTACTGGTCTGTGCTCAAATGCTAAAGACAGAGGTCACTGCTCCAGGGATACTCTTTCTTGTGAGCATTCCCCCGAGGTGGGTATTAATTAATATACATTTATTTATGAATGATCAGACATTTACCTTTGACTGCTATGTTGAACTGTAATTTAGGTCCTGTATGCACAAACACTGTGATGTAACTTTTAACTATCTTCCATGCTATCAATGAAATTCATGTCAATCTCATAAAAATTATACCTTTCAATTTTAATTAGATTGAAGCAGGGACCTATATACTAACTTAGAATATAGGTCCCTGATTGAATTATGCAGATCGAAATAAGAATTTTAAAGTTTGAGATATCTTTCAAAGAAATATATTCCATTAAGTTTTAATAAGCGAGTTTTGAGATTGTAACTCTAGCTCCTACGATAGAGGTACAAAAAGTATCCATTTCAGCATGGAGGTGGGACAGGTTGTTTCTGTATACTAACGTGGATAAATAAATGAACGATATTTATGGCTTTTAAAATTTATTAAATGTTATAGAAAGGTAAGAATGTTAAGCAGTAGTGTATCTGATGATTTATCAAGTTCAACTATGCATATTTACAAATCTACTTTGAATTATAGGTACCGGTACTTGAAAATGAAAGAAGCGTTGTAGTCTTTATAAAAAGAAACTGATTTTCTTGATTGTACAAACATTTTCTAAAACGTTAGTGGGTTTTTAGAAGTTATAAAAAGGAAAATCAATGTGCCATTTAGATTGCCGACGTGCAATGATCAGATGCATGTGTAACATATTTATTAGAGGTTCATATCTCATCCCTTGTCTGAAAAGTCACATCCTCTCACATTTTCTTTTTTGTTACGATGTTTTTGCTTTAAGAAAATGACGCCTTTACATTAATTTGGTTATTTTCTAGTTGTAGAGTGCATCCTGACAATCATGTAGTTATGATAATCCAGTATATGATGCAATGTATCAAATATGTAAATATCTGCCCCACCTGTCTGTTTACGGGGCAACGAAATGCCTCTCCTAAACAAAAGAGTGCACAAAGGGAGATAATCTCAAAACTTGCGTATTATTTTTACAGATAAAGGTCCTTTTATAAAGAATGTATGACCCTCTTGTTCTGAAAAAAATTATTAACAATTTTATTGAAATAATAAATACATCCAGTTCATAAATTTTCAGGATTTAGCAGAAGACCTTGCAGCCACTGAGATGGTCCCAATGCAAACAAAAAATTATGACATTGATTCAAAATTAGGTAAGTTTGTTTTCATTCTTATCAAGATTGTCTCCCTTAGTATGAAATGCAGTCATGTGGTTTTATGATGGAACCATCCTCACAATGTCAAGGGTTTGTGATTTCTCGAAATCCGCGTGGAGTTCGAGAAATCACAAACCCTTGACATTGTGAGGTTGAGATGGAACTAAATTTATTATGGCGTCGAGCAAAGCTCGATCTTCATCTAGTGGTCAGTCAGATTTTATTTACTTTTTAAGTTCATATACACAGTTTCCTTTTCATTTCAGCTCTTGGATTTGTGTCAATAAATATCGGGAATCTTGATGATGCTATGCAAATATTCAACAGCATTCTCTCAGTATGTAGGATATAAGTGGATACTGACGTTCTTTGAATTAAGTTAAAAGTGCAGGTTTTTTTCAATGAATTTAAGAAAAATCAACACAGTGCTGTAACTTTTGTATTTAGGACTTGGATAAAATATGAAAGTTTGATTTGTGAGAAATAGATATCTTCATTGTTGAACTAGATCATTTAGTCACCCATTGGCAGCTGCATCGATGCTTGGTGAATTTATGTCACTCATTTTCTTATGAAAATTATTTTTAGTATCATCCAGATACAGTTGGTGCACATTATGGTCGGGGTATTGTATACCAGAGAATGGGAATTCAGGTATAATACCTTATGCTTGATACTTTTACTTCCTCTATTCAGTTTGGGTCTGACATAAAATTTGAATGCTTGCAAGTACAGAAAATTATGTATACATCAATTGGCAAACATCTGAATATTTGGAAATATATCTTTTTAATACTAATACATAGTTAGTGAGGATAAATTTTTATTTCAGGAAATTGCAAATGCTGCTAAAAGTATTCGTGAATTTACTGAAGCCATTATGAAAGACAATAGCTACCATGAAATTTATGAAAGAAGAGCAGAGGTTTGTTTAGCACATCATTTCATAAACTTTTTTGGTCTTCATGTGACTGTAACCCTAATGGTACAATTTTACAACTGCTCTTTTTTTGATGCTTGAAAAAGCACTTGGCAACACAAATTTGTGATTTATTATATCCAATACACTAGCTAGCTATCACACAGTTTATTCGTTGTGGAGTGAAAAAAGATGATGTATGTTGTATAAACTTTACTTTCTATCTCACCTTATAGGTATTTCCACTGAAGATGTTTTTCTAATATGGTTTTTGTGGACACACTTTCTATAAATCAATTTTATTTTTTTAAATGTAGTCCTACATAGCTATTCAACATTTTGCGGATGCTTTGAAAGATCTTAATATGGCTGCCAAGTCAAGTCCTTCCAAGCGGCTATATTTCATCCGTGGCATTGTTCATCTTTTGTTGGAGGTATGGACTATTGATATTAGAATGTCCTTATCATTTCAATTTTTCATACTTCAATGTACATGTATTTCTTTTAGTTTTTCTGACATATTTATAGTAAAAGGTTCATATCATGTTCTAAAATTCAAAACCAGCTTGATGAGATTGAGCAGTTTGTACATGTATCATGTTTCTTAAAATTTCTGTATGTTATGCATATTAAAAAGAATAAATAAATATTAACTATAATTTATTAAAGACATGAGTTTTAAGCATATGGTGTTCCTATTGTAGAACTTTGCTGAGGCAGAGGAAGATTTCAGGAAAAACTTAGACCCAGAGAATTCATTACATGTGGGCTCCAACTTCCATCTGGGTTTGGCCCTGTATTATCAAGGAAAAGTTAGAGTAAGTTAGATCAAAAAAGAAAAAGACTAAATTGATTATTACATTGAAACCAATCTAATCTAACATGCACTACAGTGAAACCTATTTAAACCAACATGAACTTGGAGACAGATTTTGTGTTGGAATATACAGGGTGTCAGGTTGCACAATGTAAAGAACATGGAAAATGTGAATCTAAATAAGGGTCACAATCCACAGTTAAACAGATTGAACAGGCTTCAGATTAGAGAGTTTTTACTGTATGTGTAGGACAGGAAATTTATCTTTAAATGAAATGATGACATTTGTTGTAGAGTCTTCATTCAGCACTTGACATGGGTTTTAAAGATTAGAAAGATGGATTAATCAGATAGGCATGTTTTCTTTTCAGAATGCCATTGAGGTGTTTAAAGATGTTTTGAAATTAAAGCCAGATCATGTAGAAGCATCAACTAGCTTAGGCCAAGCATTCAGGTATCATGAGATATCTGTGAGTTTTGTGATGGTAAAGAACGTGAACATTAAACTTAAGAACTGGCCAATGACATTTACTGATATGTACATGTGACTGTCTTTTCACTGTATGCATGTGTAAACTGCTTTACTGACCTAGATATTCCACTTAAACTTTAATACTTCCTTGTTGAGGAAATGTAAAATCCACCATTTTAGCCATGCTTCTAACAGATAAAACACAACTTTGGAAGGAGGGAATGGGGAAGGAAATGGAAATAATATTTTCAATGTATGCAATCCATGGATTTTTTTTTTCAGAGAACTGGGAAATTTAAAGCCAGCTTGGAAGAGATTTAATCAGTCCATTCATATGAACCCCAATCATGCTCAGACTTGGCAGTTGTGGGGGAGCATGTTATATACTATTGGGGAACACAGAGCTGCCAAACTTAATTTTGATGTAAGTCTCTTAAAAGCAAATAGCATATTATATGTATTTATCCTGCAAGTACCCCTTGCATTGACCTAATAAAGTAAAGCTTTATTCGATTAATGTCTTAATAAATCCCCATGCATGTATTCTGATGTTCTCAAAGCATTGTGAGTTTGTGACATCATGTATATTGCAATGTATGCGTAATGGCGTCATAGTATATACTCTGCAGATATAGATATGCAGATATATATGCAGAATAAACAAATTACCCCACCTCTGTCGATTTTTCCGTGAAATCCTGGTATACGATTGGTTGAAGTCTGTCACGTGAAGGCGGTGGATTATTTATACCCGGTCAGTTGTAAATCTATACCCGGTCAGTTGTAAATCTATACCCGTTCGATTTATTTCGTCACAAACACAAACATGGCGTCATAATAAGCACAGTATATGCGTGATGAAGCATTTAGCAGAGAAAACCATTTATAAACTACAGATAAAACGTAAATGTTACATCGGTGGGGTAAATTCGTTACATAGTCTTTTAGTGACAGGGTATGGGATGATACCTGGTTAGTAAATTTCATACCTGACTCGGCTCCGCCTCACTAGGTATGAAATTTACTAACCAGGTATCATCCTATACCCTGTCACTAAAAGACTATTTAACTAATAATACATGGTCATTGTCTTGAAATACAATGTACAAGCGATATTTGGGCTTGGTTGAAAATGTGATAAAGGGCTCGGCAACCTTGCCCTCTATCATGTTTACTTAGCCTCACCCAAATATTGCTAATATTTCAAGACAGTAACCATGTATTTTATATGTATGTTCATATATGAAAAGATTGACCTAGCTGAGTAAGACAAAAAAAAAACAAAACATAAAAACATTAGAATAAGTTACAATTACATGTAGTATAGTAATAGACATCTTATTTTTTTAACATGTATCTTTTATTTCCAATAAATCTCATGAAATTTGTTCAATTGCAGAAATGCCTGAAGATTAATCCGTCCAATATAAACTGTCAGTATATGCAGTCCTTGACTTATATTGCTATGGGAAAATATTACCAGGGACTCAAGTCATCCATGAAAGTGAGTTATGTAATTACTGTGGTGTTTGCTCAGTACATCAGTATAGGCTGATCTGAGTGTTTAGTACGAACACAGATATTGTGAATTCATGGATATAGGAAAGTTATCTTGGATCCCAATCTACGTAAATTTTATGAATTCCTTATACGGATATTATTAGTTACACAGTCAGTTAGTGACCTAATAAGGATTCATACAGGGTGTGAAATGGAAATCCGTATTGGGCGAGGCGAAGCCGAGTTTTACGGATTTCCATTTCACACCCTGTATATTTCTGTGTGTCACTAGTGACTGTGTAACATGTATCCCGCTGAAGACCTTTTTCAATATAAAAAAAAATATTTGTGCATATTATGAAAATATTAGTTTTAATCCAATAACAATCAACATAAAATATCGTTACGGTAACAAGAAATTTAACTAAACTACCTACGTTAACCGTTTCTTAGCCGCCATTTTTATTTACAATAACAACGCTTCGAACGGAATCGTGTGATTTTCATATTACGCCTCGACGGAGACGTAATATGGAAACGGAGATGTAATACGGAAAATTTCAGGGCGTCATGTGATTAGCTTTTATCCAATCAGTAATCGACAAATTTGTCTGAAGCGGGATAACATGAATTACGGCTATAACGAAGTAATTTCATAGGTCCCATTTACTTCGCTATAACCGAGTTTTAGTGTAATTGGTTTCACGTTAGATTTCTGTGTGTCAGTGGTGATACATGTAGTGAAATACAAATTGTACATGTCTAAGTTATTGCACAGACAAATGAAAGTACAGTCACAATCAGTTGATAAGTGCATAAAATTATATTTTAACAGTCTAACCAGTGTGTGATTCTCTATTATTAGGTGATGATAAATAATACTCCAGCCATTAAAGCCACTCCTGAGTTTATCAAGGCCCACTATCTCCGAGGTCAGTAGAACACTATTACTAGAGGTGTAATGAAAAGAGGGAAAAAATAGTACCAACTAATGCCATGAGATGAAAAAGACTCTGCATATGTACATAAAAAAAATAATTATAGCCTATAAATAATTATGTGGTTTTACATACTGTAAGTTTTTTTTTTTTTCAGAATATGCAAGATTTCTTCATTCAAAACTGGATACACCATTAGTGGATATAAATATAGATAATTTTCATCCTGAATTCAAAGACAGGTGGACTAAACAGTTTCCTTTCCAGTTTAAGAATACTTATAAAGAACAACCTGGGCTTCAGCCTGAAATTAAGTAAGGCACAGGCACTTAAGATAAGTTTTTCTTATAAAAGAATATATAAACTTGTCTTCCTTTCTGAATTATTAAGTAGGGGCTTGTATTTTTTTAAATTAGAAAACAGGTACCTGTCATTGAAGATTGTATTGTAATTATCTACATGCAGCTCAGAAGTAAATAAGTTATGCTCCCATTATGTCATTCTTAGGAGAAAATATACTTATAAGATTAAGAGTAGGATTTGATCAATAGCTTGAGGAGGATTCCATTTAGTAGTTTTATCTTTTAAAAGAAAAATTCTCATAGATATTGAAAATGTATTTACAAACACATAAATAATGTACTTATATGCATGCTATTTTTCTCTTTTCAGTGATGTTTCCTATGTATCTATTATGGAGTATGGTAGAGAACTTCAGGGGCTGATCTGTAAAGCTCACAGAGTCGGTCTGTCCATGCAGGTAGCAGCTGATGGCTATTTACCAAGTAGAAGACATAATTTTGCCATGGGGCTGGCATCAATGCATATTGCTCAACTCTTAGATGTAAGGTTTTGTAATTCTACATGTATTACAGAATTATATATTACATGTACATGATCAATGAAATTGCTATCAGTTGAAAGAATGTTTTCAGTATGTACCAGGTGGTTTAACATTTTTTGGATAAATTGAAAAAGAAATTGACTATGTGGTATATTAGCTATACTATTTTAAAATCTTTGTGATTTTGAATTGTAGAAAAGGTGGAGAGAAATAAGATTAAATAAACAAATAGGTAGGTAATGAATGTTACTTTGGTAGATACTCAAAGACATTCTCATAAAAATTATTCCAGTTTGTCCTTGCAAATTCTACATAGAGAAACTAATGACATTTCAGATAGGTCCCTGGATTGGAGGGAGGTTTTTAGTATAGCGGTTCAGTATCGGAGGTTGATTGATCCTGAACAGCCTATTTTCTGGTTAGACAAGATGCCAGACCATGCCACAGAGGATGGATATCACACAGAGATTAACTTTATCAAGTACAGTATAACTATGTATTACATATCAGCCAAGTTACATGTAAATTGATGTCAATTTTCATTAAGATTTTTTTTTTTTACAAATATTTATATTTCTATCATTGAAAATATTGAGGATATAAATGTTTTAGAATTCACTCAATTCAGTATATATGTTATTTTACTTTTTTCTGGGGATGTAATTTCGTGGGACTCGCTTGCTTGGTTGTTCAATGAATCAATATGTTAACATTCCTGGGGATGTAAATTGGTGGTTAAAGGTGACCAGCAAAATCCATGAATATTGATTTCCCCTGAACAATGATGATTCCACAGAATTAAATATTTCTATCTCTTGCAGAGGAGATGTGCAAAATATTAAAGTTATGCAGTATTATGATTTGGTGTTTAAGCTAGCTAAAACCATGCTGGAACATTATGCAGGGTAAGAAAATTTTTGTCATTGTCTTTAAAAAAGTTGTACAATACAACTTGTCATGAAAAGAAATTTAATAGTGGGATTTGTAAGAAATAAAAAAAAATATCGCATTTACTTTCAGGGATGGGGCAATTTTTTATCATGATTTACGACAAGATGTTGAAAGAGCGAAAACATGTGAAGATTTACTGATGATAGCTAGAGTGAGTTGTGACAGTGAAGATGAATAAAAATATCAGATATGTCATAGATAATTAAATGTAAAAAGAATCAGCTCAGATTAAACTTGTACATTCACTGTAAAAGATTTTTTTTATTATGTGTTTATTGTAGAAACGGAATATAAATGAAAATGGTTTCATGGTTTCTACACAAGTGCCAAGTTCCAGGAATGATGAGAGATTGGATGGTTCCATGGTTGTTTTGTCACGTGATATGTAAGCAATAATATGTATTTGTCTATTGGAAGTGACTAATACTTTGCGAATTCAGCAACACTTTTGTGCTTTTAATCCCTTGCTCAGCATTCTATGGTTTCATTGATGAAATCTGTGTATGCTCTTTTTTGTAGGAGTAACAAGATGACTTTTGCCATTAGTATTGTTAATAACAAAGCTCGTACTCAACTCTACCATGCTGAAATAGATGCAGTGTTTAATCAGATTCAAGAAGAAATAAAAAGAATAGGAATAGGCAAAGCACTGGTAGGTAAAGCAAAAAGCTGAAGTTTTTTTGACATGTACCGGGGTACCATTATAACTAAAAGCAAAGCATTTTGTTTTGCATTTGTTTGTTTGTTAACTTTGTTTTTTTTGCATTAAACAAGCTAAAATATTATGAAATATATATACCCAATAAAAATACACTGATTTTGCATTTGTGTCATTATAGATTCCATTTATAGAGCAAATGAAAATGAAAGCTTTTTCATTTTACAAATAAATATAACAGATTTGATTTTAAATTTTAAGTGCATTTAGAAATGTTTATTGTAGAACACAGACTCAGTTATGGATAAAATTTTGACAATGATGTATTACATTTATAATCTGATGCCACTCACAAGGGGAAATAGGTTTGTTGCTTTTTATTATTTAATTTCAATATTTCTTACCAAAAGTCTTCATTTGCTAGAATTTTTATTGCAATATTTTATTAAAAAAGATCATTCCTTTGCAGAAAAAAGAGCAATAAAACATTGTATTCCTTTTAAAATGATTTTAAAGTGCAGCGATGCATTCACTTTATTTACGCTTTCTTTGTTGCAGTGCTGTAATATACTCAGTGGCCATGGGCATCATAATGTCTGTTAATAAGTTTGTTTTTGGAAAGATTCCAAGTGGAAAGGTTGGTTAAATTGTACTAATACATTAGGTCTTTTTTCAGAAAATTTTATTTCAAAAGTGTGCTGACGCATTATATTGTAAATAAACATGTGAATCAGATACCAATGCAGCAGTTAAAATGTGCATAAGACAATGCTAAAATATATTCTACTGTTCAAACTTTAATCTTATAATCATTTAATCTTTCCAGAGAAAGTGTTTGATATATACATGTGTATGTTTAAATTTAAAGCTGTCAAAACATATATTATATACTCTGCATATACATGATTATTTGAGAAACTCTTGTATTCTTGTAGCTATTAGAAATGGAAGCCATTTTGTCTGGTGCTCCAGATGCCTTTATTTTAGTGACAAAAAATTGGATGAATGTTAAAGGGTAAGCTGGAAATGAGACAATATTTTCCTTATCATCTTTCCAAGATATTGATCTTAAATAATGCACTGTATTTCTGGATTTGTTTATTTGAAGTAACAAATATTTTTTTTACTATAAGTCTGTTTAAAGAAAGACATGTAGAATGGGAAAAAAGTCAGGAAAGTACATACAGTGTATATATATTCACACAAAGGTTAAGTTTCAAATCATTCATTTCTATTTCTATTTGAAGCACCTTCATTTGACCAAAAAATCTCTGCTTTCATATTCACTCCATTTGTAGGATAAACGACTTTTACAGAAAGATACTTAGAGTCATAAAATAGATTTTCTAAATTCCTAACTTGTATTTTCATGTAAAATATATTGAGGTTAGAATAAATTTTTTTTACAGAGCAGAAGTCCCCATTACCATTCACCCTAAAATTTGGGATGTTTTACCAAATGTTCGAAATATTGTGGAAGTTTTGAATGTGAACACAGATTTATGTGTTATGCCCGCAAGTCCCTGATCTCAGAAATCGACACATCGAAGTCTTATTCTACAAACTCACTATGCAAATGCCACAAGCCTTGACCAGTATTCTTTTGTAATTTTTTAAAAACAAATTGTGTTTTTATCTAATGGTAAGAATTACATTGTAGCAAAACATGAAGATTTTTTTGTAAATTATTTGGCATTCAAGCAGTCCTTCTGCACAATGTAGACAAATTTTATAACTGTTTTTCTTTTTTAAGGGTTTAGAAAATTTTGAAGATTCTTAGTCTTTGTTTCAGCTACTGGTAGTAGTTACCGTTAAATTTAGAACTATTGTACATGTATACATGTATATACAATAATGTTTTTATGTGAAAAATTGCCTTTATTCAAGTTTTGTTCAAGAAAATGAAACAAACAAAAAAAAATTACAAGCTTTTAATTTGAACAGTATTTAATGCAGTATATATCATATAACACAGCCTTTTGGAATGTTTCCCTAGAAATGAATATTTTTTTTATATTATATGTTTATGGAGGAACCACAATTCTATGAGTTTGGGAAGGTGGAGGGAGGTCTGTTGTTATTTGACTTATGAAGCTGGTCAGGTGACCTATGCATTTTGTTATACATATCTAATTATGTACCACCTTCTTACTTTTGTATGTTTGACTAATTAAAACTCACAAAGCAGTGAAACAGTGTTGAATATCTTTTATAACCGATCTTTGACAAAGTCTATATTTACTCATTACAGTACAGTAAAACTCGTATAGTACGAACACAGATATAACGAACTCACAGATATAACGAAATTTTTCTGGGTTCCTGGCAAAATTCTTAACAAATCTTTGTAAAATTTTACGGTTATTACGAACTCTGATATAACGAATTTACGGATATAGCGAACTGATTTTGAGTCCCGTTGAGGTGAAATATAATGAAATTTACATCTTTTATAACGAACTTTCAAAGATCTCAAAATTTGATAAATTGAACTGACCTTATTTTCTTTCAGCATTTGTATATAAAATTCAATTCATAATAAATCCTTGGTTATCGAAGGTATGTTTGTAATATTTGCTTCCCTAACATATTTGATAGTAACACTTGAAGGAAAACATGCATATTGCGAATTCGCTATATATGGTTATACGAATTCGTTATACGGATATAATGAATTACGGATATAGCGAATTAAAGTCACAGGTCCCCAGGACTTCGCTATAACCGAGTTTTACTGTATTAACTTTTCAATTTGACTCAACAAATTTTGCATATTTAAAAAAAAATGCACCTGTTTAATGATGTGCTTTTAGTGAAAACCATCATTGTAGAAATAATATATATTTATCAATGAAGGGCAAATTGGATGTGAATGGTCTCTGAAAGACTGTTATTGAAAGCATAAACTGTATAAAGGCAAGACCCCAATAAAATCCGCCATTTGCATTGTACATTTGATTTTGTCTTAACATTTGGACAAAATAAACAAGGAAAACAACTTTCAAGAGGCTATCAAAGTCCTAATTGCCCTTCATTAATAAACAAGTTCGTATGTACTTAGAAGTATTTTGTAAAAGTATATGCATTTTTTAAAAGCATTTTTCTCGATAAATATTCTTTTTTTAAGTATTTGTTATGAAGTGATACTTTCTTTATGTTATCAATGATACATTTATAAACAGCAAAAGTTTGAACTTTATAAACCACAGAGTTTTGGAGGAATAGTAAAAATAAATTTTTGGGCATATTGACCCTTGGCAAAACCTTAATATAGATTAATGGAAGTCCCAATCAATTTTTCCTTATTTGTTTTAACCTTACTTATCTCAGATCTTTGAATATGTTGAAGTCTTTTTTTCCTTCCCATCAAGTTTGAAACAAGAGGGCAGGGGCCACATTGCTCACCTGAGCATATCTGCTAAGAAAAAGCACAAATCAGATCATAACTGAAAAGTTTACTGAAGGGGGAGGGGGGGGGCTTGAATTTTAATACTACTTGAGAATGCCTTCATATTAATACAGCATATAGCTTTGCTTTTCTTGATAAAAAGATTTTTTAAAAACATTTTCTTCCTATATATAACTTCATAATAATTTGAACTGATTCCCCATTGTTTCCGTCCCTACCCAAAAGGGCCATGTTTTGAATAATTTAAATCTTCAATACAAGAGGTGGCTTACATATCAATATGACTAAACAAAGCTTTTCTGTTCTTGGGATTTTTCCCTTTTATTGGCTTTATTTTTCTACACTACCCGAAAATGCTTCCATATAAATACTACTATCACTAATCATGGCTTTGCTATTCTAGAGAAGGAGATTTTTTAAAAATATATTTTAATGTAAAATTCGGATCCCCAGTTAAGACCACACCCAATCCCTGGGGGTTATGATTTGAACAAACTTGAATCTACACTACATCAGGATGATTTCATATAAATATCACTAATCATGGCTTTGAAGTACTTGAGAAGACGATTTTAAAAGATTTCCCTAAATACCCCTATGTAAAACTTTGATCAGCCATTTTGGCCCCACCCTACTCCTGGGGGTCATGATTTGAACAAATTTGAATCTACACTACTTGAGGATGATTCCACATGAGTTTCATCTTTCCTGGCCCAGTGGTTCTTGAGAAGAAGATTTTTAAAGATTTTTCCTATATGTTCCTACGTAAAACTTTGATTGGCCATTGTAGCCCCACTCTACCCCCAGGGGTCATGATTTGAACAAACTTGAATCTACATTTAGATAAAGATGATTCCACATGAGTTTCATCTTTCCTGGCCCAGTGGTTCTTAAGAGGAAGATTTTTAAAGATTTTACCTATATACTCCTATGTAAAACTTTGATTGGCCATTGTGGCCCCACCCTACCCCGGGGGTCATGATTTGAACAAATTTGAATCTACACTACTTGAGGATGCTCCCATATGAGTTTCCCCTTTCTTGGCCCAGTGGTTCTTGAGGAGAAGATTTTTTAAAAATGCCATTAATTTTTCACTAATTCATACTTATCTCCCCTTGGAAGAGGGTGTGGCCCTTCATTTGAACAAATTTGAATTCCCTAAGGATACTTTGTGGCAAGTTTGGTTAAAATTGGCCCAGTGGTTCTTGAGAAGAAGATGAAAATGTGAAAAGTTTACGATGACGACAACGACAACAGACAATGGACAAATTTTGATCAGAAAAGCTCACTTGAGCCTTCGGCTCAGGTGAGCTAATAATGAGGTTTGACTGTACTTGAAAATAAATCTTTAATGCTACAATGCCAATGTGTAAAAAAAAAATCTCCCCCTAACTTTTTTTGAGCTGATATAACAATCAATTCATGCTCTATATTGACATTTTCTGTGTCAAGTCTACAATACCTATTACCATGTACCAGTATTACATTCCCAATTTTTTAAGTTTTGACTGCAAAGATCAGGTTCTTTCAACTTTGATGCAAGAAACAACAAAATCAATGAATTATTCATGGAATGTTTAATTGTGATTATAAAAATATATTTTTTATAACATCTTGTAAGGCCACACCAATTTAATTTCTTGTTCGTCGGACATTTGATGAAAAAAGTACGAGCGGGCTAGCAGTTAAATAATAATTATATCATTACTTTATTGTAGGCAAAATTTTTAGGCGGGGCGTAATCTTTGATTATATTTTTTTCTGATTTGCAGAGTAAGTAGATTAAAAGTACGATAGAGCAGAAATGGGAAAGAAAACAGCATAGAATTCCCATGGTGCAGGGATTTTGAATTATTATTTGTATAGTTTTGTTTAAATACGAACGCGCGGGTCCGATTATAAAAATATATTTTTTATAACATCTTGTAATATTTATGTCTCATAATCAGAAATGACAAAAAATGAGACTGTAGCTTTACCAATATACAGTACCTGTAAAAGTGAGTGAGGAAATTTTTAAAGGCATGGACTTGGAACACTTTTTTTTTTTTTTTTTTTTTTTTTACAATAGATTAACATTAATAGAATTATTAATCTAGTTGCTGAGAGAAAATAGGGTTTTCGTATTTCACATGTGCATGACAGAACCTTATATATATGCACTGTAATTGTTTTTTAAAAAAGTTAATACAAATTTTATAAACAGCAAAAAAAAAACAAAAAAAAAAACATGAATTCCATATACAATGTGATTTTTACCCTGCAACCTTCAAAAAAGTAGTTTTTGACCTTGCGATCTTAAAGTTCAACTACAGGTAATTTTACCATTGATAATTAGCTTTGAATGAGAGAAGATTGGCCTTCCATATCTTACAACACCTTTTAAGGATATTTCAAGGTCATTTTAGTGATCTTGACATTGAGGTTCAACATACATGTACTTTAATTTGGCTGCACTGAAACTAAAGAGATCACTTGAAATCAAACTTATGTTTTCACACTTTGCATTACTTGTCAATGTGACAATTAAGACATTTTGAAATATACTTTGACTTTTAATAAAGTTAAAGATGACAGACACTTTCCCACTGCATAATCTGGTCTACTATTAACCAATATCAAGAAATTCAAAACATTATGCAAAATGAATATCAAATTGGTAAACAATATCTGGTATATTATACAGCATAAACTCATGTATATGGCATATAAAAGTAAAAAAAAAAAATAATAAACATCACAACCTCTTTCAGATATTAGGTCTGTATAAATGCTATAACCATGATAACATCTGTATAATGCTGATGAATATACAAAAATCATATCAATTCTCAATCAGTATAGCTGAAAGTTATAATTCTATATGTACAAGAAATAATCCAAATATACATTATGCAAGCATCTTGGAAAAATAATACAATAGAAACAGTATAGGTAAATATTAAAAGATTATCACTTAGATTGGGTTAAATCTTAAGAAAATATAACATATTATTTCTTTTAAGATTTTTAAGAGTTATATGTAATGTTTCCTGAAATGTCATATATTATGATATACATGTTCATAAGTATAAAGTTTTTGTACACTAAAACATAATTATTTAGCCCCCCCCCCCTCCCCCCACTTTTTTGAAAAATTTAAAAGAATAAAATGATAATTTAACCTCATGGAATTCTGTGGATTTCTCAGTCCCCTTGTTACTCTTCGGCAATGGTGTGATTGGATGACACAAACTTCATGTTGACATAATGAAGCTCATAACAATAGTAATATTTCTTATAAGCACCTGGCGCTTCATATTCACAAAATGGATTTCTTCTGTGATTAAACCTTCGGAAGTTTTTCTTTTCCAGTCCCTTAAGTAATTTTACCATTTCAAGGTAGTCCTTCTTGGTTGTGTGCTTTGGTTTGGGAATTTTCTTAAACTTGTTCAAAAACTCGGGAGTATGCATCTCAAATCCAATCTGTTTGACATTGTCTAGTGAATTATCACTCACGATATTTTTGAGAATGTTCCATTCTGTGTATTCAACATCAAACTTCAGATAGTCAATGGCAGTCTAGGAAAAGAGAAGCAAAATCACTATTAATATAAACCTACATTATTTTGTTGGTAGATGTATATCTTAAACACATACCAGTAAGCAGTGTTTAAAACTTATTCAGGAGATCAGTTATGTAGAAAATAGGCAAAGAAGACATACATGAACATCAATCTTCACCAATTATAAAGAATATCACATGCATGAAACCCAAGTTTGATAAATCCCCTATGTGTTGACAATTTGATGGACCTTCCCTCTTCTCTTTCAGTTTTAAATCTGTAATTTCTTATTTCTCTTCCATTAAACTTGACATAATTAGATGGGGTACATTAAAGCTTCACAATTCTCATTAACCAAGATGATTAAATTGGGGGGAGGGTTATTATAGTTAATAATTATCACCCCTTGTACACCATCCTGATGTAGATACATGGGGTGTAAAAAATTTTTTCATCTAAAAAAACCACTCATTTACTGACCTTTGTGTGACCTTCATCTTCTAAATGTTGACTCAGTGTCTTCATTTTCCATCCTTTACTGTTGATTCCATTCCTACCTCCCAGTCCGAGTTTTTTGAAAGTAATTAAATCACTCCTATTGTGATTATTCAGATTTTTTACACTAGAATGAAAAGATTTTTTGTTTACTGACAACTGACAAAAAATGCTAGATGAATTTGACAATACACGTAACAGTATCAGTGAGAATAACAATTCAAAGATGGTTTCTTTCTTACAGACTTAGTCCTCTCTTATTTTTTATTACTGTTTTTTTTTTTTTTTTTTTTACACAGTCACAGACTAATGGTGTAATATTCTACATCAACCAAAATCAAAATGATATAAATCTGACGTTCAAAGTATACCAAAAATGTACATTATTCATAAATTAATGCACCTTGCAACAAACTAACAGTAAACTTTGCATCTTTGATTCCTAGATTTATGAATGTCCAATAAGCAAATGATTCTTCAAAACAAAAACAAAAAAAAAACATGGGTGTAAGTAGGGAACTAAAAAAATATTTCTCACTTAAAATTTATAAACCAACCGTTTAATTTTTTAACAAATAACGAAAACCTCAAACCAGTCAACATTTCATTTTTCTGCAATATATTTCATTATTTTAAATGATACATGTAGTTTAACTTTTCAAATGTCAATATTACATTAAAAGAAAACATACTGAGCATATTTCTCAAAAGTCAATCACCCTCGAGGCACAGTGCTTAGAGCGTCTGGTCTAGAGTCGCGAAGTAAGGAGTTGATCCTTACGTCATGGGTTCGAATCCCACTGTGGGACGTGGAGACTGTACTTTAGAAGAGACGCAGTAGGTCACAAAAAAGATCCCTCCCTGCTCAATGGCCCTAAGTGTCCAGTACAGGACAAAATTTGCAGCTCTCCACCAGCAAGTGGTGGCATCTCCATATGAGTGAAAAATTCTCCAGAGGGATGTTAAACAATATACAATCAATCAAATGTCAATCATGCTGCATGCAAATTTTTAACTAACCTGGGATCAAATGACAACACCCTACAGCCATAAATTTTGGAAACTGCATCATCAAAGTTCCAGTCATTTGCAATACTGAAAAAAAAATTTAATACAATAAGTTTATTGTAACGAAAGTAATTTTTAAGTTCCATACCATATCAATTATAAAGGCTGTAAAAAAAATAAAGTGCCATGCCACAGCATGATACGTCCGTCAAAAAATTACAATTTTCTTGAACAATTTAGCAATGCAAGAAAATCACATCAACCTTGATTCTAAGATTTCCATGATTTTTCCATTCCTTAAAATATTTATCCATCCCCTGTGATGTAGGCATTAATTTATAATAAATATTACATCATTGATAGATGTCTATGCTGGTTGTGTTAGACCTTGTCAAATGCCCATCATATTAAACAATATCAAATTAGTCTTACCTTAATCTATACCAAATTAATTTTGTAAAGAAAAGGCTGGCCATCAAATGGCATATGCTATAAACTGAACAGCAGTTCTTCTGTCTAATCCCCAAAGCTAGGATACAGATAAAGACTACTTGATCAGAGAGCCTTCCTACACTGAACTCATTAATCTTTAACTGGATGCTTGTCTACTCATTACTACCAAGAGATAAATGGGTCTGCACTATCTACCATAAAATTTTTCTTAAACATATATAAAATACTCAAAGATTTTTTTGGGGTTGAGATTTAATGTCATAAACCTTTTATTAAAAATGTGTAATTCATATGGACATGCTGTATCTCCATTCCACCCCATAACATTAGTTTTTAAATTAATAATATTATATAATATCAGATTAGTCTATTATGCAATATCAAATTAGTTTTAATTACTTTTCATCAAATTCATTTTAAAACTTAGGCTAGCCAACAAGAGCTTTTTTAATCCAACAGGCTTAATCATTTGCCCAATACTCAAGGGATATAGATAGCACCGGTGCTCTAGCTACCAGTTAGCTCTAGGGCTGTGTATTGAGCCAAAAATTTCGATACGATATGATACAATACTTTTTTTAAGCGATATGTGATATATTGGATTTTAAAACAAGTCCATCAGAAAATCATTATAATGTAGAAATTTCAAAACAATTGAGTGTTTTATTACCCATTTTAAAGTTCTTGTCTCATTGTCATTACAAATAACACTTCAAATTAAATCTTTTAATAACAATAAAATCAACATGTTCAAATAAAATTCTCTTTGTATTTTGTAATAATTATAAAACTGTGTTATTTCCTAACAAAGTATATAATTATTGAACAGTTTTAATTTCAAAAAGAGGAATATAATCTTTGGTGATTAAAATTCCCATCTTTTTAACAGAATTTAAAGAAAAACTGTCTTTCCGATACGTATTGGAAGTTATTTTTCGATATGATATTTTTCTTGAATATCGATACGTATCGATATATCGATATATTGATACAGCCCTAGTTAGCTCCTCACACTAAACTCATTAATTTCTCTCTAATTTGACATGCAATTTTATCAAAATTCTTCTTGACCAGTGCTTGATAATTACACTCATGGGAGAGGTAGGATTTCTCTAACATACATTATATTTGTTATAGATTGCTGTCAAGTATATGCTTAAAAAAATAAGTATTTACTTGATTTAAAACTTTTTTAATAAGGACAGTGCAATACTATTACATTATTTGGGATGTGAAAATAAATAGTAATAAGACACATTCACTTCAATTAAAGGTCACAGTGACCTTGAAATAGGATGCGACACACCTTCTACCTAAAATGCATAAACTAGCCAAGTTTGATGATTGTAAGTCTTATAATTTTCTAGTTATGGGCCGGAAAGGATTTTTTCCATATTTGGCTATATCTTCTTAAATAAAGGTCAGAGCGACCTACTTTTTGTGCGCGACACACCTTCTACCCAAGATGCATCAGATGACAAAGTTTGATAATCCTAGGCCTAAAAGTATTAAAGTTATGAGCCGGAAACGAAAAAGCTAACAGACAGACGGACGGACACGAAGCCTATAACATAATACGTCCCGTCTTAAGACGGGCGTATCAAAAAAAATTGGAGTCCCAAACCGTACCCACAAGATCCACCTAAGCATTTCTTACCCAAATGAGTAAACTAGGCATGGTTTTTTCAGACCAAAGGGAGGAGAAAAACACACATTGTATCCACCATCATGCTGGTATCCAAGTCTTTTGTCTTGTTTACAAATGACATCTTTCTGCTCCAAATACCTATATTAACAAAAAGAAATACAGTTGAACTTTGGTATCTCAAACACTGATATCTCAAATACCACAGGCATGTTGAAGTGAGTTTTTAACCTTGATATCTCAAATGCTTTGATATCTCCAAAGTTTTTCTGCCTACTGCAGATACTTTAACATGTTTAACTTGGTCAATCAAAAAAAAAGTTGGGTCTGATGTAGCATTCAGAAGTGTTACACATTAATGGAAATTTTCATTCCTAGATGCATCATCAATGAAAAGAGTGTAAAATAATTTGGGAGTGAAACTGCTCCATAAACCTCTTAGTAATCTGCAAAAATGTGGATCTGATCCAGAATCAGATGGGAAGTGTGCATCTCTAAATTCATCATTCGATCAAATATGATGCAAATAAGGCTTAACAGTTACTTCTGAATGGAATCAAACTTTAAAACCTGAATGCCACTGGCTTGTCACATCAAGCATGATCTAGGTGAGCTGTAAAGTAGTTATCAATTGAAGAATTTCCATCAACTTTCTAACTTGAGATCTCTACTTTGACTTCACAGTCCTAACATGAGCTTGATCATATGCCCACCTGTAGAAATTTTCCTCAATTTTGTCCAGCGGTAGATCTGGGGAGAATGAAATCTTCTTGTTTTTCTTTACAATAATTTGTGGTGATGGCTTTGTTGGTTTAGGTGTTGGCTAAAACAGAAAAGAAACACTCTGACTGACTACATTAAAATGAAATTTAACAATTATGGTCCTCTGCTACCAGTCTACGCGAAAGTTTAGAATTTTTACAGGACAAAATGTCTGGTAAAAATAAAATTTTTACCAGACCAGACAATTTTTTACCAGACCGACTTTTCCCTCCTTTAAATCCATACATCATTATGATACTGAGATTGAGAGGGTGTGTGAGATGGGGTTAATTCTCACTGTGAAATTTAACCTTAAGTAAATTCAGAGTGAAATAGACAAGTTAAATATTCATAATTTTCCTTTGTAAAAGGTATCTATTTATACAATTACATGTATTTTTTTTTCTTCATATTTGACTTATACAACATACACTGTGTCAAAGATTTTCTTCTGTAAATTTAATATGCACTTTCAATGCATATTTAATTTTCCTGAAACAATTTATTATGGTTACTCAAGTTCAATGATCATTTGAAAATAATTCCCTAACCGAATCTACGTATGAGCTATCTAAATATTTTCCCAACCAATTCTACGTATGAGCTATCTAACTTGGCAAAGATCTCTAATCTTTGACAGACGGAAATTCGAATTAGAATAAAAACGATCATGACAGGGTTGTAAAACATAAAAATTAATTAGGTATTACTGCTGAATTGGTCAAATAAAGGATATTTGTGGGGAATTTGACCATGTGTACCTGTTAATTTAGATTTATTTGGCCTTATTTTCTATCGGACATTTGGTCCTGTATACTGAAATTTTTTACCGACCCGACCTAAATTTTACCGGTAAAAACCGACGGTCCGGTGACTTTCGCATAGACTGTGCTACTGATGTCTTAGTTGTTTAAATGATGCAATTATTTATGGCATATTGTAATTGTCTTGCCCTTTTTTTCTGTCCAACACTGACCCCTTCCCCAACAAATATTTGAATTAAACAAGAGATGTTCCTGAAACACTTATGCAGCCCCCCTCCCCCCCCCAAAAAAAAATTGGAATTCCAAGGGCATATCTCTGTCAAAAATTGCAAAGAGCTAGGTTCACTTTATGCATAAAATGGGCCTGTCCCTATACCTTATACAGGCTTTGAGAAATTGCAATGTTCTTGAAATTTGTAGAAAACATGCGTATTTGACTACATGTACCTTCAGCAAAGAATTAAGATATGTGCACAGCCCCTGATCCAAAAACTAAAACATGTTTTTTTATCTTCAGAAACAGATCTTTCATTATGTAATTGCATATTTTGGATCAGAGGTTGTGCTGTATATGAAATATTGAAAAAATACTTCAACTTTAGGCCATTTTCAAAGGTTTTTACAGGATCTGAAGAAAATGACGCATTTCATGATGTCATAATGCATTTACTAGACGGAAAATTGCGTCAAATTCAATAGATCATGGATAGATGCCTGGTCACCAACAGTTCAAAGCTATGTATGGCGTATTTGAGCTAAAAAATAAAAAGACGAGATCAAGTGTTGATTTACATGATATTTGCTATATTTACGTTCAAATTAAAATTTTTCCCGATTTTGAACTTAAATATCCCTACGTTTCCATAGTTAAATTGACTTTAAACTGTACCTTGTATATAATTCCGAGTCGGAAATAAATCGGTTATTGCTTAAATTTCGGATATTTAAGAAAAGCGATTGATTTAAATTGTGTTATTTACAGGAAAGTCCTATCTTTATATTAAGTATCAAAACCAATAGAAAGATCTTTTTAATTTTAGTTAGTCTGAACTTATCAAAAATTCACCATATATGACTTTCAAGTGATAAATACTGCATTTTCAACCTAAACTGAACAGTTTTGATTTTTCAGAAATTCTCAGGGCCAAAAAAGGCCCTTCCTTAGTCAGTTAGTGGCTCTTGCTCTTTTACACCCTCTGACATGTCTAATTAAAGAAACCGACTATATACCGTATATACAGATTAAGTTTCAATAAGAATATGGATAAAGTTAACAAGTCGTTTAAATTTAAGTAAATACAGGATAATTAAATAAACAGTTATTACCATCCAATCAAGACGTGGTCTCATGAAAATGCCTATATTCTTCTTGGTGTAATTCCACTTTGGAAGGTGTTTCCTCGCCTTTTCAAAACGTTCTTTCTCGTCATAATCCCCATCATTATATTCATCATACTCAAATACATTCTCATGGTGACTGTAGCCACGCCATGGAATCATGCGACCAATATATGTAATGAATATTATCAAGAAAAGGAAAATACCAACTAAGGCCAACAAGACTTTCTTTTTCAGCTGCATACTCATGACCATTTCTTCAAGATAAAGAAAAAGGTAAGCATTGTCACCATTTCTTATGATAAAATGTGATAGCGGATAATGTTTTTATCAATTCTTTTCCTCTCTATTCTCATTTTTGTGAACATTTTGCACTTTTCCAAAAAAGTAACTCAACACCGGATGTACTAAACAGGAAAACTAAATTTAAACTCGATTCCAACAAACCAACCCAATCCGAATTTTTTTCAATGTTAAATGAAGACTTTGTTTATTTGTGTATATATTATTTACATTGAGAGAGTTAAATTTATTATGCTAATGATATACTTAGAGTTAGTGAAAATCCCTCTGTTCGATGCGAGGTGGGCAATATCCGTCTGTAAAAATATCTATAATAGCATTTAAAGTTCATAAGTCTAGATTAACTTTTAAGATTTTGAAGTGATTAAAGATTTGCCACAATATTTTTGCGCATGTGTGAACAAACTAAACACATTTCATTTCATTTATACAGTCATGTACATGTACTTCATTTGCGAGCATGGAAACAATTTAATTTTTTAAAAGGAAGAATACAAATGAAATAGGAGATAATGAACTGTGGTGTCCGGATAGGGTCATTTGCTAAAGCTCAACAGCGCGTTCAGAAAACACGCTGACACATGTGTAACACCCTGTCACGCTAACACGAGTTCGCACAACACGCTGACACGCTAACACACAATATGCTGTCAAAAGTTCGCACAACACGTCGTCGCGCTAACACGCAAGCCGCGACGGCGTGTTTTTCTGAACGCGCTGTTGAGCTTTAGCAAATGGCCCTATCCACAGGGACGTAGCAAAAGGGGGGGGGGGGGGGGGGGGGGGGTAGGCCTGCCCCCCCCCCACTTTTTATCCCAACATTACCTTTTACTAAGTAAATGTTCATTGAAAGGATGGTTGGCCCCCCACTTTAACCATAGTATAGTGATATCAAGGATTTAGGGAAAAAATTGGAAGTAATAGTAAGTTGGCTTCAAAAAGTTTGCCACTCCCCCCCCCCCCCCCCCCCCCCCCTACGAAATAGGATTTTCCTTGGGCTTTTAAGTATATTTTTTTTTTTTTTTTTTTTTTTAGCTTGTCAACACACAAGTAAAAAAAAATTTTCACAACCCCCCCCCCCCCCCACTTTCAAAAACGATGCTACGTGCCTGATCCGGACACTGTAATGAACAGTAATCGATTTCAAAAGTCTAATGAAACAATGCAAATCGGGAGCAGAGCAAGGACGCGGACACTTCAAACATCGAAAGTAAAATCAGGTGACAATGAAGGAACAAACATTCCTTGTCAACCATTCCTATGCTCCTTGTCATGGCCGAGAAAACGGTAATACTGTATACAGGGAAATTTTCAATTTCAAATTTAACAGGGCTGTTGAAATACAATAATTTCTTAAATAAAACAATGAGCAGAGCAAGGACGTGGACACTTCATACATCGAAGGTAAAATCAGGTGACAATGGAGAAGTAAACATTCCTTGTCAAACATTCATATCTGCGCTATACTCCTTGTCATGGCGGAGAAAACGATAATATATTCTATTCATATGAATACAAAATAGTTCTGCTAACGACAAGTCGAAATTGGTACCCATTGGAATTATGACAATTTGTTGGACCTGCTCTCTATAAACTACAGAGATATCGTCAATCGGAAACTCAAACTTCTTTTACTAACAAATTCAGCGTACTAATGTTTTTACAATCAGAATGAATTTTTATCACATAAAAATGTTATTAAAAATAACAATGTTTCAATGGCCCAGCAATTAGAACAATCCCACACTGCACGATAAATTTATAAAGGGAAAAATGAGAGAAATACACTTTATTGGTACGCATTGGATTTCGCAATGTCGATAAACTTGATATAATTAGAAAAGGACCTACTCATATAAATAAATTATTCTTACAAATTTGTGCAGTTCAACTTTGGATTTCCAGTTTTCCGTTCGTTCACATGTCGACCCTCTTCTTTCTGCCTGTTTTTCGATTCATATTTTAATTTTTTTTTAAATAAAGAGGTTCTATATTTTTTCCTTGACTATATAAGTACAGTTAGGACTGTCCAATTCTTTTAAAAATTTATATGAATGGTAGTTTTCAAATTAGAATATATCCCGTACTGCCGGATTTTTTGAAGTACCTGATGAAAAAACTTAGCAAATAATACAAATGTGTTCGATATTTAGCAACTGAAGGAACCCCCCCCCCCCCAATAAATAGATAAATAAAATTAAAAAAAATAATTAAAACAATAAAACAAACATAAACAACAAAAACAAAACAATAACAACAAAAACAAACAAACAACAAACAAAGATAAATAAAAACAAAACATCTTCCTAGTTTATTTGAAAGTTCTTTGTATTTTGATCTGTATAACAAACATATGTAATACTTTGGTGATCTTGACAGTGGTGAAGAAAATCATGCTCCGTATATAAAAACTTTATTTGATAATGTGAACAATACTGAGATCTAAAAAAATGAACTTTTAAAAATATTGAAAAAAAAAAATTAAAAATTCTATGTTAAAGTGTCTTTAATAACTTTTTCTGACCACGAAAGCAAAAACAACTGATAAAGCCAATAAGAGTAGACAGATGGCGCTCCTGTCACTAGAATTACATCTACTGGATTTGCAGTAACAAGTTGTCAGTTGGTTAAGTTCTGTACACTCGGCAGGTGGTGTCCATGTGTAGTTTATGTTACTTCGATCTTCAATGCAACTTCTCTTCACAAATGGTGCTATAAAATACAAAAATAATTCGTTCACAAAAAATATAGAAATCACAGACGAAATGTTAAAAAAAATTGGTGTGAAGAAAGTAGCTATATATTGAGGGATTTTTCTCTTACATACTTGCCCTCCCCCTATAAAAACATGAATTTAATAAAACAAACACACTGGTGAATGCTAAGCAGTATGTAGAATAGATATATCAACTTTTTTACATATTAAATCATGGAATTCGAACACGACCTCCACACGTAATTCGACAAAGACTTTTCTTCCAATCTAACCTTACAAAACTTGAACCTCTGTTCTATAAAGAACCACTCACCAGCTTTGCTATCCTCCGTGCTAACGATTTTGCCACAGTAAGTTTCATCTGGTTTACATTTGACGATATATTTCTCTTGGTTAGCTGTGAAAGGATCCCCACACTGTGCGTCTTGCAATGAGTCACAGGTTATGCAATTTAAAGCGTGGCCTGAAATTGAAAAAAAAATATTGATTTTTAAATAATCATGAAATCCTTTACAAAAATTGAAAAATATCGATACATGTAAATAACCTTCATGTATTATAAGTCAGATACTGACCATAAAGCGATGCAAGAGGCCCATGGGCCACATCACTCACCTGAACAGGGTAGAGAAAAGTACATGTAGAAACTAGTTCAGTATTGATAAAATATGGATGCATTAAAGGTCCTTTCTACCCAGGGAAAGACAGGGGAGGGGATTACGAACTCAGCAAACTTGAATCTACACTTACCAAAGATGGTTCTATATTTCTATGACAAATCATGACTTTAATAGCTTTTTGTAGACTTCCTTTAATATATTCCCCTGTAAAAGTTTGATCTTCAATTGTGGCTCCACCCCCTGTGGTCATAATTTGAATATGGTTGAATTTAAACTGTACATGTAGATAATTCCACATTAAATGACCAATCATTGCTTAGTTAGTGTGCTGTTCATGATCGAGGAGTAGGCCTATATGCGGATTTTTAAAGATTCAGAGGTAAAAAATTTGATATATGAAAGCTCCGGGGGGGGGGGGGGGGGTATAACAAAAAAACAAATCTACGCTATCAGATGATGATACCATATAAAATTAATATGAGCCATCATGTCGTTGCTCGGTGTTATAGGGATAGGGGTTTTCAAGATTTTCCTTTATACACGTATTTCTAAGTAAGAGTTAAATCGCCCATTGTGGACCCCACGCTGAACCCAAGGCTCATCATTTGAACCAGTTTCATCAACATGTAATTAAGCTTTGAAATTTATCTTTTTTGGCCCAGTTGTTATTGAGATGATTTTTAAAAGATGCCATGCATTAAACTTTTGCTATTTTTTTTCTAATAATCTCCCATTTAAAGAAGTTGTGGAATTTCCTGTGAACAAAGTTAAATATTAAGCAAACGATGACTGTCAGACAACACTTGACAGCATCCGGAACACCTCGGGCCTTTCACAGAAAAACAACGTGTTTTTCTGTGAAAGGCCCGAGGTGTTCCGGATGCACTTGACAGACGACACACGACAGACGGACGTCTGAAAATATTCGTTTAAAAAAGCTCAGGTGAGCTAAAGTGGAATAAAAAGAATTCGGTTGGAAGAAATTATATTATTTACTTCATACATTGTTTTACATTTTCTACCACCAAAATAGGATTCTATGTGACTTATCCTACGTTTTGAATCTAATTAGACTGCATTGCGCAAAACACCTCAAAGGTGACTAAGGATATTTACTAAAAGGCTTTACGATATTAATTAAAAATTCATGTGAAAACATAATTGCTTGAAGGCATCACTTGTAATAAAAATAGCACAATGCACTTACTTAACATACAGACACACACTGTCCACTATTTTGTATGCTCTTTTGTTCTGGAGCTGTAAGCCCCCGAAATAATTTCAGTAGTTGAGTCCCTTCTCTCTCTCTCTCTCTCTCTCTCGTTAAAAGACAATTAAAATGACAACCAAATACATTGACCCTTGTCTGAATTTTTTTTAAGGAGATCGCGTAAAACCACTAAAGGGTGGAATCTAAATTTAAGGTTTATTAGGTCTGACATGCCCCCACCCCAATCAAATGCCAAAATAAACGATTAAATCAGTACATGTACTAATTTTAAGTCGTGTCCTCTCAATAACAATATCTGCAAATGACCTTTTTTTCTTTGTTTGTCAATACATTTCAGTTCGGTTAATGTTGTGTCCTTCCACCTTTAAATTGCAACTGCTTCCTGTTCTATGTGTGTAATGTTAATACTTTTCTTGCTTCACATTGTAGCATGTGGTCAGCATAGACTGACCTTTTAATTTTAACAGTGAAACTTTGGGGGGGGGGGGGGAATCGGTAGATTTAATTTACAGAATACAGTCGGTTTTAAAACATTATAAATATACATGTAAATTATAATATTCGTTACCTATATTTTGGTCTTTGGTTATATACCTTTGGATTTTTTTAATTGATACACCACATTATAAGGAGAAAAAAGAGACACTCGTATTAATTGTCTGTATATCAATTCACAAAAGTGAAAATTTCATTGTAACAAATGTTATGTTGATGTAGTAAAACCCAGAGCTTATAAACTTAGAGAACAAATGATTTGTCTCAAAAAGTACACGAAAAGGTCACATAAAAATCATTTTGATATTAATTCTTCGAAATATTCAAAGGAAATCATATCATTTGGGAATTAAAAAAAAGAATTCATATGAATGACTTACCTGAGGCAGAACACAAGACGACGAGGAGGGCAACTGCGAGGAATCTCTCCATCTTTAAGAGAAGATTAACCTAGCTTCCACTAGATGCAGAAAATACAATTGAAGGTCGTTTGAAAGTTTTAACCCCCAGGCTACGTATGTTCAAACCCAGACCGAGGCAGTGACAAAATGACAAGCTGAATTATTGCTATACGACAGGTATATACAAACGACAGGTAATGCAAAACAAGGCAAAGCAGGTCACCTTGCTTTAACTCTTGAATGAATTATACACTAGCATAATCAAGCAACTTAAAGTAATTATTTCCTTGATTAATATTTTTCCTTTTTACAATCAGAAATCAAATTATACATCATTTCCCTCCTCCTTCCCAACTTTCTAACCAAACTCAAAGTAAGGCGTTCAACCATAACATCAGTCGTAAGTCCTGACCCCCTGACCGTTCGAAATAAACGATGTAGTATTTGGGGTTAATGTACAGTGAATGGATCGTGAGGTACCTAGTCAAGGAGCATTTTTCCATCAAATTGTTTGGAGTTGGACATTTTAGCGGATTATCCGGACGTTTTACTGTAAGGGGAAAACTTGGACTTTTTAGCGCAAAAAAAAAATGTTTGGACATTTTTGCGGAACACTTATAGAACATGTTAAGGGAATTCTCTTCGTCGCAAACCACGGCTAAAATGTACGACCCTCTCCCATTCTGGCAGTGGCCACGGGTAGGAGTTGAGCTATATGCGGACTCCGGACCGTGGCTTGAGACGATGGGGAATTCTAAGCGAAATCGGTTGTGGACATTTTAGCAGGAGGTTATATATATGTCAAACTTACACCCTTTGCTTTGCACTCGTCTCCGCCCCCCCAAATTTGTATCTGCGATACAGAACCTGTCTCGTTCTCTAAATAATACTAATTCATTCTAAAACAGTTTAGTTTTTAAGCTATAAAAACTACAGGATACGAGTTTTGTAGTGCTTAACAGGCCAATTCAGATTTAAAAATCCATGATCTCTTTACTGAATTTACTTTTCTATCGTTCTATCGATTATTTTTATTTTTTTTTTTTGCCCACGTGGGAGGAGGAGGGGGGGGGGTCGGGGTGCAAGTGACAACGGCACTTCGAAAATATGCCAAATGTAGTGTATGAAATTTTTTTTATATTTAAATAAGGTGGAACAAACGGCACTTCGAAAATATGCAAAACGTTGTGCATGAATAAATTTTATACTGAAATATGGTGGAACATGGTATTTTTGCTATTTATTTGGTATCATGTCATCATACATAAAACAAATACAAATAATTATACATGATCTTATGAAAGATGAAAGTTGGTAATCAAGATTTTATAAATAAATAATTTAAATGACTAGATAGATACCAGGATAACCCATTAAAGCTCGAGAGCTTATTTCCAATGGGAAACATAACCCTCTCTAATCTCTGTTGAGATTCTGCTGGGCTAGATATTTGGACTTGACACCTGGATCTGCGGGCGTCAATTCCAAGTATCTAGCCCAGCAGAATCTCAACAGAGATCAAACCCTCTCCCCCACCCCCGTACACGCAAACAAACATGAAATAGTATTTTTGCGAGTTATGACAATTTTTTTTCGCTTGTGGGCTTTTTAGGAAAGTTGGATTTTTTTCTCTTACTGCACCTTTGAACAATACTATATCCCTGAATCTCATACAAAATACTGTATAATAAACGAAAAGTATTCATACATTATTGTCCACCGCTTTAATGAAAATGGGGGATATTAATTTTGGTCTGTCTGTTCGTCCATCAGTCTGTGCGTAACACTTTCGATTTCAGATTATAATACCTTAAGAAGCTCTTTTGAGCCTTTGCATTAAAATTTCATAACCTTAACTCCCTAACAATTTCAACTATGTAAATGGGAAAGGAGATAATACGATATCCATTTTCATTCAATCCTATACAGATTTGATGTATATTCAAACGTGGCACTCGTGACATGCGCCTCCATCAGATTAAGTTTTCCCTGTCGCACTTAAATTAAGATATTTCACTTTGAAAAAAAAAATGTGTCGAACATAGATCTACCATCTGCCAAATAAAATCTCATAAGTTATGTGGACTTTGCCTGTGTGACTCCACTGGACATTGTCCTTGATCTGCTTGGGACCTCAAAAATAATTTAGATCCTTTGCAAACTAATATCAAAGGCGGGTCCAGGGCCGGCGCACCCCCTCCCGTTTGAATTTTTTGTATGAAGAAATTATAAGTCCATTTTCCTAAAATGAAGGTAAAAACTTCTCTTATTTGTCCCCAGACCCCCCCCCCTTCTACTGTGCCCCGTTATGGAATTCCTGGATCTGCCACTGAATATAGCACCCCCTTTAACACAAAATCCTGGATCTACTGATGCTATACTTTGAGTTTTGAAGACAATAAAAGAAAAAAAACAGATCTTTTAAAAGTTTATTCATGGTTATAGTGACAACATATTTCCTTGTTGTTGGGAATTTTGATGACAATGGAAGAAAATTAGAATATTTTAAGTTTACTCATGGCTATGGTGAATGCAAATTTTCTTTGCTGCAGGGCAATCCTCTGGAAAATAAAACAAGATCCTAATTAGAACAAAAACATACAGAAACCTGTTTAATTTAGAAAAAGTAGAAAAAGTTACAACACCGTTGCTATTAAAACTGGCTGAAAAATTTTACCTTCTGATTCTAATTTTTCCCTAAACAAGACAGATTCTGGGATTCTGAATTCGATGCACATCATCTCTTTTCCAGGTGCCACATTACGGACCTGTCTAATCTTAAACTCCTCCAGAGTACAATTCAACACTCTTTCCACAGTCTCTCTAGTATCCTTTTCAAGATCCTCACTCTTGCTGAAATAGTAACAGTGAACAAAGGGCAGACAACTGTGATCTTTTGGTCTGGATCCTGAATGAGTAAAAAGTCCCACAAAGCTGTCCAGGAATTCCACAGCTAGTGCTGGTAAATTCATCAAGACATGAACATCTCCCTTCTGATCTGAAGGATCATTCCACCTCTTTTCCATCTCTTTAAGAAATATCTGCTTTATAAAATCCCTGCCATCCATGTTGTAACACTGAACACTGTTCTGACAATTAGATCCATTTTTAGCCACATTCACTTTTAAACTCTTGTAAGATTCTGGATTTAGGTCATTTGCAAACACTTTAATTCCATTCTTCCCACAAGGCACTGCAAAAGGTCCCACCCCAGCAAACACATCAAATACCAGGTCCTTCTCCTGCATCTGAGATGCCACTAGATTATGTTCTGTACCTATGAAAATAAAAATTTGAAAATATATGAATATCTGGTGAACAGTCTTAATTTATCATTTTCTGTTATTAAATGGAAAACCTATAAGAAAACTATAATGTTTGTTAAAGAAAATATGTTAGTGAAAACCACTTTCTTTCAAGTAAATGGTTTTTGATCCACTCTGCTCTTCCCTGGCTTAGGAAAACAGACAACCAATGGAATAACAAACAAACACAATATAGATTCAAATGGAATATATATGTTTGTACTTTTTGTTTATCATTAAAAACTTAAACAATCAGATTATTAAATCACACTGAAAAAAAAAAAATAACTGGGAAAGCAAATATAACATCTTAAAATGTTTGAATAATGATAGAGGATTTTTAAAACCCATAAAGATATAATTTAATTTAATAAAATGTGATGAATTTACAGCAATATCAGCATTCTGTCAAATTACCTAATTTGGTATTCCAATAAACTTTTGAGAAATCAAATGTGAATGTACATCCATGTTCCTTCACAGTAGCAGTGTAATCCTCCTCCCCAGCTAGAAGCTCCATCTGAAAGTTCCTGAATTCGGAGTCAATAGTCTTCAGTTTGTTGACAACAGTCCTGATTATTCTGTGTTTGTCTAAAATCACTTGACCTAAATGAAAAAATGGTTAAAACTTTTTATATTTTTCTCAATATTCAGCTTTCAACAAATGAGCTAAATGAAGGATGTATACAGTCACAATTAGTTTCCTTCAATTAAAGCAACAATGTGGAGTTAATACAGGAATGAAAACAATGCAATTAAGTGAAAATGTAAAGGGATTAAAGGATTTAACACAATATTGTAAGGGCAAAACTAAATTTTCTTTTAGTTCCTTGCCCTCATGCTGTTGCTCCCTTGTTTTGCCCCTCCACAGTCTCACTTCCACACATTGTAGTACTTGCATCCTCCTATGATTACTTGCTCTCAAGTCAAAGGAGCAACTGCACAAAACAGTTCACCATACATTAAAAATCAAACTTGCCTATTAGGTATTTGTAATCATCGGTCCCCTCCCTGAGGTTTAAGTGAGCAATATGACCAACTATTGCAAATCCTGCCACAGTGTCTAATTCCTTTGGCAACACAGCTTTAACAACTTCTGCATGGTCCCAATTCTCATACTTCATATCAAAATTGTAAAAGCAAAAACTTCCGACATCAACATCAAACTTTTCTAATATATCCCGTTGTTTCTCATTGAAGTCATCCACTGACTGAAGTTTGCGTGGATCAAAAAGTATTAATTTGTGAGTCTTTGCATGTGCATCTTTAGCATTTAAATCAACAACTGGTTGAATAGATCTAAAGCGCAGAATTTCATTTTTTAACGCCTTTGTAAGTCGGCCAATATTCTTCTGAGGAACTGAAACTCCTGGAATGGATATAGTTTTCCTAAATAAACTTCTTTCTAAAACTTTCATGCCACGAACAGCTTCTGGAGGATCAAAAATTGAGTCACTGTCAGTCATATTTTTGGTTTCTTTCCAGTTGTCAAACTCAAAATAATGAGCAAATTTACAAGCTAGTTTCTGAATCAAAGACGGATTACAAATGTATAAATAGCATATGTTATTCCTTCTATACTGTCTTGTTAGTGTTTTTTGTTCTGTCACTCTCAGATTTGTGAGAATCCGCCTCCAAAAGTTAACCAGTTCTGTTGTCATTTCACGTGGGTTGCACCATTGCAAACGGAAGTGAGATGTTTTTCAATGTTAAATCGTACCAAACATCGACAAACTGTATTTCGACCTTTAAATATTTCTTTACAGTGTCACTTTGAGAGGTAACACGATCTATCTAGAAATTATAATTCAATTTATTTAATGTATGAACAATGAACCGTTCTGCATTTTGATGGAAATGACGTTAAAAAAGATCCCGAATATCGCCAGTACGAGTAACATAGAAATGGACGACCAGGGATGTCCTCGCTGCAAAACAACAAAATATAGAAATCCGTCCTTAAAACTTCTTGTCAATGTCTGTGGACATTCTTTGTAAGACTTAAGAATATATCCTGTTATGTTATCTCCAAAACACACAAAAAGATAGGAGAAATTCGCAGAAGGCTGTGTAAACGACAAGGTTCATGAACTGTGGAGATATTTACATGTTCATTCTACAGTGTGATAGCTCTCTGGGGACTGACTTTCTTCAAATTACTCAGTTTATTTATTAAAAGAGCTAGGTTTACACTTACCTGAACTTTTATTAAATCCATTTGAGCATATATCAATTTCATGATGAAAGTTGAAGATGAATTTAACTCACTTATAGCAGTAATTATGCTGAATATCATTTGTGTGTCATTGTAGGTGTGAAACTTGTGTTGAGGCGTTATTTGTCAAAGGCTCAGGAACTTGTCCAGAATGTGGAACAGCTTTGAGGAAAACAAATTTCAGGGTTCAGTTATTTGAAGATCCATTTATAGAAAAGGAAATAGAAATCCGCAAAAAGATTCTGAAGGAGTTAGTATATTTTGATTGATTTGCTTTTATTTACTTAAAGTAAATGCCCAGGATAAGATTATCACAATGTACAGTCAAATCTTTTTATCTTCACCTTGATTGGACCAAAAAATGAATGAGATATATCAGAATTCAAGACATCAAGGTTAAATTACATAAAAAAAAGAGAAGTTTTGACTTCCAACTCTTTAAACATATCCCTGGTTTTCAAGATATCTTCGAAAGTGTTTGAGATAAGAAGGTTAAACTATTTAAGGAATGACTCTAATTCTTGGCCAGATTATCGAGTATAATATGGTTTGGGTCAGTTTACGCTTTATAATCCGCGAAGCGGATTATAAAAAAGCGTAAACTAAAACCATATTATACTCGATAATCTGGCCAAGAATTAGAGTCATTTCTTATAATTTAATTTTAAAATAATTAAACAACTGGGGATGTAAAATTGTGTTGTTTTTATTAGTTCAAATTTACCGCGCAATAATACAACCGTAGTAACGGAAGTGATGGGAAGCAAGGGGAGGTAAAAACTGATACATAGATCTAGCAGCCATGATGCTTGTTTACATGAGGTAAGATCGAGCAACTGTTTGAAGTTAAAGGTACATTCATTAAATCTGGAATTTTTCATGAATCCGAAGGACTGGAAATGAGGGGATTGATGGATACAGATGATTCAGCTGGTTGTCAAGGGGGTGTGTCCCCATACCAAACCAGATTATACAAAATGTTATGCGTTCCTTTTTGGAAATCAACCAATGAGAGACAAGAATACAAACAGAATTAAATTATATATATATATATATCTTTGACATTTTCTGCTTAATTAAACTAAATATTTTTCAGCATAAAGATTTAAGGTAGTCCGATCCTCAGGTTTATAAAATTAGCAGTTAAGTAATCAAAAATACTCATAAAAGTATCTCGGAATCCACAAAGTTATGTAAATTTATCCACAGTATTTCTTTAAAATTAAAGATTAAAGTTAATCATATTATATAGGGAAAATTGTCGAATCTCCAATATTTTTGCAGAAAAAGTGAATTGGAATATCAGCAATGCATTTTCTAATTGCATATATATTGATCAACAAATATATTTTAAGTTAAAAAACGATAGGTATCCAGGCATTTAGAGAAATTGTCATGATTTTTATACTTATTTGGTATTTATTGTCTTCTATTTCCATCATGTATTCTATAATACTTAGTGTAGAAGGCTTTTGCTATCATTGCAAGACACCACAAATCACTTCTTATTCATATCAATGCAAATAAGCATTGGTATCTAAGGCTGGATTCAAGAAATGCTTGTTTCTCTAAAACTGTATTATTTTTTTCCTTGAATAGAGTACAAATGTCAACTTTTATAAGACCTTTTCTAAGACTTCAAAAAATATTGAATCTTATAAAGATGAATAAAATGAAAATTGTTGCATGAAAAAATTTCATTTTCAAGCTTCAACTTGATGCATTTTAATTTAAATATTAATTTTTGGAGTTATCCTTCCGGGCTGAGGATCGGATATCCTTAAATGTTCTAGTTGTAAGAAATGCATGTAGAAAATAGTCATGAAAATAAAAAAAAATAACATTGTCATTCAGTGATATGTAAAAAAAGAATTGATTTTTCAGCTTTAACAAAAAAGAAGAAGATTTTCATACCTTGGAGGAATACAATGATTACATTGAAAAAATAGAAACTATCAGTAAGTACTACAAAAGTAATTTTAAGAGAGTGCATAAGATAATTCTACTTTTTTTCATATATAGATCAATATTTTCTTATCCATGAAAATCATTCCATTAGTGGGATGAGATTTCAAGGCTTTTTCGTATTGAATACTCATCACTGTAGTTATAGAAAATTTTCATTGAAGATTGACAATCAGACAAGTAGCAAAAAATCAGAACCCATGGAAAATATTTTTACAGTTTCAAATTTTGTCACAAGTTTCATTATTTATTATTGCAGTAAAAAGTAAAATAAATATTCACAAAGCAGGTTGATAAATTACTGGAAAATTGCTGTTGAATGTAATTTACAATATTAATTGAGATTATTGTATTAAAAAGATGCCAGATGAATTCTGATATGTTAAAAAATACCTTGCATTAGGTCTGCTTTTGTTTGAAATGAATTGTTATCATCATGATCATTTCTTCTTAATATTTTCAGTTTTTAATATTATTAACAATATTGATGTTGATGAAACGAGGCAGATGGTAGAACAATACAAGAGAGATAATAAAGATCAGATCAGTAAAGGACGAAATAAAAAGGTTAGTACATATATGCTATGAGTAGTTTAATGAACACATCTATTTATTCAGATGAATTTTATAGAGATTACAGATTTAAGATATTTTTGAAGTCCACATAAATAAGAACACATAAGGACATATTTGAAAACATTCATGAGCAATGCTACATGTAACGAGTAAAAACCTATAAATAAAAATATACTTTTGTTAAATGTGAAGCAGTAAAGCCAGCAGTTTGGTTAATGAACTCAGACTTTTTGTCACTGGTGAATTTTATTGGTTCTTTATTTCTAGTTTTCTTTTTCTACTAAAACACATTATTCCATGAATACCCTTTTAAGCTGAAGGGACATGTTTGAGATTTGGTGAATAAGATACACTAAAGTCTTAAAACAAAAGCTGTCTATTTATATTTCTTACTTTTGTTGTGAATTGAGCATAAAAAATAATTAATTGAGCATTTCATAGAGTTGATTTACATATATGTTTAGTTTAAAAATTTGTAAACCTTTTTCTTTTTCCAGAGTAAAGATGAAGAATATTTAGAAAGCTTAATAGAACAAGAACAAGATGAAAATGTCAGGAAGAGGAAGCTGATTATTGAAGAGGAACAGCGACAGAAAGACACAAAAAAGAGGCACAAGGAGGCACTTCTAGATGAATTAGTAAGAAACAAAAATACAGTCAAACCTCAATGTCTCAAACTTGATGGGGTCAAGAAAAAACTTGAGATGCATGTAACTGAGAGTTTTAGATATCAAAGATAAAATACTCTAAAAATAAGTCGTTAAGACTTCTAGATCACTTCAACATATCCATGGTATCTGAGATATTGGTGTTCGAAATACTGTAGGTGTATAAATCTGGATGCATTTTGTTCTAACTTTATGGCCTGGATAACATGTATTTTAACATTGATTTTAGATGTTCTCAGACAGATCAGCTATGGATATACTTTCTGAACACAAAACAGATATAGACAAAGAGAATGAACTCAGTGCTCCTGTGATGCCCACAACAAAATTCTCCACTGGAATCAAACTGGTAAAGAGTTTAATAAAAAAATTTCTCCACTGAATGAAAGTAAGGTCTTTCACTTTCCCATCTTCTGATTTGTTGTGGTGCTGCCATCTTTGCTATTTCTATAGAAATTCTTCATGATTAAGAATTTTACAACAGTGATTCAGTTACTCAGTGCTTTAGCTCAAACTGCAATGACCTCTAATTCTTGTTCGAGTCTTCACCACAAGATATTAAAATGATGGGAGGTTGAAAGATATTTTAAAATTAATTTTACTAAAGTTAACCTTGTAGCAAATAGAAAACAATTAAACAATCAATACATGTGCTATATTTTGTTTTCTTTTTGAAGGTAACTTCTAACTGTATTTGAAAGTTTTGTTTTCTTATAAGATACCTTACATTCAATTGTATATTGAAACAAAAATACAAAGATGTAATGTAAATGAAGATAAACCCTGACTTTAATATTAATACCTTTTGATGTTAGGGAGCACAGGGTCCCTTTATGTCAGTACCCCTGGAGACAATAGAGCTGTATAGGTACAGTCCAGTCTATTTTGATGTGTTAGGACCAGAACCACCCGATGAGGAGGCATTAGAGACAATCGGGTAAGTAATTATGTTATTTAAAATCTCAAAAATCACATATTAAATAGCTTTCTATAAATTCTGTTGATTTGCAGTTGCCATATTAATATAATACAAGTTCTCATAATTTAGTCATATGGAGATCAAAATATAATGTTCTTGATTTTCAAAAAAAAGAGTGAAATACTCATACATGTAGTTAATGACATTTCATTGTAAGTTGTTTACTTTCCATTTCATTAAGAATTGTACAATACTTTTTCCCATGTACTTCCAGGTACCTTAATCATATAAGGAGTGCTTCAGAGCAGGAGAGTGCAGGGGGCTTTGACTCTAAGCTGGCTTGTATGAGGGCCCTACTGGATGCTGTGAATGGACTGTATTACCTCCCGGTACAAGTCTCATGACGATATTCTTAAGGAGACTTAAATTGTTGATGGGAAGAAAAACACTTTGCAAAATATTGGTAAATGGTTTAGTGCTTCTAAGAACAAGTCTCTCAAACAGTTGGTGAAAAAGTTCTGAAGGAAAGACTATTTTGCTGGATAGTCTTTTAATAACAACTGGATTTTGCAAATGGACACCAAAATCTGACAGAAGAAATGTACATTACTGTCGGTGACGTAAAACTGAAGCATTTCTCATTGTTTGTAGCATTGATGACCTTGCAAGATGTCTTGTTACAGGTACAAATATGCTATTAGGCTTAGTGATATGGAAACGAGTACATCCAATCATTCCAATGTATCTTGTTGATTGTGACATGATTCTGCATTGAATAAATATCACTTTCTATGTCTTCCAGTATTTTTTACTCATTTTCATGAATTTTTGGTGGCATTTAGAATTATTTGTATATATTTGACACAATTTTTTAAAGGCATTTTTCTTACTGTGGCAGGATCTCCAAGTTTGCAAATAAATTTCAGGAATATTTTATTGAAACAACAAATCTTAATTCAAAAGGCACTTTTTAAAATTCTATACTCAGATAATCATAGATTCAGAAGAATATCATTTTTGATCTTTCTGTTAAAACTTTAACCTCGGCCATAACTTGTGAAAAGTTTATGCAAGGGTTTTCAAGTTTCCAAGCATATTTCTTGTAACAGATTTCTTTCGGTACCAGCATTTTGAAATATGAATACCCTAGAGTTTGACATACTTTTTAAATAATTCAGTCTTGACCACACTTCTGCGGAATAAGAGTTCATCACAATGTCCAACTCTTTGGTTGAAACATGAGTCAAAGACCAAAGCGAGTCAATAAAGTTTGAGTTAAAAGCTTTTTAATATCTTAAAGGTAGAGGCAACTTTGAAATTCCAAAATTGAGTCATTACAGGTTGTCCTCATTCTTATCAAAAGGTTTGCTGATTATTTTCCCAGTAAGTAGAAAAGGATTTTTCAGCAACCACTCTACTCATTTCCCTATCTTCCCTTGTTTCAGGGTTGATTGCTTTATGTAATAACAAATTATTGCTTTAACTGTCTTTCAATGTAATATTGTATTTGAAGAAAAAAAATCAAAGAACACTAGTTACTGTTTTATCAGCATTTAATACAGTATTTACTTCACAACAATAACATACATGTATCTAACATATTTGTGGAATGAATGGCATAAAGATAAACATTTATAAAAGCAGCAATGTGACTAGTTCTCAAAAGAAGGTTTAACAAAGATATCCTCAGACAACTCAATATATTTGATCAATGCAATATCTAATGAGATTCTTGGAATGTAAAAAAAAAAAGTTTCCTAAGAATAAACAATACATGTAAACAACCATGTATCTAGAAGAACAAGACAGGCAAATTTCTAACATGGAAATAAAACATGTGATTTACAGTCCTATAGTCTTATGTCCTCATCTGATCTCATTAAAACATATCACAGGAATGATAACCAGGATCACAAACATTTACAAAGAGATATATAATCTACATGTTCTACGTAAATTTCTAGGAATTACAACATGCACCAAAGTTAGGCTTTTTAACACCAATGTTAATGCTGTGCTTCTCTATGGTTCCAACATCTTCCCAAGTCAAAAAGTTTCTGATCCACTCCACTCCACATGTGGAGCGGATCAGAAACACTTGACTTGGGAAGATGTGGTTCCGAGGCATGGAGGATGACCGTTGCCATAATAAACAGGATCCAGACATTTGTCAACTCTTGTCTGAGATGCATCCTCCAGATCAGATGGCCTGGCAAAATAAGCAACACCAGTCTGTGGCAAAGAACAAAACAAGCTCCTGTAAAAGCAGAAATAATGCAGAGAAGGTGGAGGTGGATAGGGCATATTCTACGCAAGCCACATAAGAACATCACAAGGCATTGTAGCCTTATCCTGGAACCCCCAAGGAAAACATAAGAGAGGGAGGCCAAAGAACATCTGGTGGAGAGATTTGGAGGCAGATGTCAAAAGAATGGGGAAGAACTGGAAGGAGGTAGAAAATATTACTCAGGATAGAGGGGCCTGGGGGATCTTGTTAGCGGCCTACACCCCAAAAGGGGTAGCAGACATAAGTTAGTAAGTATATAATCTACAACTAATATAACACTCTAACATAACTAAGGGTCATATCAACAGTGACCATACTTTTCACAAGCAGTGATGGGGTCTGTAATTTTGTTTATTTTTTTTTTACAGGATACCAGAAGAAGATGTTGATAGTGTTAAAAATGACTTTTCTCAATTTCTTCAGCAAGAATTACACAAGCATGGTATTACCAAAGTTTTTCATGAGTTTTATCAAAAGATCCCCCCCCCCAATCTTAACATCACTTACATCAGTCTGTTGTATAGGTGAAGCCAACGGGAACACCGTGCTTAAATTCTGCACAGCACAAATTTATTCTAAAATTGAAAATTCATGTGACATGAATGATTGACATTCAGCCAGGTTTCTATTTTTTTTTCAACAATTTACTTAAGTTGTCAACAACATTGCTTAATTGCATTTAAAATTACAGGTATGTTACAAATCATTTTCTCCATGGGACCCCCATGAACCATCTATTTTTCCAAACATAATATTTTAAAAAAAATTCCCAAAACATTTATTTAACCATTGAAAAGCTGCCCCCTCCATTTTGTAGCATATCAAAATCATAGTATAGTCTCATCTATTCCTTTTCACTTAATAATAGTAAAACTAATAGAGACTCAAAGTTTGCATGTTAAGGAAAAGCATATCTTCTTTGTTGAACAGGAACTGCACATATCTGTATTAATAAATATAATTTGAAAAAAACTACATTCTATACCATATATATAACAAACTTCAAATCTAACTGTCGTATATCCACATCAACATGTTAAAATTTTCTATTTCAAACTAAACCAATACACATGGAAATACCCTGTGTATACCATATGCAAATTTAAATAGAAACACAACCTACAACATGTTATTACACTCAAACACAAATACATTTTCAATAAATAACAAATGTACATGGCAATGTATCAGATTGCACTATTTTAAAAAATTATAAATACACTAAAAAAATTGTACAAAATTGTAAAGAATGAAAAATAAATAAATACAGACTAAATCTATTAGTAACAAGCATGTATTTGTATAATAAACCTTTGCAATATTTTCAAAAACAGATATATAGTTACAACTTTTATTAAGAGGAATTATTTGAGGAAAATTTTTTTTAACAATAACAGTAAAATTTTGCTGCAACACAGGGACACATATAAATGTAAATCTAATTTTTGTTTCTTACTTTGTACACTGATACAGTATTCCTTGTAAAATTGAAAGATGGACAAGCAAAACACACATGCATATGTATACAATTAAAATGTCACTAAAAAGGAACCAAGATATAAGGAAATTTCTGTTTATATAAGACAAAAGCGTCTATTATACCACTTTCCTGTATAGATACCGGTACATGTGCATTAAGAACTATAGAGTCACGTCCACCTGACTACCTTAAAAGCAAATTTTACTGTTTTATACATGTACTTTAAATCACTTTTTATTTGTGAGAACTTGAATTTTCGCATAATTAGGTGAAACAGTTTGCTCAAGATTATACAGAGCAAAAACTCTAGTGAAAATTTTGTCTCACTACTAAAGAGTTAATGAATGTCTAGTGAAAATAAGGTGTCGCGATAATTTACTGATGTACAGTACAAAGATGACTACATTCCAATACACTGTAAAGCACTATGATATGGAACAATTATCTGAACTTCAAAAAGAAATGCACTGATTTTGCAAATATTGGTGATGTATCAAATAATGAATGAATAAATATACAAAGAAAGCAGAAAAATACATCAAGGTTAATGTAAAAATTCAAATAGCTCTTTAACCTTTGTTCCTGAAGCCACTTTGTGTCAGTACGTTTTAGCAGTCCCTAAAACTGGCTCTTAAACTACAATACACAGGGATCTTTACTTTTTCTTGACATCCTGAGACAAAAAAGACCTTGCTTTTAATGTACTAATTCAATGGCCAAAATAATGATATCTCAATATTGAGGCATTTTCATTGTTCATGGGGACCATAATAAATGATAACGATGTATTGGTTTTTCATCTTCTGTATACATGAGTTACCCTATAAAAAATCTGATTGGCCAAGAATACTGACCTCCAAATATGAAAATTATTCTACAATACACAATATTTTGGATTCAAAAGTTCTGATGGAAACATTTCAAATTAAAATTTCATTTATTAATTATACAAAAATCTTTGAAAGTGTCATAAATTTTCATATATGTTCGTATGTTTTCAATCATTTGCTGTAAGTGAAGCACAAACTGTTACTAATTTACATGATATCAAACTCTGAGCTTATAATCTGTCACATACTCCTAAAATTTAACACATATATGTGTATAAATATCAAAACTATTAAGTTTAATTAGTGACAACCATGTACACTGTACTTTCAATTAAATATAAGAGCAGAACTGTTCCATATCACACAATAGTATCAACAGTTTTTCCCCATAAAGGTAAAGCATTTTTACGTATTTTCAAAAAATGTTTAAAAACATATTTTCACATAAAAAATGAAAAAAAAAACACATCTAGTATAAACATTTTAGTGACACAGTAGTAAGCACTGATCAGAAGTGAAGATCCAGCAAACTGTAACCACATTCAATCTATAATCAAAGCAGAAACCCTGACATTTCTAAAAGCTAATTTCCTGAAGGTAACTAATAATAACTACTATCATCTAATCCTGTTATTTCCCTGTGGCCGCTGCCACATCATCCTGGGTAGGCTGATACATTTGACTCCCCCCACTCTGTTTGTGGGGGTCCTCGTCCCGCTGTTTGGTATATTTGGGTCCGCTGCTCTCCCCACCACTCCTCAGCCGTGCCCTTTCCTCTTCCTCTTCATCACTCTTCAGGTAGAAGTGGAAGCCTAGATTGAGCTCTGGGATGTCGTACAGAACAGCCAACAGTAGCATCATCATCAGCAAGCCTATGAACAGGTACACTACAAAAAGAGAAATTGTTTTTAATTTTTAAAAAAATTTTCACACAGGGGCATGCTCACGAATTCCCCTGTGGTTTAGAAAAAAAATAAGTGGTCAATTAAGCCAAAAGTCTTGTTTGAGGATTTTAATTACATGTGTGGACTGAAAAAAAAAAATTATGGATTTTACATCATATAATAATAATATGAATCAGTATTACTTGTGGTAGCTTGTTTCTATACCGTAAATCTGGAAATTTTTGCTGTAGATAAATTTTTAGCAAATTTGCGAGTTCATTGCATTCGCAAAAATATTTTTCTTAAAAATAAATTACCAATAAGAAAATGTAAACAAAGCAGTGGTAATTCGCAAAATTTTGAAACGTAAAAATTAATCAACACCATTTTGACCCGAATTCGCAAAATAAAATCGACGCAAAATTTCCAGATTTACGGTACAGTATTATTTGTAGTGACTACCTTGTATACAGTATTACATGTGGTGCCTAGCTTGTAGTCATTATTACCTGTGGTGCCTAGCTTGTAGTCATTATTACCTGTGGTGCCTAGCTTGTAGTCATTATTACCTGTGGTTTCTAGCTTGTAGTCATTATTACCTGTGGTGCCTAGCTTGTAGTCATTATTACCTGTGGTGCCTAGCTTGTAGTCATTATTACCTGTGGTGCCTAGCTTGTAGTCATTTTTACCTGTGGTGCCTACCTTGTAGTCAGTATCACCTGTGGTGCCTAGCTTGTAGTCATTATTACCTGTGGTTTCTAGCTTGTAGTCATTATTACCTGTGGTGCCTAGCTTGTAGTCATTATTACCTGTGGTGCCTAGCTTGTAGTCATTATTACCTGTGGTGCCTAGCTTGTAGTCAATATTACCTGTGGTGCCTAGCTTGTAGTCAGTATTACCTGTGGTGCCTAGCTTGTAGTCATTATTACCTGTGGTGCCTAGCTTGTAGTCATTATTACCTGTGGTGCCTAGCTTGTAGTCATTTTTACCTGTGGTGCCTACCTTGTAGTCAGTATCACCTGTGGTGCCTAGCTTGTAGTCATTATTACCTGTGGTGCCTAGCTTGTAGTCATTATTACCTGTGGTGCCTAGCTTGTAGACAGCTCTGGCCTTTTGGTCAGGATTGTCTCCTGGGATGTAGTCACCAAGCCCAATGGTTGTCATGGAGATGAAGCAATAGTAAAAGGAGTCCAAAAAGTCCCACTTTGGCTCAAGAGCAGAGTAAATGCTGGCAGGTATGATGAAGATGAAAACAATTGCAGCTATTAGCAGAATGAAGAAATGCAACAGCTGGATGTGAAACACTCGGTATAGATGTCCAAGCTTGCGGAACAGGAAATAAAGGAACATTTTGGTGGGTATCATCAGGCGCTCTACGATGGCAGTGAAGAAAATCAAGGTGAGTGGAATGCCGATCATGGCATAAAGGAGACAGAAACCCTTCCCTGCCTCAGACAGGGGTGCCACTCTGCCATAGCCTACGAAGGTGGAATAAAATTGAAATTCTGGTTAATGTGATATTATGCAAAAACATTTCGCAATTTTCAGAATTTATAGTAAAATATAGTAAGGTTGATTATTTTGAATCTATGAGAAAGTCAAGAAATGCTTATAAAAAAAAATAAAAAGAGAGAAGAATAATCATGAAAATAGAAGAGGACAGTTTGGTGTGTCCACTTTTTGATGCAAGTTTCTTGACCATATGCCAAATTTGAATCATTGTAAAACTTTGCAACATCTCTCATATTCAAATGTGGATAACAAAGGAAATAATTTTTCTATTTATTTTCAACTATTGTATTCAAATACCTATTGTTGTTAGGAGTGTTCCAGCAAAGAAGATGGACTGGCCAAATGTCCAGTTGGGCTCAGACATGGTGACATTCTTGGTGGCCGACACTCCTCGGTTTGTAGCAATAACAATGCTGGCAATGAACTTTTCCAACTTGTCATCTGAAATATTGATCATTGTTTCTTTAGTTTGTATGGAAAATAAATCTTGTCAGAAAAATCTGCTCTAGGTCCATGCCAGACCAACATTAGATGGAGAGATGTATGAAAGCCATACTGGCCTTAATTAGAATGTAGCATACCGGTAATTCTGACAAATATGCCATGCATTTTATTCTCTCAAGTTGAAAAAAATCCATTTTAACTTATTCATTTTACAATATACATAAGTTGTTACATTCCCTAACATTTAGGGTTGCTGATTGGGTCAAAAAATGGGTATGTTCTTTAATATATATGCTGTAAAATATTGAGATCCCTTCCCATGTTTTCCCACAGATACTAAAGCCAAGGGTACTGAAAGAGTGAAATAAATTTAGGTGGTTTAGTTGGGCTTATTCTGAATGTTCTCTCAATGGTTACAAAAAGTGAGAGAGTGAAATGTTTTATACACATTTGTTAAGACACCCAGGAAGATGAAATCTATGCATATTTAAAAAATAATGTCTTGTATGAATGCATGTCTATTAAAGTGAAAACAGACAGGAAGCAGACAAAATATCCCCATTTAATTTCACCTTAGTTCTACAAATTTCCAGTAAATGTGAATATGAGATAATTATGGATCAAGTTGTACATTGATGCAAAGTGAATATGATGACTGTCAAATGCAAATCTACACAACAGATTATCACCAGCCAAATGGATGAATGAACATCAGTGAATAGCAGTGAATTAAATGCAAAAATGAAAAGTTTAAATGAACTACTCAACTGTTCAACATGACATATTGATCACAATACTGTGTTTCACTTAATATAATTTTCAATAATCTGATATTTTATGCATCTTGGTTGTAGATCTACCTGACACACATGAATGATCAGACAAAAATTTCCATTTCCTGCTCAAGAAATCCTTTCGATCATCCCTCTCGATACCAGATTCCAGCCTCATGAACACGAGTGCACCAAAACATAAATAAGCCAAAAATCCTAGGCAAAGCCATGTTAATCGCGAAGTGGAGCTTCGGCAACAGGCCCTTACATTTTCCATCTTAATCCGAGATTTGCTGAACTCAGTGTCTCACTGGAACAAGTTTTATTCTAATCATTGTAATCTGCTCTACGTTTGATGAGTCTCTAGACCCAGAGAAAGAAATTTATCACAACAAAATCAATTTCAGCATAGTGTCATACACTATTTATAATCCCAGGATGAATGCTTCGCTAGAGAGTCTGCATTTTTATTTTGTTTTAATTGACATTTCTCTTCAATTACATTGTCTTCAAGCTTTATTTATCCAATATAATATTCCAAGGGAATGTCATAATTTGATCCATACTATTCATTTTTTTCAAGGGAAATAGCATTAATCTTCAGCATTGCCTAGTTTTCTTCATAGATTCTGAATAATTAAATATACCAGTTTTTAATTATACTGTAAGAAAAAAAATTTTCTTTTGACAAAAAACAATACCGGTATTGAAAATTCTTTTTAAAAAACATTGATTATCAATTTACAGCTTTATATATACTAATTTAGTGCAAAACTTTGTTAAAAATCATATCATTTATTATCATGAAAATTTATGAAGAATCCCAGATACAGGTGAACAAGAGAGGTACTATGTTGTTGGATGATTATGTATCATTCTATACCATTGTAGCATTTACACAATATGTTAAGGATGATTATTTTGCATCTAATTGCAAACAATTTTGCCCCGTTTTATACTGCAACAATAATTAAAAAATTATACTGTAATATTTCATTTCACCCCGTTTTAAATTCCAGCTAAATAAGAAATAGATAAATTATATGAAATGTTACATATATACAAGTTCTAACAAAAAAGTTGTTTATACATCTCTGCAGAGGCTTAAATTATCACTAAACTACCTCTCCATTAATGTGCCCCATTTGCACAATAGAGGCAGAGTTTTAAGTGAGAGCATAAAAGCGAAAAAAATTTTAATTGTGTGATCTTAGACAAAAGGAAATGGTCATTTAATATGACATAAATGGTGGAAAAAAATATACTTTGAGCATATTGAGATAAAAGATTTTTTTTTTCTTTCCTGACTATTACAGTAAAATAGCTAGCATATCAAAAGTGCATTTCATGTTTTTCTACGAAAGCCTTCCACATGTTCACTTCCGATTGAATGTTTTCTCAATACAACCACACTGTAGACGTTTGTGTGCTGATCAGGTTAAGAGGGTATAACCATTCAGGAAAGATAATTGTTAAACAAATGCGTCTTTATATTTTCAAATAGAAGATAATGAAAAATTGTTATTTGGTACTAAGTATACTGTTGTTCTTTTAACAAGTCAGGGTTAATGTCAATATTGCTTTTACAACAAGTTCAAAATAAAGAAGAATAAAAAAAAAATATTACTGTTCTGTTGGAGGATGTTTTAGAACAAAATTTGGCTGAGGCCAGAATAAGTTAAAATAAAGTTTTATGTTCAAATTCACAAATATGCAGTACTTAGTATGCTTAAAAGAAAAAAAAAAATAGTGTGCCTTTGTTGTGGTCCCTCCTTTTTTTATGCCCACCATGAATATGGCCGGGGCATATACTGTTTGTCTGTCTTCCGTCCTTCTATCTGTCCTTCCTTCACACTTTGCATTTAGCTCATTTCAAAGCTAAGTTTCAAAGAAACTACTCAAGATATTTTTGTCAAACTTCATATGCTGATAGATATTAATGAGAGCTGTTCAACAACATCAACATTTTGTGACCTTGTTTTTTTAATTTGTCCTTGATCTCACTTTTCTTAAGTTAGTGTTTAGCTCAGTTTTAGATATACCATTTAAGATAGTGTTCACGATCAAACTTCATATTACCTTTACCTTTCCTTTGACCTTGACCTCACTTTTCTTGAGTTAGTTTTTAGCTCAGTTATAAAGATACCATTCAAGATAGTGTGATCAAACTTCATATGTTGATACATACTGATGTAAGCTATTCAAATACATCAACATTTTTTTACCTTGTCCTTTCCTTTAACATTGACCTCTCTTTTCTAAAACAAGTGTGTTTTTTCTTCAGTTTTAAAGATACCATTCAAGATTGTGTAATCAAACTTCAAATTTTGATACATACTGATATCAGCTATTTAATTGCTTGGACAAGGAATCGAACCAAATACCCATGCATGATGCCATCACTAGTCAGGTACTCTACCAACTGAGCTACCAGGTCCAGGCCAATATCCATGGCCCAAACCATTACATCTCAAATATCTTAATTTACATCAAAATCCAGATGATTATATCAATTTTTTTTACTATTCTACAGTTTATAGAGAGTGACATACCTGTCAGGCATGTGTTGTCAGTCAAAAAATCAGACCTTAACTTCTTCACATTTTTAATCAATTCCCGTTCTTTTGGTCCTTCAATAGCGGAAAATACGGACGCACCAATCACAAGGTACAGTAAATAAAACACCGCCAAGGCAAGCAACCTTATTGTGCTTTTACGCAATTTTAACATTGTCTGTTACACTCCGAATGAACTGATGAAGAATCGGCAGACAGAAGCCGGATGCTGAGGCCAATGGACAAGCCTGGTTTTTACAGAAATATCTCATGAACACACTTTTCTGAATTGATAACACATTGCGCAATGAAATTCATACAGAACTGTTAGCTTATGTCATGAGAGAATTTGCAAAACCAGTAAATATTGCAAGAAATGTGTTGTTTCTCATTAAATATGATGGCGACCTAACAACATCTACAGGATAACATACCGACTAAAATATAGTTTAAAAAGATTTCGTTATGTTTTCCCAAATGCATTTGTTAAATGCAATATTTCTATTCTTTCTTTCATGATTATTAAACAAATGTTATAAGTTATGAAAAAGAAAACATTTTATGCAAAGCGCGCATGAATATATATTTTTTTATTTTGGCGGAAATTTTGATAAGTTGTACTGCTACTCGACCAACGTAAACATTCCTGATTCGTGTATTGGCCCCTAACGACATAGGGAAGGCGCTTAGACTTGACCACGGTATTCTGATGTTTTATTTAGATTGTTAACTTTATTGATTAGTAGATTACAATGACTGTTTATATGAAGAAATTTGTTATAAACATCATCATTACTATGTTGGCATATTTCTGCCCCCTCCCTCCCACTGCAAGATAAATTATGTTAACATGCCAACATAAATATGTTGCATGGCTGCATAATTATAAATTGCATGTTAACATAATTTACATTGCATGTAGGGGGCAGAAATCTGCCACCACAGAAATAAAATATTTTTTCCTTTAATTGTACTAAACACAGATATTTAATTTGATGGTTCTTTCTGTTTAAGAAAAATGAGGATAAAGTGTGAGATGGACATTATTAATCGTCTCCTGCCATCCCTGAATGTCAAGAAAGGAGGCAAGGGTTGTCACACACAGCTGTCTATAGGAAGGAAACCACAGACTGACTCTAAAGAAGGCATTCTCTTCCTGATGGCCTGCACTGCCAAGGATAGGAACGGTGCAAAATATCAAGTACGTGTTCTGATCTATCACGATTTATTAGAATATTTTTGCCTACTTTTGATTGTAGTTTTTGCCTCTTGCTTTCTCTGAAAGTGGGGGATATTGAGTCTGTACATACGTTTGTCGATCTGCATGTTACACGTTCTGAATTGACAGGTTCTTTTGTAATATTTCACTTTTATTCAGAAAACAAAGATAATAACAATTTTAGAATTCACTGTCTATCAATGAATTAATTCTTACAGGCATAAATTACAAAGATTAATTTTTTTTAGATTAAAGACAACATAGAGCAAATATTTGCCAAATTTATAAATGAAGGGAAAGCAACTATTCGCTTGAAAGACCCACAGCAAGATTTGTGCTTGTGCAAGGTGGGTACTGTGACTACTTCCATGCACTGCCTGCTTTTCTGTTTTATTACTCAGGCGTAACAAAAAATTATGTTTGTTTACGGTTACCCGACCGACCCTAATTTTCATCGCCGACCCAAACTTTTTTTTTCGTCGTAAAAATCCGGAAGTTACTGGCCGGTCAGTTTAACTTTTACATTCATCTTTGAAATCGAAATTGAAAGTACAAAAACAAAACCAGGGAGTTCAATTTCTACACCAACAAGCTCGCTGCAATTTGCTTACCATTGCTTGGCAGTTGCAGGGGTGTGCAACTAGCATCGCCTGATGGCCGGTGCTACCGTTTTTGGGGTAGTAAACATTAAAATTATGCATTTTATACATGAGAAATACAAACGGTATTTTCACTCATTGTTTTGCTATTTAATTTCGAACTAATGAAAATTTTCTAAGCAGCATGTTCCAACTGATCTTAAATTACTTTAACCTTATCTTATTATGAAGTACTTCCTGACTTATTTACTTCAAAAAACGATCTTTTTTTTTAATCCGAATTTCCTCCATTTCTTTGTTAATGGTAAATACATGCAGATATCTCTTTCTATTATTTACGGTCCCCCAATCAACTAATAGCTAAGTGTTATGTGGTTAAACTTTAATATATATCAATTGTTTTTAATGGTTTGAAATGAAAATAAAATGATTTTGCTTCATTTTAGATATAACATGTATAAGCTACACAATTACAATATGTTCAGAAAAGAAAAGATAATATAATTTCTTAAAATTTTTAAACTTCAACTTTAAAAGGGATGGCTTAGGACCCTGACTTTCTCAACAGTGAACTTTTTACAATATTTGTTTTTACAATTTTTTGCCCCTATATTTGGACTGCTCACTTTTAACTTTGGGCTAGTAACTTTAACGCTGTTACAAGCCTGTGGGCTAGTACTTGATTTATTTTTAATTGCACACCCCTGAGTTGTAAAGCAGTTGGCAAGAAAACACCCATATTACAAGCCAAACAAAGGTAAGGCACCACACAATGGTAAAACTGTTTTGTATTATTCAACCAATTTATGTGAATTTGTGTATTAAAAAAATTCAATAAAATAAAAAAAAAATTCCTACCTACCGACCCTATTTTATTTCAGCATGTAACAGTAAACAAAGATATTTTTTTGTTTGGCCTCATGTAAAAAGCTATTGAATACATTACAGGACTTAGGTATTTGATCATAAAAGTATGTTTTTAGCTCTACTGGTCAGAGACCAGAAGAGCTTATGCGATAGTAATGCGTCCGTCGTCTGTCTGTCTGTCTGTCTGTCTGTCCGTCTGTCTGTCTGTAAACAATTTTTCAAAATGCTACTCCTCCTACAGTTTTAGTCTGATTTCAATATAACTTGGCACACAAGTAGACTACACTAAGATACATAATTCTGTGTATCGGTTTTTGATTTCGATGAACGGTGTTGCCGTGGTTACTAAAAATAGAAATTTCTGTGAAATTCTTTCAAAATGCTACTCCTCCTATAGTTTTAGTCTGATTTCAATTTAACTTGGCACACAAGTGGACTACACTAAGATACACAATTCCGTGTATCGGTTTTTAATTTCGATGAACGGTGTTGCCGTGGTTACTAAAAATAGAAATTTCTGTGAAATTCTTTCAAAATGCTACTCCTTCTACAGTTTTAGTCTGATTTCAATATAACTTGGCACACAAGTAGACTACAATAAGATACATAATTCTGTGTATCAGTTTTTGATTTCGATGAACGGTGTTGCCGTGGTTACTAAAAATAGAAATTTCTGTGAAATTCTTTCAAAATGCTACTCCTTCTACAGTTTTAGTCTGATTTCAATATAACTTGGCACACAAGTAGACTACAATAAGATACATAATTCTATGTATCAGTTTTTGATTTCGATGAACGGTGTTGCCGTGGTTACTAATAATAGAAATTTCTGTGAAATTCTTTCAAAATGCTACTCCTCCTACAGTTTTAGTCTGATTTCAGTATAACTTGGCACACAAGTAGACTACACTAAGATACACAATTCTGTATATCAGTTTTTGATTTCGATAAACGGTGTTGCCGTGGTTACTAAAAATAGAAATTTCTGTGAAATTCTTTCAAAATGCTACTCCTCCTACAGATTTGGTCCAATTTCATTATAACTTGGCACACAAGTAGACTACACTAAAATACATAATTTTATGCATCGGTTTTTGATTTCAATGAACGGTGTTGCCTTGGTTACTAAAAATAGAAATTTCTGTGAAATTCTTTCAAAATGCTACTCCTCCTGCAGTTTTGGTCTGATTTCAGTATAACTTGGCACACAAGTAGACTATACTAAGATACATAATTCTGTGCATTGGTTTTTATTTTGATGAGTAGCAAGGATCATTTTTCTATTTATTGCTGATTTAAAGTCTCAAGTCCCAACTGCTATTTTTCTCTTCCTTTGTTTTAAGTATAAACCAGTAGAGCTACAGTCTCGACAGAGACTTCTGGTTATATACTTTTAGCAGAATTCATACATAAAAATATCGATAGTGCTTAAAATGCAAACAGAGATTAATAAAAAAAATATGTAAAAACCTTTTTGAAAATTCATTTGACTAATACATGTATGTGTTTATTTTAATAATTGCAGTTAAGAAAATCTTGTCTTGTTTCTCTTGTTTAGGCTGATCCACTTCAGCTGAAAAATTTCCTGACATTGCTACGGAAGGCATCCCTAGGTCAGGATATAGAAAGAATCAGCCTGTCCACACTGGCACCTGCAAGTACCAAAAGTGTCGACAAACCGAAAACAAAAATGTCAGTAACGTCCAAAAAAAACTATCCTCTCACAAAAAGCTTCCCTTCACTGCTGGAGCATCTTCACATTTCTCAGTGTCGAATGAAGAAAATAGACTCCAGAATATTTCAACTAAAAAAGCTTATTCATTTAGACTTACAAGAAAATGTCATTGAAGAGTTACCCCCGACATTTTCTCAACTCACGAGTTTACGAGAGCTCATACTTTCCACAAACAAGATACAGACACTTCCTTCCTCTCTCTGCCTACTGCCAAATTGGAAGGAGACTCTCTCTTTATTAGACCTCAGTAACAACCTTATAAATCTTCTGCCCATTCAGCTCTGTGAACTGGATAATCTTGTGACACTAAAGGTAGACCACAACAAGCTGGAGACCTTTCCACCCACCATTGGAAGACTCAAAAAACTGAAATACCTTTCAGCCAGCCATAACAAGATAGAAACACTTCCGTGTAGTTTTATGCAGTTACGTCTTGAACATCTCGATCTGTTTAGTAACCCATTTGCTGATGTTACAAAGAGTGATCTTGAAGAGACAGAATGGCAGGTGCCCTCTCTAGTGGAATGTTGTGGGAGGATGATAAGAAAAAATAGGTAAAAACTCTCATCAGTTCTGGTTGTTGTGGGAGGATGATTAAAAAAAATAGGTATAAACTCTCATCAGTTCTGGTTGTTGTGGGAGGATGATTAAAAAAAATAGGTATAAACTCTCATCAGTTCTGGTTGTTGTGGGAAGATGATCAGAAAAATAGGTATAAACTCTCATCATTTCTGGTTGTTGTAGGAGAATGATTAAAAAAAAAAATAGGTATAAACTCTCATCAGTTCTGGTTGTTGTGGGAGGATGATTAAAAAAAATAGGTATAAACTCTCATCAGTTCTGGTTGAGAGTATATTTTTAGCTCTACTGGTCAGAGACCAGAAGAGCTTATGCGATAGTAATGCGTCCGTCGTCCGTCCGTCCGTCTGTCTGTCTGTCTGTCTGTCTGTCCGTCTGTCTGTCTGTAAACAATTTTTCAAAATGCTACTCCTCCTACAGTTTTGGTCTGATTTCAATATAACTTGGCACACAAGTAGACTACACTAAGATACATAATTCTGTGTATCGGTTTTTGATTTCGATGAACGGTGTTGCCGTGGTTACTAAAAATAGAAATTTCTGTGAAATTCTTTCAAAATGCTACTCCTCCTACAGTTTTGGTCTGATTTCAATATAACTTGGCACAAAAGTAGACTACACTAAGATACATAATTCTGTGTATCGGTTTTTGATTTCGATGAACGGTGTTGCCGTGGTTACTAAAAATAGAAATTTCTGTGAAATTCTTTCAAAATGCTACTCCTCCTACAGTTTTGGTCTGATTTCAATATAACTTGGCACACAAGTAGACAACACTAAGATACACAATTCTGTGTATCGGTTTTTGATTTCGTTGAACGGTGTTGCCGTGGTTACTAAAAATAGAAATTTCTGTGAAATTCTTTCAAAATGCTACTTCTCCTACAATTTTGGTCTGATTTCAATATAACTTGGCACACAAGTAGACTACACTAAGATACATAATTCTGTGTATCGGTTTTTGATTTCGATGAACGGTGTTGCCGTGGTTACTAAAAATAGAAATTTCTGTGAAATTCTTTCAAAATGCTACTCCTCCTACAGTTTTAGTCTGATTTCAATATAACTTGGCACACAAGCAGACTACACTAAGATACACAATTCTATATATCGGTTTTTGATTTCGTTGAACGGTGTTGCCGTGGTTACTAAAAATAGAAATTTCTGTGAAATTCTTTCAAAATGCTACTCCTCCTACAGTTTTGGTCTGATTTCAATATAACTTGGCACACAAGTAGACTACACTAAGATACACAATTCTGTGTATCGGTTTTTGATTTCGATGAACGGTGTTGCCGTGGTTACTAAAAATAGAAATTTCTGTGAAATTCTTTCAAAATGCTACTCCAAATACTATTTTAGTTTGATTATAATATAAATGTGGCATGCAAGTAGACTGCACTAAGAACATAAAGAGACTTAATCAAGGATCATTATTCTATTTATTGCTGTTGAAAAGTTTCAATTTCCAACTGCTTAAGTACTTTTCTCTTCCTTTGCTATAAGTACAAACCAGTAGAGCTTCAGTCTCGACAGAGACTTCTGGTTTTGCCATTGATTTACTAATTATAAAACAGAGTAATTTTTAGCTCTACTGGTCAGAGACCAGAAGAGCTTATGCGATAGTAATGCGTCCGGCGTCCGTCCGTCTGTCCGTCTGTCTGTAAACAATTTTTCAAAATGCTACTCCTCCTACAGTTTTGGTCTAATTTCAATATAACTTGGCACACAAGTAGACTACACTAAGATACATAATTCTGTGTATCGGTTTTTGATTTCGATGAACGGTGTTGCCGTGGTTACTAAAAATAGAAATTTCTGTGAAATTCTTTCAAAATGCTACTCCTCCTACAGTTTTAGTCTGATTTCAATATAACTTGGCACACAAGTAGAATACACTAAGATACATAATTCTGTTTATCGGTTTTTATTTTCGATGAACGGTGTTTACGTGGTTACTAAAAATAGAAATTTCTGTGAAATTCTTTCAAAATGCTACTCCTCCTACAGTTTTGGTCTGATTTCAATATAACTTGGCACACAAGTAGAATACACTAAGATACATAATTCTGTGTATCGGTTTTTGATTTCGATGAAGGGTGTTGCCGTGGTTACTAAAAATAGAAATTTCTGTGAAATTCTTTTAAAATGCTACTTTTCCTACAGTTTTGGTCTGATTTCAGTATAACTTGGCACACAAGTAGAATACACTAAGATAATAATTCTGTATATCGGTTTTTGATTTTGATGAACGGTGTTGCCGTGGTTACTAAAAATAGAAATTTCTGTGAAATTCTTTCAAAATGCTACTCCTCCTACAGTTTTGGTCTGATTTCAGTATAACTTGGCACACAAGTAGACTACACTAAGATACATAAATCTGTGTATCGGTTTTTGATTTCGATGAACGGTGTTGCCGTTGTTACTAAAAATAGAAATATCTGTAAAATTGTTTCAAAATGCTACTCCTCCTACAGTTTTGGTCTGATTTCAATATATCTTGGCACACAAGTAGACTACACTAAGAACATAAAGAGACTTTATCAACAATCATTATTCTATTTATTGCTGTTGTAAAGTTTCAAATCCCAGCTGCTTAAGGACTTTTCTCTTCCTTTGCTACAAGTTCAAACCAGTAGAGCTTCAGTCTCGACAGAGACTTCTGGTTAATTGATCAATTTGCTCATTAAGCTGAATTTTTAATACGGTAATTTCTCCCTTGCAGTTACACTTTCAATTCCCATTACATGTAACAATTTTTCAGAAGTATAAACTCAGAATTCTGCATGATAGAGTTGAATGAATTTTATGGCAGAATTGAATATAATATAAAGTGATTAATGCTAAATAAATTTGATTTATGAAAAAAATATAAAAATACTAACTTAAGTTTCAAGGGAAAAAAATTCAAGAAAATTTAAGAACACTTTAATGTATGAATAATGTATTGAATTTACAGTGAATATAAATGGGTATTTTTTATTTATTTTTAAAAAGCCTGGAAAGATTGAATTTTCCCTTTCCCTCTTTTAGAGATCGAGAAGTGGTAATTTTTTCAGCTCTGCAACTCATTCCTTGCTTTCAAGATTGTGAATAGAAAATAAAACCACTTTTGCCTTGTAATATAATACTTATGCCTAAAGATTCAATCTTTATCAAAAATTCTAAATATATGTGTACAATTCAATTTTATATGTCATAATTTGAAGCACTGGTACATTTTTTTATGTTTATGAGGATAGGTTGGTTAGTTAGAGGTCAGAAATGAATAAATATGAAGAAAGATTTACTTACCTTTGTGCCTTTTTTTCTTCTCCAAGAAAAATGGAAAAAATTTTGATAAATGTAAACTTTAAGATAATCTTTCTTTTCTTTGTGATGATTAGCATGAAAAACTTGTGGATATATCAAGGAATCAGATAAGTGTAGAATGATTAGAATAATATCAGAAGCATTACAGACTTTGATTAGAAATGGTTGATTTCCCAGGGGATTCATAAAACAATAAATATCAAATGTACACATTATTGATTGTTGGTACTTATGTACCTGATTTTTTAGTCTGTATTATCTTGTTTCTAATCTAAGAAATAAAAGACAATTTTTTTAATTGATGCAAATGTTTGAAGTAAGAATATTTACCGGTAGATTCAATTTGCCAGTATTAATCGCAAAGGCTGTTGATTCAAATTTATTGACCTTGCCCTTTGCCATAAACAAGAAATACTAGTATTTAATAGATATTAATTTTTCAGGTTGCCATACAGTGATGAAGACCTGCATACTCATTTGTGTCGCTACCTAGACTCGGCTCGAGTTTGCTGGTGTGGGGGGTTCTGTTTCGAGGGCTGTGTACGAGCAATGACCTCATTCTCATTGAAGACACTTTCACCCACGGTTTCTGCGGTAGACCTTCAGGGAAGAACTGACGTCCCTGTCCTTTTGTTTTTATGTTCACCTCAATGTCAGCGTAAATATAAAATTAATCCTTATGCTTATTGGAGGTGAAAAAACTACTTGAATTTTTGTAATTGTAAATAGCAGATTTGCAAGCAATTTGTTTTGGAGATGTGAATTCAGTTTTATTTCATGTGAATTCATTGAAATTTAAGAGGGAATATGTATTATTATTTATTTTCTATTTTCATAGTATACAGTGTATTATTTTGAGCTGATACCCCTGTAATAATTTTAACATGTTTAAATTGCAAAATACATAATGAGAGAATGTCAATTAAAAAAAAAGAAGATATTTCTGGAATGCAAATATTACACCTGCTGTAAATTTTATTTTTGCCAATAAAATAATTTAAATTTGAATAACTCTTAGTATAACCTTATAATAATTTTGCTTTGGTTTTCAAAAAATTCAATAAATTTAAATCATCAAGAAAGGAAATCTTTATTTAAATTGTTCAAAAAGCTCCATGTTTGGAAAACATATCATTTCAAATGAAGAGAAAAAAGCATAGTAGAACACTAAATGTATTGCAATTTTAACATTTTGGAATTTTACAATAATCAAATTCATATCGTCCCCACACTGTGTAACACCAGGGACCTTTCTTTTCTCCAAAGGGATTTCTGCAGTAGTTTTCTTCCTGCTTGAGAATGGTGTAGTCATGGTCCCGGGGGTACTTATCCCCCCACCTCTGACACTCTATCCCCGTGGCGGTGAAGTTCACTGTACCAAAGTAGTCTGCTCCTCTCTCTGCTGTTAGACACTCTCGTGGTGCAGTCACTGTAAGAAGATAATAAATTTAATATAAATAACTCATTACTGTACTGTAAAAATTGCAATTGTCAACTAAACTTTCTTATGCTTATTACAGCAATGCATATTGTACATCCTATATTATATTGTGATGTTCAAGGGGTGTCTGAAAGGGTTTTTAAAAAAGATAATTCTTTTGGATTAATGGCCGTTTTAGATTCCATTGTTTTTTCTCTGTCTTAAAAATCTTTGGATTTTGCTGGATTTTTCTCATACACTTTGTAGAGATTGCAAATGCAACTTAAGGCAGTGATGTAGCATTGTTTTTGAAAGTGGGGGGAGGGGGGCAGCCAGAGAAAAAAACTTGAAAACTGATGCTTCTCGACTGAAAAGAAAGATGTTAATCTCACCAGCCAAACTACCTAGTAACCTTAGTGTAGGAAACATACCGCATTTTGGAACAAAACAGTAATTCCAGGGTTTGTCTCCCTTTGTCGTATAGCACCACGGGCCTTTAGCGTATGCTTTAGCAGGGTTTCTGCAATAGTTGTGCTCACTTGAGAGGTGCTCGTAAGTGTGTTCATTGGGATATTGTTGATCCCAGCGCTGACAGAGTACCCCGTCCACAGTCCTATCCCTTGTGCCTGTGTACTCCCATCCCAGCATACTCCGCTTACAGTCTGAAACGAGAACTTACTTAAATTTTATAATTTAATAATAAAATGCTTTATAGAAGACAGGTAAGTGCAGAGAGAAGAGTTTTATCTTCCAGATGAGTTTTTCAGTACGTTTAAACACGCTGAAATACGGGGTTTTTCACAAGGCCAAAGATGTTGAAAAAGAAATCATAGTAACTTTTGTAAGAAAGCCTTAGGTGTGAAATTGGTTGTGAAATTATGTACCCGAACAATATGTTGTATTATGAATTAGGAAGATTATGATGGATACCTATGGAAAGGTATCTTTCAAGGAAAACTTCAAATTTTGAAATATGGCTTATATGGTGGCATATTTATGTCCCCTAGATAATTAGATCATGTTAATAGCCATTCTCTGTAACCACTTGAACTTCGTTGCCACGCATGGTCACCGATTTTGATGAAACTTCACCCAAGTTTAGTACTTGACACCAGAAACAAATGTCAAACAAAATATCGTTGCTAAGTGTCTCGGTTGCTATGGCAACAGCCGGAAAAGTTTGAAAAATCGAGATTTTCAGCCACTTGACTGTGGCTTAATAAAAACTAGAAAAAAGCAAACAAACCATTCTCACAGAAACATGACACCTTGATGTCACTTATACTGTAAAGAAACTGTTTAGAATATATCTCTAAGTAAGTGGTAACCAAGGGTACATTTGGAATACATTTAAAATGCTGAAATATGCTGAAAAACACTCCGTATTCACTAATGGTAGGTGTTTCTTGCTCAAACTCAATCAACGACTTAAGAAAAACAATAAAAATGTTTGACCTTAAGTATATAAGTATAAGGAATATTATTCTATAAATAACTTTTATGGTTGCCATTGTAACACAGTGTAACCATGCAAAACCAGTATCTAAGATTGGGTTAATGCTACTGTCTTGAGGAAAAACATCAAAATTCAAGACTGGCAAATATGCATCCTTAGGATCTTGCATCACCAAAACCATAAGAAAAATTGGGTATAATTGCTACTTTGCAGTGTAACAATGGAAACAAAGTACCAGTGCTTAAAAGTGAATTATTTTTCGCTGCATTAAGAATTAAATTGCCATATAATCAAGAGAAAGAACTCAGCTTGAATAGTACTTATCTGTTAGAACTGAAGTTGAATATCATATATTGAAAAAAATTGATGAAGAAAACAACACTGTTGCTATGCTTACCAAGAAGGTAAAATGTTCGATTTTTTTAACTTTATATTAATATTAAACCCTGTGTGCCAACTTCTTGCATCCACTCACAGGCCTTTAGATCACTTAGAAAAAAATTGAAGTGTTGAAAACAAAATACACACATATTTTTTTAAGCGATCCAAAGGCCTGTGCATCCACTTAGAGATTGGATGATAGTCAAAATTAAAAGTCAGGTTAGCTGTTAATAAATATCAATCATAAAAATTTTGGGAATCTACATCTAAGGGTACGTATCCAAGGAAAGAAAATATTTTTCAGGTTTTTAAGCATATATTTTCTGCTTATTTTCATAGCAACGCTCTACTTAAAGAATCTAATCTGAATTTTAAAAATACAGAGTGTTACTTTGAAGGCTCTCTGTGGTATAAAAACCTTGGCAACCATTGCCAACCAAAATAAAATATCATATTTTGTTCTTGGTATATGTTTCAAGGCTCTTTTTTCTATTATTTGGTCACATTTCATCCTATAATTACTTTTTATCTTTACGTGTATGACTTGATAAAATTCAATGAATATTTTTTTTTACTTTTAAATATTTTGTTACCATAGTAATGTATGTAATAGTTGATTTACCAAACATATTCATCATGCATTTGAGACATCGGACCTTCAACTTTTGGAAACAGCCATTGCCAATTGTTTGCTTTGCCGCAAATGTTAACTATGGGGCTCTAAACCTGTTAAAAATGCCATTTTTCGAACTTTAAGACATGTAGCCATGGCAACTATAAAGCATAGCAACCAATATTTGCCTGATTTCAGTTTAGGGTATCAATGACTTTTATCATAAAGAATTTGGAGAAATTCTGAGACTATGCGTGCCACAGCTCCTATATAAAATTTCAAATCATTACAGAGAATGGCTCTTAACATGCAACAATGAACATAATTATGTATATAGACATGCAACATATTTATGTCAACATGCAAGTTAATTATGTTGACATGCAAGTTACCAATCTAATAAGAAAATATAATTTAAATATAGTTAAATTTACTTACTTATACAGGCGTTAGTAAGTAAATTTACCCATATTTAAATTATATTCTCTTATAAGATTGGTAACTTGCATGTCAACATAATTAACTTGCATGTTGACTTAAATATGATGCACGTCTACTTAATTATGTTGCGTGTTAACATAAGGATCACTTCATTATAAATAGGGATCTGACCTATAGAACCGTGCTTGGTTTTTTTTCTCTACAAAAAGCTTGTCGATTTCCGTTCCGATTAATGACATTAGGCTAAATACATATAATAATTTGTTTTTCCTAAATTTTTATTTCATTTAGTAGAGGTAGGAGGAACCCTTTCATTGATTTTCTGAGTTTGTTATCTCCATATGTACTAATTGATATTTGTCTTTACTTCTCTTGGTTCATAAAGGTAGTGTCTACTGTCTCTGAAATTCTGTTCTTCATGTCTAGGCCATTTATCCGTGGATGTAATAAAACATGTCATTAATGTGTGCAAATTATATAGGCCTAAATGAAATCCAAGGGAGTGCATTTACTGAAATATGTAGCCAAAATCAATGTGATTTAATTATAATTAAGGAATATATACAACTGAAATTCATCGCAGCTCAATGCTGCCAAGAATACCTGTATTGAGTAAGACATAGTGAGTTATTCTTGTCCTTGAAGAAATTGTGCTTATACTGAGGTTCGTTCCGCCTGACTGAGAACTGTACATTGGATTGTTACGATTTGATATCTCTTTAGTGTTTCTTATATATCAAGAATGGCCATGCATAAAGGATAGATAATTGAAGGAAAAATACACAGATCTATATAAAAAAAAATCTAAATAGTCTTTGAAAAGGTGAAATTTAACAGTTTAAAGTGTTGTACCAGGTGGATTCGAACCCCCGACTTTAAAAAGAAAGTATCCACGGTGCAAAAGTCAGCACTTATATCAACTGAGGTAGTCTGACTATAAATTTCAAGCAGGTGATGAAAATCAGGTTTCCTTATTTTTTTGTAGTTTTTTTGTGAATTTCGACCCCAGGGCAGGGGTGCCCCTAAAAAAGTCTTATCTTAATTTATTCCTTACATCCTAACCTATCAAAATATCACAATTTTATTTAGGGGCAGGCCTGCCCTGAAGGACTTCAAGGCCAAAATTCATGCAAAAATCAATGCTTTTATGGACAAAATGGTTTTTGGTCAACTTTGGAGGTTTATTGTAAAGTTGTAAATAATAAATTTGAGGTATCAAATACAAATTTGAAAAATTTAGACATATATACGGTAGAAAACAACAAATCAAGATTGTTTTCTAAATGTCGTTTTTTTTTTCCGGGAAATTGTTCTCTCCTATAGGTCAATTCTTTTGTTAAAGCGAATACATCCTTTATCTTGCATGTAGTTATGTATCCTTTCTGCAACAGCTGCGACATTCATTCCCGTGCTAATAACCACACTGCTCAACATGTTCTCGGCTACTCGGTTGTTATCGGACACTCGGTGCAAGAAAAACAGTGTTTAGAAAATGTGGGTAATTTTAAATTTCATACTTCAACGATCAATATGTATTTCAGCAAACAAAGTTTATGATCTATGACAGATAATTGATTATACTATCAAAAGCAGAAAACACAAACCAAATCACTCTCCTTCAAAAGATCTACAACTCTTTCAAATGATATTTTACAAAAATTTCGGTATATGTCATCACATTTTAACTTCTGTAGAATTCAAAATTAGTTTATTCTATCAAACAAACTGGTCTATTTATTCTATGGGCAATCAGATACCTTTAGATCAGCAAACTGAGATTAAAAATCCAAATTAAGGGTTAGTAATCAGTCTTTTAAAATGTCTCGTTAGTTGAAAACATGTTATCGTCAACTCGGTTGATGTTGCCGGATACTTCGGTTTTTGAAGGGTGTACGTTATCGGAAACTCAGGTTAAAAAGTTTCCTTCAGCTTCATAAATGGATTGGAAAAAATCCATTATAATCTGCTAATCCTTGAAAATAGCAAACGTAAAAGTTTGTTTTGGTATGAATGTATATAAATAAAGTTAATAATTATAAATTTATAATAGAACTACTCATCTGTTCAATCATTTTTCTTGGAAACCGCTTCAGGCGGTTTCAGACGTAAATATATTGTGTTTAATTAATTATAACAATTTTGTTTTAGACTACCGATATACATGTATTTTTTTTTTAAACAAGTTCAATTTTCCCCATGATCCCCGGGGAACTAATTTTTTGTCCAGTAATGTCAATTTATTATCACGTCACAGTTACAAATATAGCAGGTGTGGCTTAAGTAGGGATGCCCCGTATATGAAACAAGTGCCCGTGATTGTGACGTCAGCACTTATGTTGCTCCGCAGAAGAACGTTAACATATTTTTTAGAAGCTTAAAATAGAATCACCCAGTTTATATTACTTTTTTTAATACTTGATCATGTGATCTTGTGTCAATCAGACAGCTGCCAACATTAAGAAAAAAAATAATAATTCTTAATTCTTTTTTAATACAATGTAATTTGGATATGTAGTAGATTAAAGAGACTTATATCCTTTAACAAAAAGCATCGTCCAGAAAAAAAATATTTAAAAAAATAATAATAATTTTAAGGGAGCCGACAGAAATTTTATTGTGTTAGAAACACTTTAATTTAAAAAAAATATATAACTTATTTTCCAACCGTTAAAATACCTACTAGTATTTAGATGGAAGGGGTGCTGGTTGTTTCACTTCAGTTCCTGGTATGTTTAACTTTTTCTACAAACAGTTATTTGCGTTTTTAATTACAAATGGAGGGAAGGGGGGGGTGCCAGAGATTTTTTGCTTTAGTATAAACATCCAATAGCAATGCAAAATCCATGTCACCCCCCCCCCCCCCTTCCATCCGAGCATTAGCTCTATCTACACATTGAATTTGAGCGCACTGCGTGATGTGACCGTTCATCAGGGGGTTCTTATTCCTTCTTGGTACGTTAAACAACCTCCGATGTTTTAGAGATCTCATCATCGCTGAAATCTACTCTGTAGAGTAGATTTCGGATCGAAAACCCTTGGCTAGCGAATTTGTAGAGATCCATGTTTACGATTTTGTAATATTTTCAAGTCAACATCTTTTCTCCTCAAAATTTTGAATTCTATGCCATATATTTTGGTCTAACTACCTATTTGGAAATTCATCTAACCACCCTTGAGTTTAAATTCTTTAATTGCTTTACATGGATATACCAAGTTTATAAATGTATTCGTGTTCGAAAGGTTGTGAGTTTGAATCTCGGCGGCGACTGACGTAAGTCGATAAAAACGAGTAGCAACTGTTCCTTCGCCATGCGCTCAGCACCTTGATTGTATGTTGTTTAACGCCCTCTTGAGAAATTTCCAGTCATATGGAGACGCCGCCACTTGCCGGCGGAGAGCTTCAAAATTTGTCATATATTCAGTACTCAGGGCCATTGAGCAGTGAGGGATCTTTTTTGTGCTAGCACCCACTTCGACGTCCCACTGTGGGATACGAACCCGCGACGTAAGGATCGACTCCTTACTTGGCGACTCTAGAGCAGACACTCTAATCACTGCGCCACGCGGGCAATCTCGGTACCTTGAAATGAAATTTAAAACTTATACCATATTTTCGAACAAGTCAAGATCATGCAGGTTTCAGTGAGAAATGCCAAAAAAAAGCACTCATTTTTTAAAAGTTACATATTCTTAAAAGAGGCAAATTATAGCCAAAAATTAGAATTTCGTGCCAGCCACTTTAAATATTTAGATTTCATACGGATTTCTGTCGTTTCTTTGCGTTTTTCCCTAATCTATGACAACCTTTGTTTCTGATAACCAAAACCGAGATTTCCGATAACAAAGTGCATTATTCAACCGTATTTCCGATAACATCCTGAAAGTTAAAATTGGTAAATTTTTGACCTTTAATTACATATTCTCAAGATTCTGACGAAGTCTTCTTGTGGACAATCATTAACGCAAGGTAAATATAAGGATTTTGAAGAAAAAAAGCTATCTACTACAATGCCAATCGGAGAAAAACTCGCAAAATATAACAAATTTGACTTTTAAAGCCTTCCAAAGGCTAACAAATGCTATGTTAATACGTATCGAGGCTTTATTTTGTATCCGTATTCATTTCTGTTTACAAAAATCACGATGAATATTCTCTGTTTCTGTTTTAACAGAGTTTATTTAAAATAATTTACTAACCTGTTAAAAATTGTTATCAACCGAGTGTTCGATAACAACTGAGTAGCCGATAACGCGTTGAGCAGTGTGATAACCAAAGAAAGCATTGTATAGCAAAAAGACTGCACATGCGCACATACCCGCCTGATAGGAAGATTAAACATTAAACCGAAAGTAAATTTTGGGGTGGGGAGATAAAAACTTCTTTCTGTTATCCTCTGGGGGTTGGAACTAAAAGGTAAAGCAGTTCATATTTATTATGTAGTTTATCACTAGTGAAACCAAGTTGTCCAATTATGTAGACGTGCATCATATTTAAGTCAACATGCAAGTTAATTATGTTGACATGCAAGTTACCAATCTTATAAGAGAATATAATTTAAATATGGGTAAATTTACTTACTAACGCCTGTATAAATAAGTAAATTTAACTATATTTAAATTGTATTTTCTTATTAGATTGGTAACTTGCATGTCAACATAATTAACACCGTTCATCGAAATTTAAAAAAATCAATGCATTAAATTAGGTATCTTAGTGTAGTCTACTTGTGCGCCAAGTTATATTGAAATCACAGGTACTTGTGGACAGGACAACCCCCCCACCCCCCGATATTCAACCCCGGGACTTATTGGACATTTTTTTCAAAAATTATATTAATTCATGGTTTATTCTTTGATAGAAAAGATGATGCTAACTAAATATTTTAAAATTCAATAATATGCCTAAAGCGGTTTTAATTTTATGACGCTAGTCCACGAACTTTTTGATAACCCCTCGTATCCTTTATCATTGAGAAAAGCAAGACTGCAAAGCAAAACGACAAGGCAAATGTTGTCCATGCCTTTTTAACTTATGTGTGGATTACACAGCAGACAAAATTTAATGTTATTTTTTTTTTTTTTAAATGTCTAATTAAGTTCTATGTGAAAAAATTTGGAAAAGGGGATTCTTTTAAATGAATAAATGTTTTTAGAACTTGAATTGGCAAACAGCTGTCTATCAAATTCATACTGTGCAACACTGACCATGAAATCATTTGAGTATGTCTTGACAGAAGAATTTCATATAAAGTAAATGAATATTAAAAACCTTGAAGTAATAATCATGCCGTGTTTCAAATACATTTCTTAAATATATTACCCCTATATGTTGTTGTTAAATATTGATTTTTTTAACATATAATTTTAGTTCCACTTCCTGAGGCAGACAATGGCTACTTCAACTTCTTGGGCACAGGAGATTATCACTTGTGACCTTTGTCCTAAGCCTACTCAGCAATTTTGTAATAACTGTCAAGTGAGTTTATGTGTGGACTGCGTCGGTAAACACGTAGACAAGTTCAAGTCTCAAACACATGACATTGTTCATTTCACCAAAAGAAAGATACAACTGGTGTTTCCTGAGTGTAAGTTTCACTCCAGTCAGAGATGTGAGGCTCATTGTCAAGAATGTGATGTCCATGTGTGTCTGAAATGTATTCTAAGTTCTCATAGTGGGCACAAAATTGTGGAAATGCAAGAGATTTTCAATAAAAAGAAAACGGAAATTGAAAATGAAATCAAAGAAACTGAATCAACTATTATTCCCAAGTACGAGAAGAAGTTAAAGGATACAGAGGGAAAAATATCTAAAATAAAAGCTAAATTTGATGAACTGGAAAAGGAAACAGAAAAACACAGACAACTATGGCACCAAGAAGTCGACACTATCTTTAACAAACTGGGTTCCTTGATCAAATCCATGAGAGAAAATTATCTCACTCATATAGAATCTTACCAGACTAAGCTAAATAACCTTATTCCAGATGTGGTCCATACAGTTAAACAAACCAACGAAATTCTGAAGGCAAACAGGGTGTCCGAAATCATCTGCCACAAATCCAAACTGGAAAAATACAGAAACATACCTGCTGATTTTGAGGATGTCAACATTCCTTCACTAAATACAAAAACAGTCCAAGGGAGAGAACTCAGCATAGACTTAGGAGAATACAAGGCTATATTAACACAGCAGTCACGATCTCATCTGACAGGTGAAACGTCATATTCTTCCAGCAAAGAGCTGCTTAAAAAAGCCAAAGTTGTTGCTACCATTCCGACTAGTGACAAGCCTACATACAGTGTAGCTTGTTTAGGAGCAGATGAAGCTTGGGTTAGTGGTCAGAAGAGAATCATAAAGCGACTTAACATAAATGGATCTGAAGTGGACTCTGTCATTGTCAGAGGCACAGGCCGATTTAAGGATATCTCAGTGACAATACAAGGAGAACTGATATACTGCGACTCCGATAATGAAACTGTGAACATAGTCAGACATGGGAAGACAGAGACACTTATCGCCCTTCCAAATGGCTGGTGTCCATGGGGACTGTGTTGTACCATGTCAGGAGATATCTTGGTCAGTATGTCTTATGACAATTGTCTCCAGAAAGTTGTCCGATATCAAGAAGGAGCAGTAAAATATGAAATTAATAAAGATGAGGATGGCATGCCGATCCTTAGCATAGGGGCATATATAAATTATGTAGCTGAAAATGGAAATGGTGATATTTGTGTGTCTGACAGTAATGCTAGAAATGTGGTTGTGGCGGACAAATCTGGGAGAGTTCGATTTCGATATGACGGTTCACCAGCTAAAAGAAGAAAATCACTTGATCCTTTACATATTGCAACAGATTCTATGAGGCAAATCATAGTGGCAGATGAAAATAATGACTGCCTACACATCTTAGATCAGAATGGGCAGTTCCTGATGTGTGTGGACAACTGTGGACTATATCAGCCTTGTGGATTGAGTTTAGATAGTACGGGGCGGTTATGGGTAGGACTTAAAGGTTCAAAAGACTTGAAAGTTATTCAGTACACGAGATAAAATGTATTGCTTATAAACTTCGCCAAAAATCCATGGATGGAAATGGACTTCAGAAAAAAGTTATGGAAAATTAATTTCTAGCATATACCTTACATCTGAATCTGTAAATAATGCTATAAACATACTTGATGTAAAAATCACCCCTCTGTGCATTGTGACTTTATCGAGAAAAGAGCTCTAAGTTGACATCATAGATGTTTGCCACATTATGCAAACCATTTGCAATGTTATAATTAAATATTTCATTCGCTGAGTTTTTTTGTACTTATCAAACTGTGAAATTGATTTGACCCCGAATCCTATCGAGTTTCGTGAAATAAAAATTGTTGCACAATAAAAAATAATTTTAAGCTTCAATTTGAGTCAAACTGAAGAAAATAATGATGATAAGAGTTATCGTTCATGGCTGAGGAGCGTATAGCCTTAATCTGACAAAGCAACATGCAAAAATTAAAGCCTTACCGTCAGACACATAGTACCTGTAACCAGGCGATTGGACAAGATTTTGAAAGTCGACCTCTCCTGCGAGTTTACAGTGTTTATTCCCTCTGTTGATGAAGAAAGACGAACACAGGTAGTGTTCCAAGCACTTCAAGCCACACTGACGAACAGACACACCGGTGAACTCCGCTAGAACTTTTTTCATGAGAACTTTTTCGTCTGCCTTGGGCAGACGATGAAAAAAATCATCTCTGAAATGAGATCCGTACGATTTAAAGACTACGATGACGACAACGAAAGGGAAAGAAATTAATGGCATCTTGGTCGTCATTTTGAAAATCCCCTTACTTTATGCGTAGTGTTGAGGTTCAGTATAATTCTTCACAGGTACGGAAGATGCATTCATTTGCACAATAAACAAACTTTAATGAATTATGTTATCTCTTGGGATGCAAGTTTTGAGAGTTTTGGTTTGGAGCTATTTGATTGTCAATAATATTTATTTAAAGTAGCTTGATTTAATCATTATTAATCTTAGAAATTTGTAGAGAATATTACTCGTATATCTGCATTTGGAAAGCACTGTGGCACAAACCCCTAGATGAATACAGAAAGTACAATGAAAACGACTTTATTTAAAAAAAAAAACGATATAATTGAGTAGATACACTGTATAAATACTCTTCAATGAACAATGTTCCCTTAGTGGCCTTTTTTGCCCCGTTTAATGACATTCGAAGTATTTTGAATATCATGCTTAAATTTCTTCAATTGATTACATTTTCTATTTCACTTAATTACATACAATTTGCATATTGATATATAGGTCTATTTTTCAATATTTGTAATCGTAATCCTTTCTCCTCCAGCATTCCATTCTAGTTCATATTGTATGTCTTTAAAAGAAGTGCCCTTTTAACACAGAGTAATATTACAATAGTCCCAGTTTGTCCTTGTATAACACCATGGATCATTCTCTTTTCCGAACGGGTTCCGACAAAAATTAAAATGATCCGAAAGAAAGGTGTAAGAGGGATTTTGATTGGTTGTATCTGACCAGTTCTTGCACAGATCTCCAGATTTGGTCATATCTGTCGTCCCATAATAATCCGCTCCATTTTGTGTTGTTTTGCAGTTTCGGGAAAAATCATCTGAAAGGAAAAAAATGTTGTTTGTGAGACACCGATGTCCCCGTATGATAGCATATTGCGAAACTTTTTTTAAATGCAAATGAAACTACAAAGTCAAGAAATCAAAAAACCTTCAAAGAAAGGGCTTGTATCAATAGATATATTTGTAAAGTATTGAAGTCCAAGAACCAACCATCCGAAAGTTATGGCCAAGTTTTATAAAAGTGGATCAAAAGCCAAAGTCAAAGGTCAAGATACACAGGAACATGACTTGTCACAAGATACATTTGAACTAGGAACTAGAACAGCCCTCGCATCATCTATTAAAAAGTAATGGGCAAAGTTAAATTTTTTTAATAGGTCAAGGTCAAAGATCCATATATAGTCTAACGGAGGACACAACCGACTCAAGAATTTAAAAGGAAATCACCTGTTTTTATGAGCATGAGAAGAAAAATTGAACATTTATTTTCATTATTTTGTAAAAAACTATCTAAATGCAAAGAAGTGCAGTCATATCCCCCCCCCCCCAAAAAAAAAATTCAAAAGTTGTTTTTCTGGTTAAATGTGGTCTCTGGCAACAGTTTGTCGGGAGGTCAACATTACTGCTACATTGCCAAAAATTTCAACTCATTACCGCTATATTTTTTCAGATTTTCGACCGATCATTACCGCTACATTTTCCCGGCCAAAAACAACTCATTACCGCTACCTATTGAATCAGTCCAAAACAACTCATTACCGCTACATATCGATTTAGCAAGGTATGGTTCGGTGTATGAGTTCTAATCAACAGAATTCACTCACTATCTAATCAGAATGAGTATATTTATATAAATAACTCTGCAGTCGAAATTTTAAAATTATTTACCTTCATCTGAACAATATAGCCACAACTGATAAGTAAAATTTGTTACAAATTGAGGGAATGCCGGCTTACTTATCGATGGTTATAAATTTAGAAACCAACAATATGTTGTCAAGCAAATGGCTTTCAAGGCTTTAGCGATAGTGTAAAAAACATTTGACAAAACTTAGGACTTTATCTATGAACAGTGCTTGATTTTCATTTTTTGTGTTTTATGAAATAAAATTGATTTTAATAATGAAAAAAAACATCCTGCTCAAAGTCCTACTTTCACCTCCCCGTGGTGAGCAGGGGAAACAGGTCTTATGCATTTATAGGTTGTACTGTACACGCATATGTGGCTGGCTAACGAAAGAGGCAATGTAGCGGTAATGCATACTTTTTTATGTATCGGTAATGTAAGGTTTTTTGTAGCGGTAATGACTATGTAGCGGTAATGAAAATTTTGAAAATGTAGCGGTAATGAAACGCACCCAGTTTGTCATCGTTCGGTGGATACTTGAATATTTTCTATATACTCAGTACAAAATGGACAATTTTCATATTTATCATATGAGGGAACTATTAACATTGAAATATTAAACATAAAACACATTACACTTTGAAATCACTACCAGAGTAGGCGAAAATGCCTATGTCATGGCTTTTCTTGATATCCAAGGGAAGGTCTTGTCACAAGGAAAACAAATATGAAACCCCTATAACTAATAATTCCTGTGATTTAACACAATTTTTTTTAAAATACAGATCTTACTATCTGATTCAGGAAATAATACTCAGAATACTATTCGATTCGACTTTTCTCAGTGTTTTAAAAGTTTTATAAGATATAAACTCTCGCTCATCAGAGAATATTCACATTGTACACTAAACCTAGCCAGAATACCCCCTCCCCCTTAAAAATGAAGGGGAAAAAACGAAAATTTGACTTTCTTTTATAAAGATCGCTTTTGACGATAGCCAGGCATATTGTATGGCGTATTTGAGCTAAAACGTATTAAAACGAGATTAATTATAGATAAACTTTACGTTCAACTCAAATTAAATTTTTTTTTAGAGAAATCCCAGGCGATTTCTAGCTATTCAAACCATGATAGTGTACTGAACGATTCGCCAAATGGAAAGACGACTAATCTTGTATATTACATTCTGTTTTAATTCTGCTTTACTGATTCGATTAAATATTTATATAGCGAACAAATGAGATTGGATACTTTGAGATACTTAACCTAAATTATGGACAAGGAAAAAAAAAACAGTATTTCATATGAAGACTAGGTTCTTAATTACGTGTTCTGAGAAACACGCCTTAGTTATACTGTGTTCATATGGTGCAAGTTTAAGAAAAAAAATTAACGGTTTTTTTTTTTAAATTCTCCACTTTCGCAAAAGCGAGGGAACATTAAATCTCATTCGTTCCTGTTAGGTTAATATATAAATTTTGTAAATTTTACCCAGCTGTGGTACAATAGAGTGGCATGCCTCTCCACTCTTCATAATGTTAAAGTTCATAAACCCTCTGCTCACTCATATAAAATGTTGCTTGAACCTTAATGATTTTCCAAAAGAACTGTATTTTATAAGTAAAATACAAACAATTATAGCATAGCTTGTTGGGCAAAATTGGACAAAAAAGACACTTCAACCCGACAAATCTATAAAGGAATGATAGACAATTATGTCATTAAGAGTTATCTCTCTTATCAGAGTATCAATAAACCTTAAGGAGGCATTTTCTCTATAGAACATTCATCATGCATTTTTCTTCTCGATTTTTCATTTTCTTGTAGTATACACGAAAGATTAATTTGTGAGTAAAACAAACTATAAGTTCTACTTGCTTAAAACTAAATGCAAAGTGTAATCCAGTGTCTCCAAGAACAACGACTTATAAAACTAAAGTGAAAGTAAATGAGATTTAAAGACCTACAGACTTGGGAGCCGTTGTTATTTCATAAATAATTTTGAATAGGTGATATCACCTATTCGAATAAGCGATATCTTCTATTCAAAATGATAAGGTAATATCACGTACTCGAATAGGTGATATCACTTTTTGGTAGTTTAAAGACCTATAGCCTTGAGAGCCGTTGTTATTTCATAAATAATTTGAAAAGGTTATATCACCTAGTCGAATAGGTGATATCAAATATTCAAATAAGTGATGTCGCCTATTTAATTTGAATAGGTGATATCACTTATCGAATAAGTGATATCACCATATCGAATAGGTGATATCGCCAATTCAAATCAAATAGGTGATATCACGTACTGTATTTAAATAAGTGATATTCGAATAGGTGATATCACTTTTTGGCAGTAAATACAAAAACGGCGCCTCATATGATCCTCACGTCACGAATCCCACTTCGGATGAAATCTCATAAACCGAGGTCCCGTGTCGCAGTAAGTGCTGGCACAAAAAAGATCACTCCCTGCTCTAAGAGTATAGGATGTGGCAAGTGGTGGCGTCTCCATATGAGTGAAAAATTTTCGAGAGGGACGTCAAACAACAAACAACAAAGTGAACAAACGTACAGCATGGCGGAAGTCCACACGATTCCCATCTCTTGTCAGAATCCATTGTAAAACACCACGGACCCTCCTCCTCTTCGCGATCTAAGTGTGTATTTCTACAGAAGTTGTGTTGATCCGAGAGATCTTGGTAGCTATGGGTATGCGGACTCTGTTGGTCCCATCTCTGGCACAGGCGCCCACTCTTTGTTTGATGGATATTCCCATTGTAATTCCAGCCTGCCTTGGACCGAATACAATCTGGAATGAAGACAGTTGTCTTTGTTCAAATATATGTACACTGTATATCTTGATCAAGTAAATTAAGAATGATACTGAAAGTTTTTCAAATTCAAACATGCGCTGTACAGTTATGTTTGATAGAAGCCCATTCCTTTGTGTTCGATACCTATCAAACTTCTAACCCCGAAAAATATTTTCCTGCCTTTACAAAGTGATTCCTTGGAATTCTTTAAAATGGAGAACACTCCTTAATTTAAACTCTTTGGAATTTAATGAATTCCTCGGCTACCAATGTTTTTGATAAATCAGCGCCTGATGTAAAAGGTCCATCGCTCGGAATTTTAGGGTTTATTGGGCTTTGGATAAAGTCAGTTCTGAACAACAGAACATAGCTAATAGCTGTTGAAGGAAAGATTATATTTGGTTTTTTTATTTATATAAAATGTATTATAGAAACAATATATATGAAAGGGCCGAATTGTAATCCTTTGAGCAGGTGAAGTTAAAAATCCGTCTTTCGATCAGCAGCCAGGGAAAAAAACTCCGTAGCATAAAAGACCAGCAGTTTGGAAGACAACGGCAGCGCAACAAAGAAAACTGAATTCTAGTAATAGCAAGAATCGGAAAATGACGGCTTGATGACTTTTAACCTTAACAAATGCGAGGCCATCCACATGTACTCTACTTGTTTCAGTCAGAATTCGGTATTTTCATGCGTTCATAAGCACTTTTTAATTAAACCTGTGCGATGTTGCCTGGCATCTAATGAAAAAGGGTCGCCCGCGTAGCGCAATGGTTAGAGCGTCTGCTCTAGAGTCGGGAGGTAAGGAGTTGATCCTTACGGGTTCGAATCCCACTGTGGGACGTAGAGACGGTCCTTCGGATTAGACCGTATAAACTCCGTATAAACCGAGTCCCGTGTCGCAGTAGGCGCTGGCACGAAAAAGATCCCTCACTACTCAATGGCCCTCAGTGGTGGCGTTTCCGTATGAGTGAAATATTCTCGAGATATGGACGTTAAACAACATACAGTCAATCAATCAATTTAATGGATAAAGGCAAAAATGCGTATTAAGAACAGTCTGGAGAGTGACATATTGGCATTCTCCACATTATCTATGCAGAATTTCAATGAGTATGTATGACACGCCAAAGAAGATGGGCGCATTTGGCGTGTGATCTGCAGGAATCATTTGCACGAAACATTTATGGTTTAAATGTCCATGATTTGGTTGGCTGAACATAGCTGGTCAGATTTTACAACACGTCCATAAGTTTTTTTTCATTTAGTTTTTTATTTCATTTAGTTTGAGAGACATTGTGAATTAAATTGTAACATTTATGTCCGTTTTTCCTAGGGGTACTATAACATAGTAATGTTTCACAAAAAATAAACACCTAAATATTTAAGACATAGATGCACGATACGTGTACATGTACATTATAGAATAGAAGATTTGAATTGATTTCGCTCGAGAACCAAACTGAACCAAAATTTATCTAATTCAAAATTTTAATACATCAGTACATAAAACGAAACTGACAAAATAAACGGTTGTTTGCATGAAAAAAAATTAACGCCCCATGCAAGGCTCGAACCAAAAACTGTTTAATTCGAGTGCACTGAACAGGTAGCCCAACTTACAGAGCTATCACCGCTTCATGTGAATAATTGATTTTAAAAGGACAAAGAAGCACCACATTCACAAAGTTGGATTTTTTTTGGGAAAAGTTCATTTTTCGTGGTCTCCGGGTCTTCTCTCCATTTTTTAAAAATGTGCATTCGTTTCTTTGAATTAAAATACACACAAATAACGTTTAAAAATCATGGAGAGAAGACCCAGAGATAGAAAAATTTTAGAAAAACGTGTTTAAAAATGTACCATTTTGTACCAAATGTCTGATCTGGCCAATTTTTAAGTTATTTTTTTACAAATAAAAGCTCAATTTCGGGAAAATATTTTCCTGATAAATTAAAAAAATGTTAAAATTTCATGTGACATGTCGATAAAATTTTCACTTTTCAATTACGCCCAGATTCCTGCCGAATGCCAATCAAAAGCGCCCACGTTCTTTAAAAAATTGAGCTAAATATGGTTTCACAGTCGATAAACTATGTTTATCGGTTGTAAACTATAGTTTTCGGACTGTAAACTATAGTTAACAACGTTAATCTATATCTTACATCTGTAAACCATACTTAACGCGATAATCTATGTTTCAGAACCGTTAACTATACTTAATACTAAAAACAATCATTTGCGATTGCAAAACATAGATTATCTGATAAATACGGTTTCACGATTTGTTAACTATGGTTTACAACTCTTAACTATAGTTAACGATCTGATAAATATAGTTTCACGATTTGTGAAACTATGATTAACAACTCCTAAACTATAGTTCACGATTGTAAATGATAGTTTACAGACGTGAATCTATGTTTATCAACAAAATCTATTGTTAACGTTTTATTACAGACAGATTAACTTAGATAAGCATTCGTAAACTATACTTAACCGTGAAATATAGTTTTACAGATGAAAAATATAGTTAACAAATTGTTAACTATAGTTCACGGTTTGTAAACTATAGTTTACAGTCGATAAACCTAGTTTATCAACTGTGAAACTATGTTTAGCTCATTTTTGTGAATTTGGCGTGCCATAAATATGAGTTGCACTTATTGCTCAATTACCGAAAAGGAAAATAAATCATTATCAAAGTACGAAAAAATGGATATTTAGTTTTATACTTGCTAACTTTTCATGTCCTGATAATAATATTGTACATAATATAAACGTAAAGATTTTGTACCTTTGAAGGAATAAATCACAAAGAGTTACGATACCACGAGAATAAACGATGAAATAGATATTCATTTTGGTTAAGTTAGAACTGTAGTTGTTAATTCGAGTTGGCAAACTGTTAGACATACGTGATTTTTTTTTAGCTTTAGATATAAGTATAGAATCATAGTTAAGGGACTCCGACCCTCAGCCAGGAAGGACAACTCTTTAATTCATAATTTAATTCAAAAAGTCTTTAAATGAAGCTTGAAAATTAAATCTTTTCATGCAACAATTTTCATTATATGCCTCTCAATGTGCTTCAACGTTCTTTAAACTTCTCAGAAAGGTCTAATTAAAAGTAGAAATTTTTATCCCTAAAAAGCATTTTTAGATACCAATGTTTATCTCATACGTGTTGGTGATACAGGCCGTTGGATAAACTTATGCTTTATCAACGGGTAGATGCTTTATCAATAGCACTTCCGGTTTTGACACGAACCCTCGCTTCAAGATTTTATTTCATTGAAATTTTTATTTGTGAAAATTGTTGCCCTTATAAAATTAATGATAAAGGGTAGCAATATCGTTAAAAGCAAGATGTCAAAGAAGTGTCTTATTTTATCAAGGAACCCGTTGGCTATTTGAAGACAGATGTTACCCCCCCCCCCCCCCCTTAGATCGTTTTCGGAGAAAGTAAAGCCTACATGTACCAGTTAAGTTGTTGTTATAAGACTCCTTTGACATCTTTAGCAATGCTTTCTTATATTATACTACCTAGTAATGTAGGTGTAACTTACCATGGATCAGCAAACAATCTAGACAAAGTCTAGGCCCCTAGCCTTGCCTAGCACGATTTGTACTGCCATCGTAAAAAGAGTTGATTTTCACGATCCCCATAGTCCTAACAACTTTCAGTCAGAAGTTCGTTTGATGTAAAGCTCCAGCAATTTTCACATGATGTTTCCAAAGACACAGATAGCAAATATTCTAAATTTTGAACTCGATCTACTTTCTCTCGACGCATGTAAACATCAACGGTGCTACGTCATCAAGTTATACGTCATCAATTTGATTTTGGCAGTCATTCATGTAGTTTCGCAGGGGAAGTCTCAAAGTTTTGTTAAAACGAAAGTCGTATGAGATAAATAGAACATCTATAATTGTGTGATTTGATATTGGCTTTATCCAACTCGTTGAAATGGTGTATATTCGCTCGGCAAGCCTCGCGAATATATACACCATTTCAACTCGCTGGATAAAGCCAATATCAAATCACACAATATAGATATCCTCTATTTATTAACATGATATGATATTAGAAGTAATTTATGGAGCTTTGCAAAGAACCTCGAAACACATTGAGAGGCATATAATGAAAATTGTTGCATGAAAAAATTTAAAAGATTTCAAGCTTCATTTAAAGACTTTTTGAATTAAATTATAAATTAAAGAGTTGTCCTTCCTGGCTGAGGGTCGGAGTCCCTTAAAGGTACTCACCAGTGGTGATGAAATGTAAAAATCCCGGCGAAGGTCGTAGTGTAGAAACATTGATCGCAGGAGTCAGAATACACCTTTCTTGTACAGGATTGTAGAAAAATGAACGACAAAGAATGTTATTCAGACAAATAGATGCGCAGTCGGACAAACTGTCACAGGCATGATGGTCTGCCAAAATGTTACTAGACGGTTCGAGATTGTTTGCTTCCAGTACACGACTATAAAATGAGGAACGGAAATTCCCGTTTTGTGTCCTTACGAAAAGTGTCAACCACATACACTGAAAGATAAAGGCTGGTCGTAAATAGCTGGAATTAATAGCCATCTTTTCGATTTTCTACATGCACGGGTTTAAATGTTCACCACACAGGTACTGGAAGCAAAAATCCAATTAATATCCTTAATGTGGTAGTTTAATCAACGAAGGTCATCAATTTAATTTCTTAATGAACAAATGTTCAATCCAGTCCCGAAACTCCCAAGACTGTGTACATTTACAGGAGAGAATAGAGATCATCTTGACAGTATAAGCAGCGAACCTATTTATGATACAGATTCTATCTCCCTATTTTAAATATGAGCCGGCGATTTGATAAATAATGCTGCTTGTTGGAAAATTTCAAATAAAAGTCTTTATGGTGTTATTTTTTAAAGGATTCCTTGACTTTTTGAAAGCACCATAGAGAATTGAATATATAAATAGTTTGTCAAAAACTATTCAGCAAAAGAATGTTTAACTGACATCAATACTGCAATATTAATAATGTAATGAATGAAAGATTAACTCTAAAATAAATAATTCAAGCATTTTGAGGGCTTCAGATACAAACTGAGAAGGCTGCTTCTAAAACCTGTCACAGTATACAGCAAAAAATGAGTGTGGCAAAACAGATGATAATTTTTTTTAGCAAATAGACAATTAAAATGCAAATATAAATCAAATTAAATCAATTGTGTTAGTGTTTAAACTGTTATAAAAAATACATTCATGTTGAATTCTTTTTATCAACCGAATGTTAAGATTAGAAAAAAAAAAAACAAATTTGTCAATTTACAATTTTTTTCAAATGATTTTGATCAAGAAGTCCAATAAGACAAGTCTGTTCTCTTTTAAAAGGTAGATATATGTATCTATAGATACGTTTTAAAATCGATTTTAACAGACCCTTAGGCCACATTGCTCACCTCAGCCACGTAGCATCGTTTTTGAAAGGGGGGGGAGAGAAAAAATTATTTTGACTTTTAATACCTTAAAAAGTTGAAAAAAAAAGAAAAATTGCCCATCCTATTTCGTGCATGGGGGTAATAGAGGCCAATTTTTTTCAATGCCAACATCTCTCACATAGGCGTCGGAAGCAAATTGAAATGGGGAGGCTAGCTGTAGATCTGTAGCGTTATGGTTTTATATTCTAGTTTTTCGCACCTAGGAAATATCGATCCTTAGTAGTGCCTGACGCCGTGACGTCAGGCAATAATATACTCGGAAATTATCGTTATAATTGTAATACTTTTTCTTGCAATTGGTATTTATTCATACATGTACTGTTTTCAAAAGTCTGGACGACGTCAATATGTTTCGGCGAAAAATCTGCTTGAATCATACATTTTACATTTTTCCGTATCAAAGACCGTATTCAATTTTACTTGCAATAATGACGTCACAATGAAAACACATCATAGTACAATGACGTCATAATGGTTGCGAACCACTCTTCGTCGTACAGCAAGAAAATAACACACGTTGTAAATCTGTGATACCTATTTTGTTTGCTATAATGGAGAAATTGGGAAGTAAATCTATGGAACAGCGTCTTAGGACAAGCCTGCTTCAGTATTTATCAAGGACAAACACACGGACCATGACCCCAGTTGTAAGCATCTTTTTTATTATCTGATTGTTGTGTAGTTTTGAACAAACCTTAAGAAATAGCTTCATAAACTAATTTACAGCATACATACAACGTAAATTGAAGTTACATGTAATGAAATTTATAAGCAAATACCTGAATATCTATTACCTATTATCATTTTTCATTATTCCAGAGACAGCACATTCTAGAAATTTTAATTTTCCTGTACGGACAAGAAACTGCGAGTAAAGATGGTGGATTTTCATTTTCAAACAGGAAAGACATTGCCGGTACAACATTTAACATTTTCTTTTTTCTTCTAATTGATAAAGTTGATTGTATCACAATTATTATTAAAAAATGTCTTTTTATTTATCAGAAGAACAGAAGAAGTACGTAGTATTTGCCTATCTGTTCATGGAAGCTTTGAAAAAGAATATGATTACAGAGACAGATTTACATACACTTCAAAGAATGTGGACACAGCATATTCTATATTTAACCAAAAGTGGTAAGTTGTTTTGTCAGTTATGTCTTTTAAAACTAAGTTATGGTTTCTTTCTGGTTTGGACCAAAGTGTTAGAGGACTTTTGAGTTAATGTAGAGTTCTTTAAAATCGCCAGAATTCCAGTTTTTCTTTCTAAGTAATAGTTTATGGCTTAAAATATATTTAAATTCTTTTTTTGCTGAATCTGTTGGCGTTTTTAGCATATCTTAAAATAAATTGCTCTTTGAGCATGGAAAGCTAAACTTCTCAAATTATTCCTATTTTGGAAAATTATTTATCTGATTTGCAATTATCAAGACTTTTTGTTTCATTAGGTAAAGACAAAGCAGCTGAAAAATACCTCCGAATTTTAAAAGACAGCGAGGAGGTCATTTTCAATGTAAGTAAATACGAACTATATATTCCAGAAGCATCCTGCTTTGGCATTACGTACTTGTCTTCATGTACCGTGTTTGTCGATCAGCTTAAAAAGATTTTTAATCACTTTTTGCAAAATGTTTTCAATTTGATTTTTCTTATTACAGATAAAACGATTTCAAAGGCAACTGATTAAAACCAAAGATTTCTTGGCCAAGAACAGCTATGGACCCGCCAAGACACAGCAGTTAGACCAAACATTCCAATTCAGAAGATCAGGCTTGTTTGAGAGAATGGGGACACGGTTAAGGAAATTCTTTGGTCAGCGTGACCCTGATGACTTTTTCATGGCCAAGTTTCAGGACGTTAACTGAAATCAGGAGATCTCTGTGTTACGGCAGCCTTGGGACATCTGATTGACTGTAGCTAAAACACTGTTAGTGAAAGTTCAAGCCACAGCACTGATTGATACATAAACTACAACTCCATTACTTTAGAAGTGACTTTTTCATCACCAACATCATAATCACTTTTTTGTTATTATTTGATAGTGGTGTTTTAGTCACATTTTTAATCACTTTTTTTTTATTATTTGATAGTGGCGTTTTAGTCACTTTTTTAATCACTTTTTTGTTATTATTTGATAGTGGCGTTTTAGTCACATTTTTAATCACTTTTTTTTATTATTTGATAGTGGCGTTTTAGTCACTTTTTTAATCACTTTTTTGTTATTATTTGATAGTGGCGTTTTAGTCACATTTCTCATCTCACTTTTGTAGTTAACTAGTTATTATTAGATAGTGGCGTTTAAGTCACATTTTGGCATCAAGATCATCTTTTCATTTACTTGACATTTACTACAGATCTTTTCTCTCTTTCCGATAAAAATGATTTTCATTATTATTAAAGTGTCATTGACTCAATATTTTGATAAATTATGGAATAAATCAATTATTTACATTTTCAAATGTGTTATGTTTACTGCATTATATCAAATCAGCTATGTGCTAAAAATTAATATAATGTTTTATTTTTTATTATAAGATTTCATTCTGGGGTAGATCGTTCTGCGTTTGCTCTGTGTGTTCTTAAAAAGATAATATGTATTCATAAAGAACATAATGTAGTATGTGAAAAAACGTGTATATCTTTTATCTGTGAGCAGTGGTAGTCAACATGTGGAGATGGCAGTCTACAGTTGACAGTGGCAGTTATATGTTTGTACGTGTATTACGAACACAGTGCTAAAATATTAATTCTCATATGCAAATATCTCAAAGTAGCATGGATTCAATTTTGTTTGTCAATTGTCGAATTCTCTGCGAAAGAGCATTGTTCTTTCTGTTAGTTTTTATAAAACCTTTTCCTCTATTATCTCACGCAGTTTTAATTGTGACGCTTGCATAATAAAATTTTTATCTTGAAGTTTGTAAATAAGTAAAAGACTTCAAAATTTATTGTTTATAAATTGAAAAGGGGGGCTAAATCAACAAAAAAAAAAAATCAATTTAGGTTGTCAAATGTGAAATCAAACAAACCTATGTGTTGAATACAAACAAACAAACCTATGTGTTGAATTTAAGGTATGTAATACATGGTAAGGTCCGCCTCATGAGCAGATGAGGGGCCCACCTAGTGAACACATCATTCAATTTCACTGCATTTTATTTAATTTGAGTTTTGACCTCATAATGGATGTCATTATGGAACCATAGGAGTTGTTGTAAATATGTCTGCATATTCATCCTGATAAATATAATTCAGATGTCTTTTCTTCATGCCTTTATTTATGTGTTAAACTTCGTGACTCTGAAATTGTATATAGCATTTTTATCATTTGTAAATTCGGTTCGGTTCAATTAAATATTGTTTACATACTCTTTCCAAATAGTTTTGAAATCAGCTTCCTGAGACGTCCAGTGTATTTTTCTTTAATTAGGCCCTTGATTATTGGTTGTTCCCTTGTTTTTAACCCCTTCGAGATTTGTTGGAACGACATTTGAACATTTCCCCGTTGCTCCAAATTTTTAAACGTACTCAGCGGCACTTTTTTAAGCAGTGGGGGATCTTTTTTGAGTCAGCATCTTCTGTGACACTGGACATAGTTTTTATGGAGAATCTTGTCTTTTTTATTCGATTTATATAAATGTACTCTGGCTAGCTGCAATAATGTAGCCCTCTCCGATTTTTTTTAATCTGATGTTTTCTGGAGAGGGCTACAATTCCATCGCATCTCCGTAATGGTGCAAATATTTTTTTTTAATAGGAGGGACTGCAGGCAAAATAAATTATTTTTACATTCAACTTACTTCTAATAAGACGAATTTTTTATTCACTGTCAACAGTAGACCCCGTTAAATGCGAAAAACTTGTAAAATAACTCTGCATGTTTCCAGGTAGTTTACTTCAGCAGCCATGACAGTCCACGCGTGACGTAATGAGACTTTCGCTTGAAATTTAGAACAACTGAATAAAGCAATTATCGGTGTTTATAAGTGTATGTGCTGAATTTCATCACAAAAACATAGGTATATAAAACCATTTTAAGTGTTATTTTTATGCAAGCAGCGATATTTATGTTTAAAATAAGGGAATTCCAAAAAGATCCGCTCCTATAGAACCTAAATTCTCATTGGCTGTCCCAAAATACAATCTATCAAGGTCAGTAAACATGGCGGATAAATTCGAGTTGTGATGTTGACATACACGAAAAATAAGCGATATAGGGATCGTTCTGTATATTTTTGCATTGGTTTACGTCTTGGATGACTACTTATTTGGAGTCAAGGTAAGAAATGTTAATAAAATAGCCATTTACTGTTAATTTGAGCCGAAATCCGTGCGGGAGCAAATCACTCCCGCAGCTGCACCATTATGGAGATCCTAAGGAGTTGTAGCCCTCTCCCAAAAAAAAAAAAAAAAAAAAGGGAGAGGGCTACATTATTGCAGCTAGTACTCTGGCGTGAGATATTTCACAAGTTCAACTGAATAACAGTTGTGAATTAATTAATCATGAATTTTGCTTTTAAACGGTATATGTATGATACTTAGCATTTTGTTCACAAATCGCTTTCTTTTGTACTTTTCTTAATTATAAAGGTAATTTTCCATTAAATCGAATGTATTTTCAAAGCTGCTGTCAGAAGAAAATTGTTTACTTACATACCAACCCAACTTGAGAATTTAGGGTCGGGTTAGGGGAAACAAAGATAAGAAACGGCCCAAGTATACTTCGGCTCAGGTGAGCTAAAAAGGTTTGAGCCAAGAACACTCCAACTATACGAGGTGAAACGGAAAAAATCCTTACCATGACGTTGTTTATGTTAGTTTTACTTTAATATTTATGACTAGGCAGCCACAATTAGATAGGTTTATCAATAATTTTCAACATGAAAAGGTTAACCTTTTTAGACTGTTAGTCTTAGTCTTGCTGGGTTTGCTATTCATTCCAACGTATCTTGAGTTTTACAAGCAACATTTGATAATGAAGTGAATAACAGAACAATTTATTGACAAGTGATCATTTTCAACTTTAAATTGACAAAATAAGTGCGTGTTTGGGGACTCGGTTATCGCTAAAATGATGGGCGATTAACCACAGCTCATTACCTGCTTCTATATCTTAATTAAATTTTTTTGAATGCGTAGAAAAATAAAAACATGTATCTTACCTAATAAACCGTATATTGCTCCTTGATTTCCGAATTAAAATTATTTCATATTACACCGGTGGACAACACACAGTTCTGAACGTATATATACTGTTCATAAAAAATAACTAAAAGCAACTCATTATTCTTATTTTAAAAAAGCTCGTCAAAATGGATCAAAAACAACAAATAATACAAAATTCATCATGCAAACTGTACGATGAAGATGCAAGCACAATACAACTTTTTGGGGTTCCATATAGGATCACCAATGATAAAATTAGCTGGTTGGCTTTCATCTTTTGAATTTATTTCTACATACATGTATTTATCGCGCTCACATGTACATGTATCACCACAATATGTACGTTCTACTTTTACGAGGGACGTTCAATAAATAATGTCATTGGGGCTCGGAAAGAAACAAAAAACGCTTTTCTATGATTTAGTCTTAGTGATTAAACTAAAACATTCTCTTTCAATTAAAACGCATATCCGTAACATTTTCATTCATTTTCCAATTGTTTTTCGAACACATTTTTGAGTATGACCCTTCGTATACTGGAATATGGCAGATCCTATGATTTGCTGTACTTGTTTTTTTTCTTTCTGATAGATGTTTTTCTAAGTTTAGGAAATGAAACAGGTCAAAGGTTGAAAGATCTGGCAAATTTTGTTTGTGTGACAAAACATTAACTTTCTGTTTATCCCCAAAACTCCTTTACTCTTCATGGCCTGTGGGTTTGGACGCCGTCATGAAGACAATTAATGTAGTGGATTCCTCATTCTGTTTCCTTCCTCTCATAAACCTTTCAATTTTTTTGCAAAAAAGTTGTTTTCTAGACTCCTCCAGAAATTGAACTTTCTCATCGAATATGAATTTGAACAAGACCGCTAATATTTAAGAAACTAGCATATAAAACTGTTTTATGCTCTTGCAATTCTTGCTCTTCTTTGGCCTTTGCAGTTTTGTCAAGTGCATTTTATTATAAATTTGTTTTGAGGGCTTAAAGTGAAATGAATTCAAGTTTCATTATCTGTTAGAATTTCATATAAACATGGATAAGTACAACTTTTGATTTTTTTATATTTACATTTCCAATGTCTTTGTCCGAGATAAAATTACCAATTGTAAATGTAATTTATTTCCTCATGAATGTCTTGGCGCGGTTCCAAAAAAACCCACGTGCAGGGCGGGACAACACCTTGAGAGAAGCAGGCTTGGAGCCCGTGGATTGGCGGAATCAAAGCATGTAAATATAAGGAATAACTGTCTTATTTTTCGAATTCATGAAGATGATCAATGGATTGGCTTGTGTGATAATTTTATGCATAAACGCCTTCGGCGTTTATGCAAATTATCACACAAGCCAATCCATTGATCACTTCATGAATTCGAAAAATAAGACAGTAATTCCTTAAAAAATAATTGTTTGGATATTCCGACACGCTGTCGTTTTCACTCATTTTTCAAAACATAGGGTGACCATTGAGTATTTAACCTTTTTACTATAAAATGTTTCTTTAAAACAGTATGAACTATCCCCAAAATGATTTTTATCAATTTTGCTATGTGTCTTAAAGTCAATAAAACATAATCAGTGATAATTTGTTGAAATTTCGCAAATTTACATCGGTTGTTGCAAGTCATTGTTGCGAAGGACGGTACCCATTTTTGATGCCCATTAAATAATTTTTGTTTATTGAAATCAACATATTCACCTGTCTATAAAGCAGGCATTGGTTGCTGTAAATTTCACATATTTCAGTTAATATGTTTTTGGGATATTAACAAGTTTTACAGCTGCTTTAATGAAGCGTTTAATTTTACTCTAGTTTACTGATTCTTGACCATTCATTTTTAATGCAGTGTCTCGAATAGCCCTTGTTTTCCAGCTTCCCACGATGAAATAATGCGATGAAAAGTGGTCAACCAAACTGTTATAAATTCAATAAAGATTCAATAATGATAGAAAGTCAAGCTTTATGTTATATGACTACTATGTTGTACGAAATCGAGCTAATGACATTATTCATTGAACGTCCCTCGTATAATAGCAGGGCACCGGCCTGTCTTGGTTTCTGACGTCGTAACTATCAGCAAAATGGTACGCTGCAGTAATCCCAACTTGCCCCTGAAAAACACCAAGGGGAGTCTAATTCCCCAAAAGGGTTTCTACAATAGTTTAATTGATCATCAAGATATGTGTGGGCATTGGTTCCATAGGATGTGTCTGACCAATAGTTGCACGGATTTCCTTTACTGGTCGTGTTAGCTTTCCCATAGTAATCAGTTCCTTTGGGTGTTGTTTTGCAGTTTTGGGTAAAATCGTCTGAAAAAATAAAACATGTCTTCATTTTTACGAATATATGAACATTTATTATTTATTACCAGTACATATTAATACGCAGTTCTTCGATCACAAGAACTAGTCTGTTCTCATGATGTATATCCTTGATATTTTGCTCTTACAACAGAGGGGTTTTTTGAAGGTACGGTATTTCTAATTGAAAAAAATTCCAGTTCAAAAATAGAAAATTTGATATCAAAACATTTCTCAGATTTTCTCTCTCAAAGTTTCAAGAGATTTTAGGAGTTAGGACATTGATTTTCATGATTAAAATGAGCTGTATTGTCGACTGTTATTTTCTGTCTTTAAAAACGTTCAGAAAGATGAAAGATTATCTTAGTACTAACAACAGACTGGGATGCCACCTGACTCCCATCTCACGTTTATATCCATTGTGTAACACCAGGGGCCAATGCTCTCTTCAGAAGAAGAAATTAATGGATCCCTTGCAATATAGTATCTATTGCATGCTTGCTAATAAAGAATTTGGGAAAAAATGGCACCGAATCCTGAATCTTTAAATAAATGTCTGACGTCTTTATCAGAACAATTGTTTCAACGAAATAATGATAAATACTATAGTACTAGTATTCTTATCGAAGATAAAAAAATCTTAGTTTGAAGCACACAACATATTTTTGAGATGAATGATGATATACCGTGATAGTTGATTGAAAACCTTTCGCAAAGACGGGGGTTGAAACTGCTCATTTGTAACTTTTTGAAATGTTGAAATTTTGGTAAAAAGAAAATTGACTAAACCTTTCTTAGGAACAATAGTTTATGAATATTATAATTGCAATTCTCAAAAAGTAAAAAAAAAATGCATTTTCTACTGGAAAGGCAAAATTCAATGTTTTCTTAGAAAAAAAAAGTTCATAAAATAAAATCTCCCTTCTACTTTTATTGAAATAAACTTACGATCAATGAAGTAATGAGAAAATCCATATGACGGTTGAAGTGCTATATAGAGCGTCCATATTCCCGGTCAGAATACACTATTTCTGAAGATGATTGTAGAAAAACGACCTACAATTAATGTGGATGAGACAACGAGTATTACACAACAATAGACTCGGACAATTCCAGAAATCTTCTAAAATCCCTGTTGTTGGTTCCTGATTTGTTTCCGGTACAAGCCTAAAATATGATGTTCTGGATCCATTGCACCTCGAAGAAATGAACCACAAGAAACATATAATTCCTTCTACAACTTTCAGATAAACTATACTTGAAGACTTTAATTTCATATTAGACAGAATGTCACTTTGGCGACAGATTTGTACAATCTTTCTTTTAAATTCAAAAACGTAACTTTGTTGCCTGATTTAACAGCGACGCTTATACATCTTTAATTAAAAGCAATAACATTAACTGTCCTTCACAATTATAAACGTGGAATTGATCTTAATGTAATATACGTGTCCTCCTGTCAATTTTGAATATCAATTAATTCGTTTACATGTACATGTTTTGAAATCAAGTTTTAATAGTGTTTCACGCCCAAAAATCGAATATCAAACATTGTGAAATACAAAAGTTCAACAAGCCTTAATCCACGAAGAACAAAAAACTGAAAGAATGTATTACCATTTACATTGTAGAAAACTGAGAATAGTCTCCACAGAAGCAACTTTGAAATTATGTCCTTTAACCTTTTTTGGAGAGATAAAAAATGTTAATTAGAAACTTGCGATTGTTTATATTTGAATTTGAATAGCTAAACCCTTCATATCTTGCTGTAGCCTGGACGGACACTTCCAGAACTTCCTTAGTATCCTTTCACATTAAAGTTTAACTCGCTCATCATTATGTTCCGACTTTCGAGCTCAGCTTACATAGATGTATCTATATGAAAGACAACATAGGTTGAGAATATTTGGTCTTTTGCAAAATATGCTCTTGTAGGGAAAAATGGTTAGACTGCATTCCACATTATACACCATTGTCTGAGGAAGTATATTTTAGTGTGCCTAAAAAAGTTAAAATTTAAAGAAATATTGTAAAAAATCGCGGTGTTAAAGCATGTCTAACGTCTCAAGCCACTGTTCGGAGTCCGCATATACATGTAGCTCTCTCCAGAATGAGAGAGGGTCGTACATATTGACCGTGGTTTGCGACGATGAGGCATGTCATGTTCTTAAACTGCAAAATAAACATTTTCAAGGTACAGTGAATTGGTAGGTCGACAATTTCTGTTCGATGGTGCATTTATTAGAATCATTGATATGACGGACTCTCAGTGGCATTTTTTCTAGTGCTACGATCGGTCGCCCGCGTTGCCCAGAGGCAAGCACGTCTGCGCTACATT